CAGATTCTATCTATCTCAGATTGCAGCAGGAATCAGGAAAAGTTGATCAGACTTCAATTGACTCAATAAACATGCATCATTCGATTATAATCAAACAATATAGCATCCAAAACTTCATACAAGAAAGATCCTAACTCAAGGAACTAAGGTTCCTCAAAACCTAAGTGAAGGGAAGTTACTCCATAGAGAAGAGAGAGACTGCAGAAATCTGATCTAGATCTTCAATCTCCATCTCCAAGCTTGATTCCCGAGCTTCAATGGCGAAGAAATCCTCCAAAATAGCTCCAAGAACGTTCCCAAGTCGTTCTCTCTCTCTAGGGTTCGTCCCTTGGGTGTTTGGGATCCAAAACCCAGCTCTCTCCCTCTCCTTTTGCTAAAAATTGGGTTTTAAATAGCAATTCCCGACTCACACGGCCAGGCCACACGGCCGTGTGGCTTTCCCAGCTGCCCGTGTGAAGGCTCGGTGATTTCCACACGGCCACATGGCCAGGTCACACGGCCGTGTGGGTTGTGCCCGTGTGGCTTGCTCAGCCTCTGTTTAATGCTTCGTTTCTCCCTCGTCCGGACTCCGAATCAGTCGCCGTTTGATCCCAGACGCTCGTAGTCTCGTCCTCTTTCTTTTCATGACAAGTTTGAATGATTCTTTGTCCATAAAGTGAGGTAGAAATCCATTCTTCTTCAGGTCATACCCGAGTTTCTTCTCCTGAATCGTCAATTGATCTCTGATTGATTTGAAACTTGCGCCTATGCTTCACTTTATGTGCTAGGACCTAAAATGTGACAAAGTAACACAACCTAGCGTAAAATAGGCCAAAGACACGATAATTCAAGCTCAAACAATCAAGAAACAAAGGGGAAAACATGTGCAAATACCGAGTCATCAAATCCCCCCACACTTAACTGTTTGCTTGTCCCCAAGCAAACCTAACTCAAACCAATGCAGCTCTCCAGAGCTCTATAGCAACATACACCCCAGATCGTAGGTAGAGAACTTCCTAGATCGTTTAGCAGCTTACGAGGTCAACCGACACACAAGTCATCTCATAGCTTCTTCGGCGAGAGCACTAGTATCGAGTCGGCATCATGGCAAATAGTGAACAGAGGACAAATGAATTGTGGATGAAGAGATTCTAAAAAACAAAGGATCATGGATCACATTTTTCAAGGTGCTCTATTTTCTTTGAAGATGGTTGGAACCCCTTTTCTTTCTGTTTTGCTTGTTTTCTGTTATTTTTTCTTTACTCTTTTTTTTTTCAAGGGTCCCAACCTGCTCTTACCGGCCATGCCAGGAGCGGATGTCTCGAGCCTCGTGCGGGGGAAAGACATGTTAGGGGGCTGGAGGTAGTAGGTGGAAATTGGGAACGAATTCCCGTCTCCCCTTACACACTCTCGCCCTATTCGCACGGGAGACGTTATTTTGAAGCACATTTTCGAGCACCTGTTACTTTCAAAACATGATACAAGAGTCCATGACAGGTAGAGAGTCCACAACACCACACAATTCAAGGGTCCTAAGATCACTAATTCACTCAATCAACCAACACAATATGAAGAACTAATGAGATTTCTTAAATGCATCAACATCCTCCATAGTGCTACACTACCTCCCTGGTTGCATATTACTATAAAGACTGTCAATTCAAAGCATACTGAGCAGGCAATTGCAAGGAACACGTACCTGGAGCCCTCAAATTTAAAAATTTGGACAGTGGACTAGGCTCCAAGCACACAAACAGCCAAACATTTACCCGCATACATAATCGAACATCCCCCCACACTTAAGCACGACATTGTTCTCAATGGAGGAAAGATAAGGAGGGTAGAACGAAGTTACCAGATCAAGGGTGAATGATGATGAACGGGTCAGGCGGTGCATTCCAGGAAGAGAGAGTAACCAGAACACAAACACCACACAAAATCTCACAAAGGTTGAGTTATTGACTCTAAAATCAAATAGCAAAACTGACTCAACCGAGGAGAAATAAAGAAAGAAATGCAAACCGACTGGTTGGGTTGCCTCCCAACAAGCGCTTCTTTCACGTCGTGAGCCAGACGATGGCTCCTAAGTTTCGGTCCATGCTAGAACCTCCTTGAAGTTGAGGTTCTCGTCGATGAGGTGGAGTCTCAAGTCACGAGCATGTGGTGTGGCAGGTGATGAAGGCTCGTGTACTTGATGCAAATGAAGTCTCCACCCTCGAGACCTCTTCTTCTCTTCTCTCGTCTCATTGCCCCAACCCAAATATGACAGCATCGATTGGCCACCATCGCGTCCACCAAGAGGGACCGATATTGATGTGGCCTTGGTCTGGCAAAGAGACACTGCAAATGGGTCCTTGCTAAGCAGTTCCTCAAAGTTTGGTGGGGATATTACTTGCAACTCATGGCCGGTGCAGGCCTCTTCCACCTTAACTCCGTCCTCAGCCTGGACGCCAATTGCTTCTTCAACCCCCCTTTCTTCTTCATGTGGTATCACCCCTGGGAAAAGATCAAGAACCACCTCTTCTTTTTTTTCTTCCTCATCCTCCACAACTTCCTTCCTCATCCTTGCTCGCTCTTCTTCTTCTAGAACAGATTGGAGAGCAAGTCGCCAAGCAATTTCTTCAATGAGATCATCTTGCATCCCCTCGCTCGGGCCCAGCATGTTAGAGCAGAAATAAGGAATTGTGTGATCTGCAACCAGAGGACTTTCCTGATCATGATTATCATGGGAGTTCTCTGTGATAACTTCTGTATGCTCCTCAACATCCCCATAGCCTTTGTATCCTCCACCTCTTCTAGCGTGGTAGCAGAAAGGTGATCTTGAGCAAGATGTGAGCAAACTTGCTCCACCCACTCTGTTTGCTTCGCTGAGCGCTGAACAGTCTCCTCCATATCATGGAGAAATGAGGGATCGGAAGTGGCAAGGGCTTTGATTTGAATATCCATCTTGGAGCATGATTTCTCAGTGTCTCGAGCAAACTGCTCCACGAGAAGCCTTAATTGTTCGTTCGGATCCTCCAGTGAAGTGTAGCATGGCTCTGCAGAGTGTCCCGTGAAGGCCGCCATGGGTAACTCCAGCTCCGATGGCCCTTCTTGTTGTGGGAGGAATTCTTCTTGATAAGGAGATTGTTCTTGATATGCCCAGGGGTCTGATTGTTCTCCGTAGTAAGGGTTTTGGTACTGGAACCCGAATCCATAGTCTTCTCCTCCTTGATTGCTCCAGGGAGTCTCGGGGTAATACCACTCGGATGGTGGCGGATACCCCCACTGGTTGGAGAAGCCATGCAGATCCATGATTCAGATCTGCACCAACAAAAACAAAAACACCCAAGTGAAAAGCAAGGGTGGAAAAGAAAAGAAAGGAAAAACGCTAAAGTAACAAACTTCTGCCTTTCCTAATAATCTAGAAAGTCCCCGGCAACGGTGCCAAAAACTTGATGCTCTAAAACACAACACCTAACAATGGCCAAGTGTAACCAATGAAAGAGACTGTAGTATAGTGGCACAAGTAATAAATATCGAATCCACGGGTCTCTAGAGTTACTATTACTCAGCTTCAGTTCATTATCTAGCAAACTAGATTAAGGATTGATTAACCAAACTACTCTAGTAACTAAACTAAGTAAAACTACTAATTACAGTTTGGAAACTCACTTAGGTATGATTCCCCCTAGCTCCTCAATTAGGTCCAAGTTGTAATTCCTTTTGGTTGATTTACTGTTGATTAAACTGCGGAAGATCCGACAGTAGCTTGGAATCTCTTAAGCTGACCAAGCCCTCTCAGTCTAACTATCCGGCAGACGACTAGTCTTCACCGGGATAGAAAGCTGAAGCAATAAGCACAGAACTCCACTACTGGAATTGGATTCCAGTACAAAGCAGTAAACTGGCTAACTCTCGTATAGCCAATCTCCTACTACCGAATGATGAGACTCTAGCAACCTAATCAGATTCTATCTATCTCAGATTGCAGCAAGAATCAGGAAAAGTTGATCAGACTTCAATTGACTCAATAAACATGCATCATTCGATTATAATCAAACAATATAGCATCCAAAACTTCATACAAGAAAGATCCTAACTCATGGAACTAAGGTTCCTCAAAACCTAAGTGAAGGGAAGTTACTCCATAGAGAAGAGAGAGACTGCAGAAATCTGATCTAGATCTTCAATCTCCATCTCCAAGCTTGATTCCCGAGCTTCAATGGCGAAGAAATCCTCCAAAATAGCTCCAAGAACGTTCCCAAGTCGCTCTCTCTCTCTAGGGTTCGTCCCTTGGGTGTTTGGGATCCAAAACCCAGCTCTCTCCCTCTCCTTTTGCTGAAAATCGGGTTTTAAATAGCAATTCCCGACTCACACGGCCAGGCCACACGGCCGTGTGGCTTTACCCAGCTGCCCGTGTGAAGGCTCGGTGATTTCCACACGGCCACATGGCCAGGTCACACGGCCGTGTGGGTTGTGCCCGTGTGGCTTGCTCAGCCTCTGTTTAATGCTTCGTTTCTCCCTCGTCCGGACTCCGAATCAGTCGCCGTTTGATCCCAGACGCTCGTAGTCTCGTCCTCTTTCTTTTCATGACAAGCTTGCATGATTCTTTGTCCATAAAGTGAGGTAGAAATCCATTCTTCTTCAGGTCATACCCGAGTTTCTTCTCCCGAATCGTCAATTGATCTCTGATTGATTTGAAACTTGCGCCTATGCTTCACTTTATGTGCTAGGACCTGAAATGTGACAAAGGAACACAACCTAGCGTAAAATAGGCCAAAGACACGATAATTCAAGCTCAAACAATCAAGAAACAAAGGGGAAAACATGTGCAAATACCGAGTCATCACCAATCGACTCAGAACTCGTTCCCAAACCTTCATTCACGTACTAGGATCTGAAATATCACAAACAAGAACAATCTAGCGTGAAATCGGCCTAAAACACGAGAAATAAGACTCAAACGGTGTAAGAATGGTGGACAAAAACATGTATAGACAAATTATTAGAAATAACGGGGTTAGCCCCAACCTCCCTAATTAATAGACACATCGGTAGAGAATTTTGTGGGCTAGGCTCAAACAGACATGACGGAATAAAACATTGCGGGATGTCCACCACTGGCAGCCTCCAATGTCGGCAGCAAAAAGCCCAATTTCCGCAATCTGTCCCCGGGCGGCGCGTTGGCCAGCACAACATGAGGCAGCGAACTGCACGAAGCTGCGGGAGTTACCGCCGAGACCGGGGCCGGCACCGTAGGCGACAGCGAGCCGCGCGATATTGATAGAGCTACTACCGAGACAGGGGTTGATAACTCTCTCGAAGGAAAGCAAAAAGGAGAGGGTTGGGGGAAGAGCCCAATACCTCGCTGATGACTCGGATCGCACCGCAGCTACTGGGGGGAGTTCCTCTCCTTGCTTCTCCAGAAAATCCAAGGCACCGAGAGTTACACTGAAGGTTTGCAACTGGGGGCGAGGGCAATTTATAGGGGATAGAGTTCGAGTTCCCCAAGTAGAGGGAAACACCCCCTGCTCCATCTTTTTGTTAGAGGAATAATTGGATTAGCAGACCGACGTTGGGGATTCGGTTTGTTTTCCCTGAATCGGATCCGACACTCACTAATCGCGCCCAACGGAACCGAAAAAATCTCCCGAAAATCCCTCCTTGCCCACCCCACGCAACTGCTTCCCCAACCACCAACGCTGAACGTCGATGCCGCCACTTCGACCGATCAACTCCGCACCGGTGACATTGGGGATGGGATTTGTAAAAAATTCCGCCGCTTTAGCACTGCCTTGCAGTACACCGCAGTATTCCTCCCCGAGGAGATCATCTTGACCATCAAATTCACAACGAGTTTCGTGTTTGCTAAGACATTTAGATTCAACAAATGAACATGGTACTCTATTTTTTGTTTTTCGCTTGCTCTGACGGCTCGGGAATAGTCCCCACCCCTAAGGGTACAGTAGGGTTCCATCGTTTAATTGGTATCAGATCTACAATTGGATGTCGTGAGGGCTTAGTTTTGTTCCATGCGAACGACGGGGAGACATAATCTTCATCTTCCAGTTCGGACGAATCCGGAAGCCAGGATCGCCATTGATACCGTGATCGGATCCGATATCTTTTGGTTGGACGTCCTGCTTCAGTTAGAACCTCGGCAAAAGCCGTTTGAAACGATCGCTTTTTCAGGCGGAGCCACTTAGCTCGGCGCCTAGCCATCCTAGTCAAATCCCTCTCCGAAGAAGGGCTCGCCGATTCCAGGAGAGGTTCCCCTTCCCTGTTATTGATCGGAGCTTTTTGTCGACCAGGCTCCCAGCGACGATGCCATGTCAACGATGGCGAAAAAGGAAGACCCTTGATTCTGGTTCTTCATGCTGACTTTGTAAATAACGACGGCGGCCCGCGATAGCTACCGCCCAAGCACCGAACATAGCAGAAGGAGAGAGGAGAGAACTCCTCCTATTTTTTTTTCTTTTGATAATTAAACAAATTCAAGGATCACATAAAAAAAAGTTATATTTTTGAGTAAATACAATTTAATATCCAAACCTTTCATTTTAAACAATATAATAGCCAAACCTTTGCGAAAACAATCTAATATCCAAATCGTTAACTTTCCGTCCGTTTGACCGTTAGTTGACACTTCATCAAGTTCGAAGTACGACACTTCATCAATATCCATCGATATCTTCTCTGAAAAACCACCAACATATCGTGGTTCCAAACCCGAGAAGTCCATGACTCCACCATGATGGTATAGAATATCTAAATATTCAGTCATCTGCAATGCCAAAACAAGAAAACAAAGCTGTATTGTGACAATTTCCCCTAAACAAAACTTTTTTGAAGTGTCAACTAACGGTCAAGCAGACGGAAAGTTGACGATTTGGATATTAGATTGTTTTCGAAAAGGTTTGGCTATTATATTATTTAAAATGAAAGGTTTGGATATTAAATTGTATTTACCCTTAAGTTTTTGGCAATATTTGTTCTTTGGTAGGAACTAAAATTAAATACAATAAAACAAGAAAAGGGTGAAATTGGAAAGCAGATTCAGATCCCTAAAATCGTCAGTCTGGTCTCTCGCTTTCGCTCTCGCACACAGTATTCGCTTTCGTCGCTGGCTGGATACTCTCGATCTGCTTCTCCGAAAGCTGCTTTCACTTGGTCCGCCAAAGTTGCCACTCACTTCTGTTTCCTTTTCCATCTGCAGCATCGCCTTCAGTTTTCTTGCCTGAATCTTACTTTGCTCCTTCAAGTCAGGTGAGCTTTGGAGAAGCTCTTCTCTTATGCGTGCGAACACTAGTTTAATTCTTGCGTTTCTTCGATGCCATTGCGTGCAAGCCTTCTACTTTCAGTAGCTTTGAAGTGAAAACAGTATTCTAATTTCGTTGCTTTTGGCTATGCACTGTGACATTGTCTGCTTTTACTATTTTTCTTCATTTCCTCTCCTTATGCTTTCATTATCATAGATTTTTTGGATGGATAGTAAACCCTTAGGTTGCAGTCTTCCTTGTTCTGAAGGGAACGGAGCAAGGATTTGGTGAATTTGCTAGTTTTAGGACCCTTATCATGTACTTTTCCCAATACATTGTTATGGATTCTGGTTCTAACCTGTTTACCAAAGCTTGCACCTTTGATGACCAATGGCGAGTTGGGTTTTCGTAGTTCGGATGTATCATTTATTGAGGGACTCAAATAGTGTTTTGGACATGCCTTTTCTCATGTTGTATTGTATGGATCCCAAATAGTGTTGAAATCCTTAATCATTTCATCTCATTAATTATGTTTTGCCTCTTGGATTATTTTATATAGAGATTGATATTTTTTCATGTTTTTTGTTTTCCAGAAATGGGAAGAAGTAGATGACTCATCTACAGGGATGCAGGATTTGATAGGTAGGAATTTATACTAGGATATTAGTTGGGAGTTGTTTTTGGAGCACTATGGGTGGCATTTGCTGTAAACCCTCTTCTATAGTGGATAACAAAGAAAGGCTCTCAAGTAAAGAATCATCTGATTTGAGGGTATCAAGGGTCACATCTTCAAGGAGGGAAGATGAGTATAGGCCTAAAGATAGGTACAACAGCAATGACAGGAGGACAATGTTAATTGATAAGCAAACCGATGGGTCAAATAGATTGCAGGTCAGTGAGAGTGTTGATAAAAAGAGGGAGAGGATGGAATATGCTGTTGTGCAATATCCAAGGATTGGTAGCATACCAAAAGCGATTGAAGGAGAGCAGGTTGCTGCTGGGTGGCCTTCCTGGTTAGCTGCAGTATCTGGGGAAGCAATAAAGGGGTGGCTTCCTAGGCGGGCTGATTCTTTCGAGAAGCTGGATAAGGTACATGATTTTCTTAGACTTCATATTCTTTCATTTAAACCTTTCTAATTGCTTATTTGATTAGTATATTCTGTCCATTTCAAATGTACTGCTCTGTTCTTAAGTAACAGTAACTCCTGACTAGTTTGGAGCTAATAATAGTTGTGTTTTCTCATGCAGATTGGACAAGGAACCTATAGCAACGTTTACAGGGCGCGTGACCTTGATCAGAAAAAGATTGTTGCTTTAAAGAAAGTGAGATTTGATAATCTTGAACCGGATAGTGTTCGCTTTATGGCAAGGGAGATCCACATTTTGCGTAGGCTTGACCATCCTAATGTTATAAAGCTAGAAGGCTTAGTTACATCAAGGATGTCTTGTAGCTTGTATCTTGTCTTTGAATACATGGAGCATGACTTGGCTGGTCTCGCCTCACATCCAGGTCTTAAGTTTACTGAAGCACAGGTAATTGTTAGAGTTTCAGCATTGTAATATTTTCACAGGAGTCTGGTTTGGAATAATGATATTTCAAATATGATGTTCTTGTAGTCTGCCAACATCATTCATTGTAAAGTACATATTTATGCATTTATCTTATTCTTGTTTGTTGCAGATATCTGCTTCTCATCAAAGTCCTGTAATTTTGGCAGGTGAAATGTTACACGCAACAACTCCTACGAGGTCTTGATCATTGTCACAGTCGTGGTGTCTTACACCGAGATATAAAAGGTTCCAATCTATTAATTGACAATAATGGTATCCTGAAAATTGCCGACTTTGGTCTAGCAAGCATTTACGATCCCAGTCATATTCAGCCGTTGACAAGCCGGGTTGTGACCCTTTGGTATCGTCCGCCGGAGCTTCTACTTGGAGCGACGTACTACGGAACTGCTGTGGACTTATGGAGTACTGGTTGCATACTTGCTGAATTATATGCTGGCAAGCCTATTATGCCTGGTAGAACTGAGGTATTTGTCCCTTTGGGTTTGGATGATTGGACTTATCTTTTGGTCACTGATATCTGCTGCTTATCTATTGCCTATATCGTTTCTACAGCTTTCTGTTCACAAACTTCTGAAACCAGTGCTATTCAAAATGCATTCCGAAACTTAATTCACCCTGGAATTTCCTGCACGAGAGATTGATGTCAGTTATGTATGATTCGGCCCACATCAACCTTATGTGCATGTGTGAAAGTAGCATAAGAAACTTGAGGATTTGTACTATTCTTAGAGGATGTGTATCAGCATATGATATTCTGTATATCAAGCTCTAGTATGTCACTTACCTTTGGCTTACTGCCTCTGATTGTCAAGTTAGTTTTAGGCTTAACCATAGGTGTGGCACTCTTGTTTAACAGCTGTCTGATTTGAGGTTTTAGTTGAATTAGCATTATGTGCTGCTTCTCTCCCTAATGATCTTTCTTTTTTCTCAACTTCTGAAATCCATGAATTGGTTACTCTTGTGGCTTCACTCTGTATTGTAACTTACCTGGGTTTGTATGGGTTGTAAAGGGATGTAAAAAGAGGATAGGAGCCCAAACAGATGGAGCTAATATAGCCTTCTAGCCTTACTCATGGTGTATTTGAGGAATGAATAGATGCGACCTCAGTGGAACTGAAAAAGGCTGCCGGTCCATTTTCTGATGTGTATTAGACAGTAGAGTCCCTTCTCACAGCTTACTGAGATATATAGCTTCTTCTGAGTGTTTTAAATATACTGAATTTAGGCCTGCCTTCCGTATTGATGGCATATATCCTTCACTTAGGATATTATTTCATTATTATATTTTCTGACTGCTTTGTTAGTCAACTGAAAATAGTTCAGCAAGAATAAGGCCTGATGAATAATTTTACATGTTTTTTGTCTTTGAAGGTGGAGCAGCTGCATAAAATTTTCAAACTTTGTGGTTCTCCTTCTGAGGATTACTGGAAAAAGTCAAAGTTGCCTCATGCTACTATATTTAAGCCTCAGCAACCTTATAGACGCTGTGTAGCTGATACATTTAAGGAGTTCCCTGTGCCCGCTTTAGCACTCATGGAGACCTTGCTTTCCATTGATCCTGCGGATCGGGGAACTGCAGCTTTTGCTTTGAGGAGTGAGGTATGAAGCTCTAGATGTTCAATTGGCCACCTTAAATTTATCTTCTCAGGAGACACATGCTGGTACTTTCTAAAAATGTTACAGTAGCAATTATATGGTTTGTGTGTGGCTAGAATTCTTATAACTGGGTGTTGTTTCTCCTTCTCAATCGTGACAAATTCTTTGATAGGATTCACTGGCACTGTTAGTTGAACTAATTCTAATAGTTATGTCGCATTACACAAGGTTCAAGAAGGCGGTAAGCGTAAGGAAGTAAAAATAACAGCTTTATAGCACTTTTGTACTTATATTCAAATGATTCATAACTTACCTGACCCTTTACAAGAAGCAAAATATGTCATAATTTCCTAGAATCAGAAGCTTATAGAAAGTGGTGAATTGAAATTTGTCCAAAATTAGCTTTAGAAAACTTGAATCTTGTCGAAGATGAGAAGAATGATTATTTAGAATGTGGTGAATCATGAGTCACGACTAACAGCTTGTTGCTGCCGGGCGCTGGCAGTCACCGACGACAAAGAGAAACTGGGTAGAGGGTCAAGGCAAAGGGAATGGAGCAATGAGGAGAAGGTTGTGGGCTTGTGGCTATCGTAGTCAGTGATGGTAAAGAGCAGCAAGGCAAAGAGACGATCGAAGCGAACGAGGAGGTTCTTGGCTTATCACTATTAGGAGATGGCAGTCTGCAACGACAAAGAGCAGCAGGGTAGAGGGTTGCTCGAATGAATGAGTGACAATGAGAAGCAGCTTTCTGATCTAGAATAGCGAGGAACAAATGTTGCATTCAGGGTAGTTTGAGATGGTGTTGTTTTGGTGAAGTCAGCTGCCTTTTTTCTTCTGTCGGTCCACTAGATATGCTTAAGTACGCCTCCAATTACCTAATTGGGTCTGACATTGCTTAATCACGACTAGGTGCCGCCTAGCTCTGCCTCGGCATTAAGAATGTCTTATTTGCAATTTAAGGCCTAGGAGAGGCATTTTGTCATTGCCTAGGTGCGTAGCTGCAATCGGAATTCCGCCTTCTTGAACCATGATTTTACATATCATAAATATTAGTTGTGTGTGATTATCTGAAACTCTTGCTAATCTCTCTACAAACTCTTGCTAATCTTTCCATTTGTCACCATTGTCTGTTGTTGCACATCTACTAGTGTTCTGGCTGTTATGCATTTTTTCTTTTAATTTGTTGGTGATGTTTTGGCCATCTGCTCAAATGTGTTGCAGTTCTTTACGACAAAGCCACTTCCTTGTGATCCTTCAAGCTTGCCAAAATATCCCCCGAGCAAGGAGTTTGATGCAAAAATGCGAGACGAAGAAGCTAGAAGGTTAGGATTATCAAATCTAAACACACACATTTGCTGGTTTTAGGATTCTTCGTTTTCTGGATTATATAATGTTATCATGGTACATATTTTACTGCTTGATTTTTGGCAGACAAGGTGCAGTAGCAAGCAAGGGCCACCGACATGACACTGAACGAAGAGGAACAAGAGAATCTCGAGCAGTGCCAGCACCTGATGCTAATGCGGAGTTGGCTGTATCTATCCAGGTGAATTCTAGTTTTAATTCTCCCATATGGGGCTCAATGGAATTATTCACTTATGGCCCTCTTTTGGCGAGAATTCTCACAAAGTTACAATCCTCAAAAATTTGATATTTTTGTGGAAAACTAGAGATGTTACTGCATTCTTCTTGCCAGCAACTTTGCCATCTATTACAGAAAAGCAAGGAACTTCAGTAAAAACAAAAACGATTACATTTCTGTTCTGTACATGTGTTTTTTTATCTTTTCAACATTTTAATTTTCTTGGAGTTACCTTGATGGGCTATTCTTATCAGTAATGGCCATTTCTTGTGTCCACTCTTTTGATCCACTCGCTCGTTCGGCTTCTGATATCTTACTTTTGCATTTTAACTCTTTCCTTTGATTTGTGGCTCTTCAATTCAATTTTTAATTTGCCCTTTGCTGTAGCAGAAAAGGCAATGTCAGCCAAACTCTAAAAGCCGCAGTGAGAAATTCAATCCTCATCCAGAAGAAGTCGCTTCTGGGTTTCCATTTGAACCACCTAGACCCTCCCAAGTCATCGAATCAAGTGGAGAGCCCCCACATCAACAGCAGCATAGGCGAGGTTCTCATTCAGGCCCACTTGCTCAGCGTGTTGCTTGGTCCAAAGCGGGTACTAGGAATCCATATGAAGCTCCTAAGGTTTCTAGTGGGGCTGCTGACTTGTCAACAATGCCTGCTGGGTTAGTAGCTGCAAGGAGAAGCTTGTTGACTGAGGACCGAAGGGAAAGATCGGTTCAACCACAATCTGAAGTCCCGAAACTAATAGCACGGTTTCCTGGATCTTTCAAGGAATCCTCGGAGTCCTTCGGCCAACAAGATCAGAAGCATCACCATTTGCAGGGTTTCACTACAGGTGCCCATCAGAGGGAGGATGGAAGGGCTGGCTGCGGCAATCCTGTCCTTGTAAGTTGCTGCAGTCGCATTGAAATCAAATTAATTGAACTTGTTTTTTCCCCTGAAATCTTATTCCTTGATTTAGGTTGGGCATGGGTCAAAGGGTCCCAAAATCCACTACTCTGGTCCACTGGTTCCAACTGGGAACATGGATGAAGTACTGAAGGACCATGACCGCCATATCCAGGAAGCCGTGAGACGAGCGCGGATTGACAAGGTAAAGATAAGGAAAATTCAGGTGGATGGCAGTCAAATATCAACCAATTCATTATTCGTTTCTGGTCGTTAAAAAGTTGTATAAGGAGCTTAGAAAGCATAGCTAGCTAGACAACCATTTAACCAACTGGGTTAATTTAATCTTTGATTAGCTCATTGATAAATTCTCATCTCTCTTCCTCTCTGATGGCAAGTGTATCTATTGTATTTACTTACACTCTCTTCTCTGTCTCACTTAAATATGTAATGTATATGTTCATGAGCTATTCTTGTAGAGTCCATCGTCGTTGATACTTGTGGATTGACTGCATTTCAGTGACCAAATGTGACATTTACCCTTTAATAAGTAGTTCAATGTCTTTCTAGCTAGTAGAATGACACTTCGCCGTAGAACTATCCATGGTTCCCATCGTCCTTTTCAATGGCAAGTTGGTGAGCACCACCACCGTATGCATGCATAGGTAGGTTGGAGCTTGGTTGTCTCCAATGCGGTCAAAAGCGAGTAGAGAGGTTGGAGCTTGGTTGTCTCCAATGCAGTCAAAAGCGAGTTTCTACGTAGAAATGTTTTGGTGATCTAGAAGCGTAAAATCGTAAGTTTTTAAGTTTTAAGACAGAGTTTTTAACTGCATAAGTTATAAAAACTGAGATTTTGTGTAGAAGCGTTTTAGTGATCTAGAAACGTAAAATCGTAAGTTTTTAAGTTTTAAAGCGCGATTTTGACTACATTGGTTTCTCGTTATTAACTGACGAGACTATGGGCGCATTTTGTGGTCTACAATTGTTCAATTATTATTATATTATATCTGTAAAGTGCAAGTAACCAGGGAAATAGTTAAGATTTTTTTCGTTAATTAACAAAATCCCACTTTTATATTTGTAAGCGCAAGTAGTCGGGGATGATTTTTCGTTCATGGATTTTGCTACAGGCAACCCCTCTTTTATTTTTGTGCTCTCACAAAAGCCCACTTTGGGTTAGCCAAGCATAACATCGCATTCCCCATTTCTGTGATGCTTCCTTTTCCTTCCAGAACATCAATGTCGGTAGGGGTGTTCAAATAATTATCATGATAATGTTGAAATGGTTACCATGGTAATGTTCAAACTAAATTCGCTTAAATTCTATTATCCATGAAATACAATATCACAACCAAACCAAACCAATCAAATTAATACAACCGATTTGATTAATTGGATTAACCATCATAACATTAATCAATTCATAATTAATAAAATGAATAATATATAACCGTCAACACATATTTAACCCTTACTATATATATATATATATATATGGTTATGTCTTCGATGCACTCACTTTTTTGGGTGCATTCAATGCACCCGCCTCATAATCGTCATTCTGAGCAGACGATTCATGTGAAAACGATGTCAATCATCCCTTGTAGTATGATGAACAAGAACCACATGAATTTGTACAAAAATCATTCAAGATTCACTTTAATTTGAATGATTCAGGGTTTAGGAATTTAGAGTTAGGGTTAGGGTTTACAATTTGGGATTTTGGGTTTAGATTCAAAATGAATGTTAATAGGTTAGGGTAATGGGTTGATTAGTTGTGATTTTGTGTTCTATCATCATATGAGACTAATGCTACCCATTAAATTTCAAAATTTGGTGTATTATGACCACTTTTAGAGGTGGGTGCACTGAATGCACCCAAAAAAGCGAGTGCACCGAAGTAGCCACCATATATATATATATATATATATATATATATATGGTTATGTCTTCGGTGCATTCACTTTTTTGGGTGCATTCAATGCACCCGCCTCATAATCGTCATTCTGAGCAGGCGATTCATGTGAAAACGATGTCAATCATCACCTGTGGTATGATGAACAAGAACCACATGAATTTGTACAAAAATCATACAAGATTCACTTTAATTTGAATGATTCAGGGTTTAGGAATTTAGGGTTAGGGTTAGGGTTTGCAATTTGGGATTTTGGGTTGAGATTCAAAATTGAAGGTTAATAGGTTAGGGTAATTGGTTGATTAGTTGAGATTCTATGTTATATCATCATATTAGACTAATAAAACCCATTAAATTTCAAAATTTAATGTATTATGACCACTTTTAGAGGTGGGTACACTGAATGCCCCCAAAAAAATGAGTGCACCGAAGTAGCCACCATATATATGGTTCAGGCTAGCGTACACCTGACGTATAATATACACCTATGTTCACACTCTTTCGTTCATTTTTAATTTTAATTAAGCCAGTTACGGTTAAATTAAAAATGTAAAATGCACCCCAAAATTAAAAGATCTGTTCGCTTTCAACGCAATTTTGAACTTTGGACTTATTATAATTGACTTATAAGTCCCATTATATATCCACAATGGTTAATCTGCCAACGCAAGTGAAAAAAGATACCTAAGAACTTAATCAACGGAAAATAAATTCTCCAAAACACCTTCCTTTCGTCAAATAAATCCCTGTAAATAAAAATCCCGGAAAACAGAATATAAAGTCGCTCTCTTAATATGAGTAAATCTACAAACACGAATGATGAGAAAGCTACTGAAACAAGTGTATTGATTCATACATAAGCACCAATCTGAATCAAAGAATGATGAGTGGCTACTCATATTCTGCATCAATTCAACGGAGAGTTCATGTCCTCGATCAATGTACAAAACTAGCTTCAGTTTCGGATCTCGTAAGGCGATGATTCCTGGATTGTGTTTGAAATGGGCCAGAATCCGATGCTCCTCTTTTAGAGATTTCATAGTCTGCAGATTTCACTACCAGCAGAGGTGAATTTGGGATTCTTGGAATTTTATTGAAGACTTTGTCATAGCTTCCTTTACCCACCAATTCCCTTCGACTCCACCTAATCCCGATGTCGATGACGATGATGGATCTCGACCGGCGTAGCTTGCTATGACACATGTTTGCTTTGATTCTGGTTCAAAAACATGGATATGACAATCAGATTCAAGGGGGGATTCCTTGATACACCGAATTATACAAACAGATCGACGATAACTAATTTCCATAATCCCATATACAGTTAATCGACGGCACAACAAACAGAGGTGGAGTATGCATCTCTGAATCTAACTCTACATAGAAATAGTGCTCAGTTCCAAAACTTATGGGCATTGGTTCTCAATTTTGGTCTCTATTTTTTCCCCTCTTCTCATAAGGGATTGTTATCTAATGAACGAGGTTATTATAATTTGATTATTTGAAGAACAAATGGAACCAAATCCATGAATATGTTAAAGTTAACCATGGAAGCTCCTGGGTGTTGCTTTAAAAAGAACAAGCTCCTGGGTGTTTAAGTTTATGATGATGTGGAGAAACGATGTATTATATAATGGATACTTAGAATGGTTGATTCGTATATCTAAATTTTTCCGGTACTATAATGTTCAAACTATAAATTAAAGGATATACTTTGTAGTTGTAATTATCAATAATGATTAATTAACTCAGAATTAAAATTAATTAATGAGTGTGAACGCAGGTGTATAGCGTATGTCAGATGTACGCTAGCCTTTGCCATACATATATATATATAACTAATAACATTATTTTACATTCATTAGAAGTAGCCACCTAACAAAAATATATGTTAAGGACATGAGGCTAATGAATTGGGTGTGTTTATATGAAATTTCTTAGTTTCCTAGCAATTATCACAGTGTCTGTTGAGTGGTTATGCAAAGTATTAAGTATGTATATATAATATATTAGACATATGACTAGCTAATTGCTTAACCGGTTAATTGGTTAGGAGTGTGTGAAACCAAACCAAATCACCTAAACCAAACAAAACGAAAAATTTGTTCAAACCAAACGAATCATCCAAATCAACCAAACCAAATTACCCGAATACTTCCAATTAAATGGTTACCACAGACCACGATAACCACTATGTTTGAACACCCCTACATTTCGCTGTCTTCCTTTCCCATACCCTCCAAAAAGTTTGGACCTTGCGGGTCTAAAAGTTATCACGGTCTGATCGTGATAATGCCATCAAGTTCGTGAAGACCTTAAATGAAACGATGCGTTTTTTCCCGAGATCACGGGCGAGGCTTCGAGATCACGCCCGTGATAATCGACCGTGATAAGCGCGCGACTAGAGTATTAAAGGAGAAGAGAGCTGAAATTTGAAGGGGGATCCTAGTGAGAGATTGTCTTCTTCTTGTGATTTTACAGAGAGAAAGTGACGAACAAAGAGAGAAGAAGAAGTCTAGCGTTTGCTCCTAGCTAGAGGATTGAACATTTTCAATTCCAAGGGTGATTGCAATCACAAGGAAGGAAGTCAAACACCACACCATGGTTCTTTCCCTCCTCTTTGTTTGTAATCCCTAGCTTAGCTATGGAGTAGTTCTCTTTTCACTTGGGTGTGGGCCCTATCCTAGAAATGTGATAGGTTGTTGGATTTGAACTCTATGTGTGTAGATTGTTGATTCGGGGCTAATTACACACATTTTAGCCCTCATTTCTTGATAGTTTAGCCTTGTATTTCATCGTCCCTCGACCTATTTTACACTAGATTGTGATATTTTTGATACATTTAAGGTCATAGCACGTGTGGAAATTCGAGGACGAGTTTCGGGACGAATGGAGGTCGAAAAGAGCCAAAAAGTGAAGAAAAGTCTGAAGTTGACCGTGACAATTGCATGACGGGCGTGAAGTTCGCGAGAAACAAGGAGGTTTTTGCACCTCGCGGGCTTGAAGATTATCACGGTCGCCTGACCGTGATAATTGTCCAGTGAGCGTGATATTAGGCCAAAACGGCAGCATCCTCCCGCGTTTTTGTCCGATGTCACGGTCTAAGCTCCAAAGTCACGAGCGTTAAGTGCATATCGTGAAAGTGACTTCGGGCTCTATAAATAGAAGGCAGCCGGGAGAGAGAAGGGGAGGCTAGATCTTGGGGTTGGTTTTACATTTTTTGGGTTCCCTTCTAGGGTTCCAGCTGAAGAAACCCTAAGGGGGAAACCCTAGTGAGAGAAATGTCTTCTTCAAAATCTAGAGAGAGAAAGTCATCAGCAAGGAGAGAAGAAGAAAATTTGGGATTACTTCAACCTATAGGAGTGAAGATTCTTACCCCTCAATTAGGGGTTCTATTTGGTTACCCTGTTAACGATTTAAACGCTAACCATACTGTTAACTGACAGTAATCGATTACACCGTTAACAGCCGGTAACGGTTGTCGGACACCGTGAGGAATTAAACGGTATACCGTCTGTGTTTCTATTGTTTACCGTCAGCAACCCGGTTAACCACATATCGATACCCCGACGAAGACCACATGTTTCAGCCGCTGCTTACCGACTATGCGCTAGCACCGATGGTGAACTAGGACCAGGCGCAACGGGTGATAATGGCATACAAGTCGCCAAAGTTCATAAAGACAGATTGGAGGACAAAGAAGACGAATGTGTGGAGCCCTGTTCATGGAGCTTTTGATGGGGAAGTTCCCAACGAATTACTTGTGGCGAGGGAAAGGGGCGACAGAGAAATACGTGGAATGATCTGGAAGGCAGTGAATCACAGAGCTATTTCTCTGATGCTAGCGTTTCTCTTTATCTTCTTTTTATTTAAGTTAGGTGGTGTTATTTAGAAGGCGGGATGCTGAAGATGCTCAATTACGAAGCTAATTAGGAGCTCACATATAAGGTAATCACAATAAAGAAAATAATGATAATAAACCACAAAACTAATTAGGAGCTCACATTTAAATAATTGTCCAAGATTGAGAACATGAATGAGAGAGAACATAAAAAACCAAGCAAAATTGGGGGAGAGAAATATTGTGTGCGGTTATCGGATAATCGCTTTGGTAATCAATAACCGGCTAGCCGGTTAGACAGTTAATTGGTAGGAATTCATTGCGGTTGTTGGCAGCCACTTATTGTGGTTCGGTATACCATTAACTGGTTAGCCGGTTACCAGTTAAATCAGTTTCCGACCGATTACCATCCCTACTCTCGAGGAATTCTCATCAACAAGGAGGGATGACAAGCATCCACCATGGTTATCTCTTCACTTGGGTATTGTGAACCCTAGTCTAGATGTGTGTTAGGATGTAAGAAAATGACTCTATTTGTGTCTTGATTGAATTTTTATATAATATTTGAGGTATTATTCATGAATGATTGAGTGTTGCTACCTTTAACTCATTATTATGCCAATTTGACCTAGGTAGAGGGAAATCCCCTTCTTGCTAAGAGGCTTTTATAAGTTGGAATTCCTTGGACAATTGAGCCACCTACTTAATTAGGGCAAACCTCAAATATCGGATAAGTGCCACGATCCCATCATGATTGGTCGCTATCCGTTGTTCCCCGTTCGGATGAATTTTTGAGGGATTGGTTCTTGCAACCCTTGGTTAATTGGTTAAGAGGGTTAGATTCCTAGATTATAGTTGCAATCCTGACTCGCACGGACTACATCAAGATTTAAATCCCGACTAGAGCCCACGTAGAAACTCTAGCCGAGTGCAGTATAGGGAAAATGTGTTTTTATTGTCAAACCCGGGCCAGTCCGTGTACCCCTACTTCAATCGCTTAAGTTGTTATCTAGCAACACGATGTTTGGTTATTTAAAGCTAAAGAAACTACAAATGAAAACAAGCAAGAAAAGTAAATCGAGGAGAATTCTATATGAGAGGACTTCACTCGGGTATTGCACCTCCTAGTCTCGTATTAGGAAACCATGAAAAGAATTGCTACAATAATTGCTAGGGAACCTAGCTCTCTTAACCGCTCGGCTAAGTATTGCAACAATAAGCTAGGAGGCCTAGCTTTCTTAATCGAACAAACCAAGGAAACCTAACTCTCTTAGCCAACCAATTAAAGATTCTTGCATTAAGTTAGTAGAATAACTCTCTTAACCTTTCGGCTAAGGATGACAACAATAGGCTAGGCAATCTAGCCCTCTTAACTAATCAACTAAGGATTGCAAGACCCAACCCTCGGAAGTTAATCCAGGCGGCGGAGAGAGACCAATTATGATGGGATCATGGTACTACTCCGATACTTGAGGTTTTGGCCCTAGATTAACCGAAAAGGGGTTACCCAAGTGGCTAGGAGATCAAGCTCCCTATGGGCCAAAGGGGGATTTCCAAATTCTAGGTTAATTTGACCAATTATGAGATGATGCAAGCAACACTCAATCATTCATGATTAATACATCAAATATTATATAAAACACACAATCAACACAATAGAATCATGTTCAGTGCAGTCAAAATCGCGCATTAAAACATAAAAACTTACGTTTTTACGTATCCAGGCCACCAAAACGTTTCAGTTTCTGCCTAAAGTCGCTTAGTCACAAAAACTGGTAAAAACATGAGTAAAATCGGTAAAATCGCTTAAAATCGGTAAAATCGCGATTCTAAAGCGTTTTTATACGATTATGATCATCTCATAAACATGTGCCAATTGGCCCAAAATGATATAATTTTGGAGACATATCAGCAAAAAATAAAAATAAAATGGAAAACAGGATTCATCACTCATTCTACAACTAGTGTCGGGATAGGGGCTTCACATTAGGTTGAAAAGACACCTAATGGTATTCTCAACAGCCGCTGACCTTCTATCAGTCTTCTCCCTTAATCTTCACTTGTGGCTCATACCTGGGTTACGATAAAAGTTTATGGGTAATTGATCGTATTAATTATGTAAACTCAAACCAACTTATGTGAATTTGGATTCTCAAGCTCGTTTACGGGTTACGATCTACGTTTATGAGCTTATTATTAAGATCTTATGAGTTTTCTCTACTTTTGAGTCAACACAAATAGTTTATGTGTTAAATATCACATTTTAATTATGAATTTCATGTAGTTATTCACTTATCTAAAATCTACACACTCACATTTTACATACTATATGTTGTACTTAACATATTTTAGCTATTTTAGAGGGTGCGTCAAATACTTACGCTTTTACGCTTTGATTTTACGTTTTACGATTTTACCCATTTTCCGCTTCTAGGTAGAATCGCGCTTTTAACTGCATTGATCATGTTCATATATTCTAACGCACATCTAGACTAGGATTCACAATACCCAAGTGAGTAGGTAGGCTATTCCATAGCTAGGCAAGGGAAAACAACAAAAAGAAGAGAATGAACCATGAAAATATGAATATCTTCCTTCCTTGTTGCTTGAATCTCTGTTGAGAAGAAGAAACATTCAATCCTCTAGCTTAGGGCAAGCCCAAATCTCATTCTTCCTTCTTTGAATGACACTTTCTTTCTCTAGATTTGAAGAAGAAACCCTAATCTCTCACTAGAAATAAACTAGAAACCTCCCAAAAATCTCTCTTTCTCTCTCCCAGAAGCCTTCTTTTTATACATCCCGACAGTTAAGTTCACTATCAGCACTTCACGCCCGTGACATCAGACCAAAATGCAACGTTTTGGCCGATTTCAGTCAGACTTCATGGTTATGGTTAATTTTCACGATCTCGAGACTGTGAAAAACCTTCAGCCCTCGAGATGGACGAAACCTTTCGGGACTTAGCGAAGTTCAAACCATGACTTTGGACTTTTCTTCACTTTTTGGCGCTTTTTGGCTCCAATTGTCTCAAAACTTATCCTCGACCTTCCCACACGTGCCAAGACCTAAAATGTAACAAAAAAGCACAATCTAGCGTAAAATAGGTCGAGGGACAGTGATATACTAAGCAAAACGAACAAGAAATAAGGGGTAAAATGTGTACAATTGGACCCGAATCAAATCCTAAGTCGAATGGCTAAGAGAGTTAGGCCACCTAGTTAATTGTTGCTATCCTTAACTGGTAGACTAAGAGAGTTAGGGTTTCCTAACTTGTTGCACTCGCTTCATAGTTTATATATACATCCTACAAACTAGAGTTTCGTTCATTGTTTCTTAATACGAGACTAGGGGAGCAATACCCGAGTCAATTCTTCTCTTATTGGGACAACCTCGATTTACCTTACTTGAATTCTTTATTTTGTAGTTTTCCTAACTTGTTGCCTCTTTGTTTTGTTTTGTTTTGTGTTTTGATTGACCCACTCTTCGTCTTGAAGGGTGGTTTGTGTGTGTTTGATTTTCATTTTTTAGTGTTTTTGTGTTAGTAGGTATTGGATCATGGATCCTTATGATTTCACCCAGGTGTGGGGGTATCCACCACCATCCGAGTGTGGCTACCCCAAAACTTCATGGGATGATCAAAATTGGGGAAGTTAAGGATCCTGATTCTACTACCAACCTCCCTTCCAAGAAGAGCAACCATGCTCATGCGGATATCAAGAAGCTTCCCCATATCAAGAGGGTTTCCCTCCACAACTCAGGGTGAAATCCAAGCTGGAGTTAGCCATGGAGGCTTTCGTTGGACAAACCTCAAGACCATATGCCACTCCACAACCGGAGCAAAAGAGCGAATTAGAGCTCACGGTGGAGAGATTTGCCCAGGGCACCGACAAAGGGTGCTCTAGCATGGACCTCCCAATTGCCGACCCTTTTGACTCAGCCTTTTTACGGGAATCGTAGGAGCTCCTTCGACACACATAGAGTCTAGGAGGGTTTGTTGAGAAATCATGTGCACAACTTGATCACAATCTCCTCCCGCAATTTGAAGGAAGAGAAGAATTCGGAGAGGCGAGCCCAGAGAACTTTGGAAGGACGAGCTCCAGCATGGATATCCAACCCCTCCTTCCTTGTTTGACACTAGAAGAGAAGGTGGCACGAGCTTGTGCACGCCATCGCCTCTCACAATTGAAAGAATAAGTGAAGGTTGGAGGGGAGGTCAATGCAGACTATGTGGAACGAGAAGTACTCATCCGGGGGAGCTCCCATGGTGAGGATGATCGAGTGTCTATTGGCGACTCTCATCACTTTCCCTTTCCTGAGACCAACTTTGAAGACCAAGTCATGAGGGAAGAGAAGCAAGAGAATCCCTTCTATGATCTTGCATGGAATATTGCCCTCCAAACCGTTCTAGAAGACACAAATGGGAAGGTGAGAGAAGAGCGAGAGGAAGAGAGAAGGAAGTTCATGGAAGAGGAAGTGAAAATTGAAGAAAGGGAAGATCTTGATTGTTTCCAAGGGGAGGAAATTGTGGAAGCTGGAAGAGAGGTTGAGGAAAAAGGAGCAAGTGTGTCCAAAATGAGGACGAGGTCGAGGTGGATGAAGCATCCACGAGTTACAAGTGTTACCAATGCTTTCTACCCGACCTTTACGCGCTTCTCGAGAAGGACCCATTTGAGGCTCTTTGCCAAGCCAAGGACAAACCATCGGCAATCCCTCTTGGTGGATGCGATGGAAGTCTCGATGATTTACTACATGGTGTGGGGCAAAGAGAAAGAAGAAGAAAAGAAGAAGAGGTCTCGTGGGTGGAGACTCGAAGCTACTCAAGTTCGCGAGCCCTCAATCATGGACTCGTTCAATGCTTGTGACTTGATACTTCATCTCAACGACGAGAACCTCAAATTCAAGAAGGGTTTTGGGTGGACCGAAACTTGAAGAGCAACCGCCCGGCTCACGACGTTAAAGAAGCGCTTGTTGGAAGGCAACACAACATACGTTTGTTCATTTTTATGTTAAGTACTATTATTGTGTAATAACTGATAACGATGTAATTGCACGTATTTGCACCCCTAGTTCTTATCCGTTTGAGGGGCATAGTCGTGTATTTTGGCCTATTTTACGCCGGGTTGTGCTATTTTGTCATATTTCAGGTCCCAGGCGTCAAAGGAAAGGCTAAGCACGAGTTTCGGGGCATTCGGAAGTCATTTCGTCGAGCTGGAGCCAAAACACGGGCACACCTAAAGCAGAACACGGCCGTGTTCCTAGGCCGTGCTTTTACTGCCGAGAGCTGATTTGAGTTTGAAAAAGAAAAAGAAAAACACTGGCTGAAAACACGGGCGGGGTTGAGAGAAAACACGGCCGTGCCCACCAAAAGCACGCCCGTGTTTTACCCAACAGTCTGGCCGTGTAATTAACCCTTGGCAAAACACGGGCGGGCTGAGGCAAAACACGGCCCTGCCCTCGACCGTGTTTTGCCTAGTGATGCCCTTTTAAGCATATTTCAGCCAAAACAAAAGGGGATTCGAGTTTTAGAGAGATAGAGCGATTCCTAGAGAGAGAAAGCGACGAACAAGAGTCTCCAAGTGCCCTAGCTTGATCTTCAATACCATTGGAGGCTAGGGATGGCAATGGGTCGGGTCGGGGGCGGATAGTGCATATCCGTTACCCTACCCAATGTAGTTCGGGTTTTACCCATACCCGTACCCACACGAAAAACAGGTAGAAAATCAAAACCATGCCCATACCCGTTCGGGTTTCGGGTATCCACAGTTATCCATGGGTAATAATTTCTCCTTATAATTCCAACCAATATGTTAACATTCACACGTATATTCACATTACGTAAGAGGAAAAGTACGACAATAATTCACTAGAATGACGAAAATTAATTAAAACAACATAATTTCATGAAAATATTATAATTATATGCTAAATATAAAATATTTTAGGGAAAAATAATGATTATTTTTAGACAAAATACATATGCATGTGTATAATCGGGCGGGTTCGGGTTGGATAGTGAGATAACCATGCCCACCCATTACCCGCAATATTCGGGTTCGGGTTTTACCCGTACCCACGAAAAATGCTTCGGGTTCGGGTTTTACCCTACCCGATTAGGTCGGATTCGGGTGGATATCCACGGTTACGGATATTTTTGCCATCCCTATTGGAGGCCAGCTTGAGCTTGGAGAAGTGCCGATCAACGTCCAGGAGCAGGAATCCATCCTTCACAGTATGAATTCCGCGTCTGATTCTGCTTTTGCTTCTTTCTCCATGGAGTAGTTCTCCCATTCATCTGGGTATGGAGAACCCTAGATTTGTATGTTAGGTTTGATTGTATGAACCCAAGTACTGATTCTATGATTTGATTATATTCAATTGAGGTTTGAATGATTGAATGGCATGAATCCTGATCAAATTCCTGTTGTTTCTGCTTTAACCTAGAATGAGAATATCTGCCTAGGTTGATAGAGCATCCTTGATTGAAGGTAGGGAGTTGGTGACTTTAGTCGAGGAGCCAACTCACTATTCTGTACCGAATTCACTTCGGTAGTGGAGGTTTTGTTGTTAGGGCCTCAATCTGTTTACTTCGGTGGAGGTTAGTCGCCCGCTAGAGACTCAGATTGAGAGGGTCTGAAGACCTTTAGTCGAGACTTCAGGCTGTTTAAGAACCTTCCGCAGTATAATGATCATAGAAACTGAACTTGGTAATTGCAATCCGGCTTAACTGCAGTCTAGGGGGAACCATATCCGGGTGACCTCTCTTAACCTGAAAACAACCGTTTACTTGCTTTGTTTGTTTGTTAGTTTAGACTTGCATTAAAGTTTCATTGCTAGATAACAAGAAGTGAGTCAAGTTTTTGGCGCCGTTGCCGGGGACGGCTAGGTTGTTGAAGAAAAGTGATTTCTGTTAATTTAGCTTTTCTTTTCGCATTGTTAGCCTTGTCCCACTTATGCCTTCACGGGTTTGCTTGAGTGTGTGCAGGTAGTGCATGACCCGTAGCCAGTCGGGAGGTTTACTGCCGTTGAATCCAGAGATTGACCGCACCTGTCGCCAACTCAGGAGACAACAGCGAGCTAGACTGGCTACGGAAGAGCGCATAGACGGCCACCTGAGTAGTATTCTGAGGAAGAGTACGGGATGGACGGAGAATACAATCCACACCAGGGGAATCCTCAGCAAGCTCCCCCGGTGAATCAGGTCCTGGGGAACAACCCCATACCCCAGGATCATGGGGTTCATCATCATCCACCGCCGCCGGGTCCCACCTTGGAGTACTACTACACTCCACGGATTGCTGACATCCGCCCGGTCATCCTCTACCCGCCTATTCCAGCAAACAACTTCGAGATCAAGCCATGCTGGATTCAGCTCATTACATCCTCTATCCAGTTCCATGGCTTGAAGGATGAGGAGGCCAGGGTGCATCTTTCCCGTTTTCTGCAGCTGACGAACGGGTTCAAGCTTAATGGTGTCCCTGATGATGCAATCCGCCTTCACCTTTTCCCTCATTCTCTGGCGGGGAATGCTAAGAGGTGGTTGGAGACCCATCCCCCATTGTCCATCACCTCTTGGGACGATCTGGTTGACAAATTCGTGCACAGGTACTATCCGACATCGAAGACTACAGAGATCCAGCGGGAGATCACTCACTTGCGCCAAGAGCCAGATGAGTCACTTCGTGATGCGTGGGAGCGGTACATGAGATATTTCTGGCAGTGTCCCCATCATGGCTTCAGTGATGCATTCACAGTGGGGAACTTCTACAGTGCTCTCTCTCCAGATAGCCAGAGGGTGATTGAGTCTCTATGCCCAGGAGGGGATATTCTTACTAAGACTCCACCCGAGCTGAACCAGATGATCAATACCTTGGCTGCCAGAGATCATTCTTGGGGGCAGAGCAGCAGAGGCAGACATTCCCGGGACCGTGGTGTGCACGCCATGGAGACCAGATCCGGGCTTGAGCAGCAGGTAGTTGAGTTAGTGCAGACATTGAAGCAGCCCAACAGTCTTATTCCGGGCAGAGGTTTGGCTACACCTCCAGTAGCTCAATGTCAGTGGTGTGAGAGCTCAAATCACCTAGTGGAGGACTTCCAGGCTATGAGGGAGTCTACTACTCCCCAAGAGCAGTTGGACTTCATCGCCAATGCTCGGCGCCTCGACCCGTACAGCAACACATATAATGAGGGGTGGCGCCAGCACCCCAATTTCGCCTGGAGCAGCAAAATCACTAAACCACCTAGTTTCCCAGCACCAGCCGGTGGTTTTCAGCAGAGGCAGCCCTTCCAGGCTCGACAGGGGCCAGCCCCACAGCAGCAGCCCTACCAGCCTAGGCAGGGGCAACCATTCCAGCAGCCCCAGCGCCAGTTTGCCGAGCCAGCAGCAGCTCCTGCCCCAGATGATCGGATGACGAAGCTGGAAAATATTCTAGATTCATTCATGACTAGCACTCAGGCAACTATCCCGAGGTTGGACCAGAGCGTAGCCTCACTGGAGGCAGGTCAGAGGAACCAAGGTGCCATTTTGCAAGATCTGCAGCACCAGGTGGGTATCTTGGCCCGCCAAAACACTACCAGGGCACCGGGGACTCTGCCTGCCACCACTATTCCGAATCCTCGTGATCCTCACCAGCATCAGCAGCTGGATGCCATTTTTACCATGAGCGGTAAGACCATATCTGCTGATCCTATCCCGGCCAGACAGGAGGACCCACTACCTGCTTCAGCACTTCCAGCCGACGATGCAGAAGTGCGGGTGGAGAAGGAAGCCCCTGCTCCCAAGCCACAACCAGTGGTTAAGGAGCATGTGCCTCAGCTTCCCTTCCCCACTCGCCTACACAAAGACAAGCTGGAGACTGAGTTTGCCAAGTTTATGGCAATGTTGAAGCAGCTCAACATCAGCATACCGTTCGTGGAGGCACTGTCGAAGATGCCCAAGTATGCTAAGTTCATGAAAGACCTCCTCACCGACAAGAAGAAACTTGGGGATCTTTCGACAGTGATGCTCAGTAAGGAGTGTTTTGCTATCCTGCAGAACAAGCTGCCCGAAAAGCGCAAGGATCCAGGGAGTTTTACTATCCCTCTTACTATTGGCAACATGCATGTAGGCAAGTCCTTGGCGGACCTAGGCGCTAGCATAAATGTCATGCCATATAAGTTGTATAAAAAGCTAGACCTAAGTGAACTTAGCCCTACTAGGATGAGCATTCAGCTAGCTGATCGTTCCATTGTGCATCCTAGGAGAATCATAGAGGATCTGCTTGTCAGTGTCGGTGCATTCACATATCCTGTTGATTTTGTTATTCTTGATATACATGAGGATGTGGATGTTCCTTTAATTCTGGGTAGACCATTTCTTGCCACCGCCAAGGCACTTATTGATGTGCATGATGGTAAACTGATCCTGCGTGCTGGGAATGAACAGGCTACTTTTTCTGTGACTGAATTCGATCACTGTGCTATGATTGCTGTCACACCTGTGCATGCCATTTCTGATCAGGTACACGAGCCTGTCGTGTATCCTTCTGCACCTCTTATTTTGCAGGACCCTCCTATCATTCCTTCGCCGCCACTCCATCTGGTCTCGCCTCCAAACAAAAAGATCAAGGAGGAGTGGCGGCCGAAGCAGCAGGTTGCTAAGCCTGCACGGAAGAAGGGTGGAGACCACTACGAGCTGGTCCCACCTCTTGCACCACGACCACCCTGGCCGTCGAGCTGACTGATGATGGTGGTCGCATCCGTCGGGTGCATGGCCACAACCTAAAGCTGTACCTCAAGAGAGACGTGGATCCGCTCTTGGAGGCACCTGCACCTGCACCTCCCTGAGTATCCACCATGGGCGTCCAGCTAAAAGACGGTAAAGAAGCGCTTGTGGGGAGGCAACCCCACCACGGTTTGACTTTCTTTCTTGTGTTTTGAGTCGGATTGTAAACCGGTTTGGTTTTGGTTTGTTTTCTTTTGTTTTGAATGATGTATTATTGGGCTGACCATTGGACCTAACATATTGTGTTTGAGCTCTTTGGTTTCCGTTAGCTGTGCTTGTCTTGACTGGTCCTCTCTCCAGTCCGCTTCACTCCGACTGGTCCGCTTCTAGTCTCCTGCAGTCCGTGCATACCGGTAACATCGTTCCCCTTTCCCTTCCCTCTTCTCCATTGAGGGCAATGTCGATCTTAAGAGTGGGGGGATGTTTATCTTTTGACTGCATTAGATCTGTTTGTGTGCTTGGAGCCTAGTCCACTGTCCAAATTTTTAAATTTGAGGGCTCCAAGTACGTGTTTCCGTGCAATTGCCTGCTCAGTATGCTTTGAATTGACAGTCTTTATAGTAATATGCAACCTAGGGAGGTAGTGTAGCACTATGGAGGATGTTGATGCATTTAAGAAGTCTAATTTCTTCTTCATATTGTGTTGGTTGATTGAGTGAATTAGTGATCTTAGGACCCTTGAATTGTGTGGTGTTGTGGACTCTCTACCTGTCATGGACTCTTGTTTCATGTTTTGAGTTTAACAGGTGCTCGAAAATGTGCTTTAAAATAACGTCTCCCGTGCGAATAGGGCGAAAGTGTGTAAGGGGAGACGGGAATTCGTTCCCAATTTCCACCTACTACCTCCAGCCCCCTTACATGTCTTTCCCCCACACGAGGCTCGAGACATCCGCTCCTGGCATGGCCGGTAAGAGCCGGGCTCCCGCAAAACCTCTGCTATGTGGGAGCCCCCATTTTCTGAAAAGCAGGTTGGGACCCTTGAAAAAAAAAAGAGAAAAAAAAAAACAGAAAACAAGCAAAACAGAAAGAAAAGGGGTTCCAACCATCTTCAAGAAGAAAATAGAGCACCTTGAATAATGTGAGTCCATGATCCTTTGTTTTTGAGAATCTCTTCATCCACGATTCATTTGTCCTCTGTTCACTATTTGCCATGATGCCGACTCGATACTAGTGCTCTCGCCGAAGAAGCTATGAGATGACTTGTGCGTCGGTTGACCTCGTAAGCTGCTAAATGATCTAAGAAGTCCTCTACCTACGATGTGGGTTGTTTGTTGCTATAGAGGTCTGGAGAGTTGCATTGGTTTGAGTTAGGTTTGCTTGGGGACAAGCAAATGGTTAAGTGTGGGGGAATTTGATAACGATGTAATTGCACGTATTTGCACCCCTAGTTCTTATCCGTTTGAGGGGCATAGTCGTGTATTTTGGCCTATTTTACGCCGGGTTGTGCTATTTTGTCATATTTCAGGTCCCAGGCGTCAAAGGAAAGGCTAAGCACGAGTTTCGGGGCATTCGGAAGTCATTTCGTCGAGCTGGAGCCAAAACACGGGCACACCTAAAGCAGAACACGGCCGTGTTCCTAGGCCGTGCTTTTACTGCCGAGAGCTGATTTGAGTTTGAAAAACACTGGCTGAAAACACGGGCGGGGTTGAGAGAAAACACGGCCGTGCCCACCAAAAGCACGCCCGTGTTTTACCCAACAGTCTGGCCATGTAATTAACCCTTGGCAAAACACGGGCGGGCTGAGGCAAAACACGGCCGTGCCCTCGACCGTGTTTTGCCCAGTGATGCCCTTTTAAGCAGATTTCAGCCAAAACAAAAGGGGATTCGAGTTTTAGAGAGACAGAGCGATTCCTAGAGAGAGAAAGCGACGAACAAGAGTCTACAAGTGCCCTAGCTTGATCTTCACCACCATTGGAGGCCAGCTTGAGCTTGGAGAAGTGTCGATCAAAGTCCAGGAGCAGGAATCCATCCTTCACAGTATGAATTCCGCGTCTGATTCTGCTTTTGCTTCTTTCTCCATGGAGTAGTTCTCCCATTCATCTGGGTATGGAGAACCCTAGATTTGTATGTTAGGTTTGATTGTATGAACCCAAGTACTGATTCTATGATTTGATTATATTCAATTGAGGTTTGAATGATTGAATGGCATGAATCCTGATCAAATTCCTGTTGTTTCTGCTTTAACCTAGAATGAGAATATCTGCCTAGGTTGATAGAGAATCCTTGATTGAAGGTAGGGAGTTGGTGACTTTAGTCGAGGAGCCAACTCACTATTCTGTACCGAATTCACTTCGGTAGTGGAGGTTTTGTTGTTAGGGCCTCAATCTGTTTACTCCGGTGGAGGTTAGTCGCCCGCTAGAGACTCAGATTGAGAGGGTCTGAAGACCTTTAGTCGAGACTTCAGGCTGTTTAAGAACCATATCCGGGTGACCTCTCTTAACCGGAAAACAACCGTTTACTTGCTTTGTTTGTTTGTTAGTTTAGACTTGCATTAAAGTTTCATTGCTTGATAATAAGAATTCACCGAGTAGTCATCAAATCTAGGACCCGGGTTGACATTTAAACCCAAACCCGCTATACTACACTTTAGGAAGTGGTTTCACTTGGCCATTTCCTAGAGTGACAGTAGAAGTGAGTCAATAACCTCGCCTTGCGTGAGTATGTGTGTGTTTGTTTGTTTTGTCTCCTTGAAGCTCCCTCCTCTTCATATCTGGCCCAATTATGTCTCGACTTTCACTTACCAAGCTATGCGGTAACAACATTCTACCCTTTTTATGCCTTTGAGGGCAATGTTGATCTTAAGTGTGTGTGTGTGTGGGTGGGTGGGTGGGGGGGGGGGGGGTAGGTTAGTATGATCGTGTGTGTGATTTTATGTGCTTGGAACCTAGTTGTATGCACAAATTTTAAAAAATTTAAGGGCTCCAAGTATTGCCTGTTCATTGTGGCCGGTTGTTGGAGAATCTTGTGTTTATTGGCATTGACTTTGGATTGTGTACTTGCGATTGAGTGCATCCTATTATGATGATTGAGAATTGCATTAGGTTGGTGCAAGTGTTTAGTTGTCATATGTGTGAAAATATATGGATGCCTTAACTTAAGTACTCATTGATTGCAATTGTCATGCATAGAAAATTTTGAAATTAGAATGGATGATTGAGCGGCTAGGTAGCCATGTGAGATTTGTGCCGATCGTCTCTTTCATGTGTGATAGATCCCTCTTACCATGATGTGTAGCATTCACATTGTAATTAGAGAGGAACATGGAGGCATAGGATAAGTCCACTCCCCAAAAGTTGATTGTCTCGATCGTTGTATCCCCTACTCAACCCTTTTGAGCCGTGTGACTTAGGGTCGTTCTCATTGTAGGAGATTTTGCTATGTGAGCTTAATTGAGATTCATAGAGTGACCCTTTGCTTTCTTCGTGTCTAAATCATTGTGAGTCATCCTTGTGCCTCAGAGCTCCCATTTTTGAGCTCCGCTGAGGCTCCACATAGGTGATTTCTGCACGGTTCCTACTAAGAATGAAAAGGTAGTGTTGGAGGAAGTTCTTAATGGTGAGCATTGTTCGTTAAGTGTAAAAGGTGGCATGTGTTTAGCTCTCTAGTACCCCCTAGAAAAAATAGAAAGGAAAGAAAGAAAAAAAAAAGTGAAAAGAGGTAATAATAGGGGTAAATAATGATAGAGAGTTGCCACAAATTTGATGTATATGCTCTAGAAAAGTGTTTCTTGGCAACCAAGCTATTGAAACACCTACTTGTTTTTGGCCTCCTTCACTACTATGCTTGAAAAAATTGGATAGCAGGTGTAGCTGAGAAAGTGTGCTTGAATTAAGTTCATGATTGGTAGTGGTTTGGGAAGAAGGGAAGTGTGATTTTTGGCCGATGCTAGTGGTCGTTGCTTATAGGAGAAGGTCCTAATCGAAACCATAGGACCTTGTGTTGGTTTTAGGTTGAAGATGTGGAACCTCATGCTATGTTTACCACCACCCAAAAGGCCTTTTCCCCATGTCCAAGATCCTTGTCAGTCATTTGAACCTGTGTCTTAGACCTCCGAACAAGCTAGTGATGATAACCATCTTGTGAACTCTAACATATAGAGGTTTCCGTCATGGTGAAGAGATAATAGGAATGAGTGTTGATGATGTGCATCTCTTGCAATAAATGGTCTTGACCCCACTAGTCGAGAGTGAGTGTTTCATTCACACTTTTCAAGTTCTTATCTTATCCCGGTGAGGACCTAGTTCGCTCATTCCTCTATTCCTAGGGCTTGATCTTTATGCATGGATAATTACGGTTTGTGAGTGGTCTTGTCAAGGAATGTGTTGGTTTGTGAACAGAGTGAGACATTTTTTATACATTTCAGGTCCTAGCACGATGGTTGTGAAGTTCTCGGGAAACATGGAGGTTTTTCCACCTCGCGGGCTTCAAGATTATCAGGGTCGCCTGACCGTGACAATTTTCCAATGACCATGATGTCAGACCAAAACAACAGCATCCTCCCGCGTTTTTGTTTGATGTCACGGTATGAGCTCCAAAGTCATGGCCGTTAAGTGCAGACCGTGAAAGTGACTGTCGGGCTCTATAAATAGAAGGCACCTAGGAGAGAGAAGGGGAGGTTGGATCTTGGGGTTGGTTTTACATTTTATGGTTTCCCTTCTAGGGTTCCAGCTGAAGAAACCCTAAGGGGGAAACCCTAGTGAGAGAAAGGTCTTCTTCTTCAAATCTAGAGAGAGAAAGTGATCAACAAGCGGAGAAGAAGAAGATTTGGGCTTACTTGAAGCTAGAAGAGTGAATATTTTTACCTCTCAAGGGAATTCACATCAACAAGAAGGGAAGACAAGTATCCACCATGGTTCTTTGTTTCATCTTTGTTGTTTTCCTTTGCCTAGCTATGGAGTAGAGTTCCTCTTCACTTGGGTATTGTGAACCCTAGTGTAGATGTGTGTTAGGGTGTAAGAACATGACTCTATGTGTGTGATGAATGTTGATCGAATGTTTTATATTTGAGGTATTATTCATGAATGATTGAGTGTTGCTAGCTTTAACTCATTCTTATGCCAATTTGACCTAGGTAGAGGGAAATCCCCTTCTTGCTAAGAGGCTTTTATAAGTTGGAATTCCTTGGCCAATTGCACCTACTTAGGCCAGATTAGGGAAAAACTCAAATATCAGATAAGTGTCATGATCCCATCATGATTGGTCGCTATGCGCCGTCCGAATTAATTTCCTAGAGCTTGGTTCTTGCAACCCTTGGTTGATTGGTTAAGAAGGCTAGATTTCCTAGCTTATAGTTGCAATCCTTAGTCGAATTGGTAAGAGAGTTAGGCCACCTAGCTTATTGTTGATATCCTAAACTGGTCGACTAAGAGAGTTAGGGTTTCTTAGCTTGTTGCACCCACCTCACGGTTTATAAACACATCCTTCACACTCGAGTTTCGTTCATTGTTTCTTAATACAAGACTTGGGGGAGCGATTCCCAGGTGAATTCTTCTCTCATTGGGAAAACCTTAATTTACTTTACTTGTTTGTTTATTTTGTAGTTTTCTTAGTTTTTAAACCCTAAATCGTTTGCTAGATAACAACTTAAGCGATTGAAGTAAGGGTACATGGAATGGCCCGGGTTGACAAATTAAAGCATATTTCCCTATACTGCACTCGGTTAGAGTTTATAATTGGGCTCTAGTTGGGATTTTTAATCCGCGGTGTTGTCTGTGGCGAGTCAATTGTGTGTTTTAATATAATGCTTGATGTATTTTCATGATTTGTGAGTGTTTGGTTCCATATCTCATTTGGTTCAAATTGACCTAGAAGGAGGAAATCCCCTCCTTGCCAACTTCTTGGCAAATTGGGTAACCACTTCTAGGGAAAATAGAGACACACATCTAGCATCAATTTAGTGTCACGACTTGATTGTGTTTTATCGTTTTGTTGTCGTTCCGTACTAACTTCCAAGGGATTCGTTAGCAATTCTTAGCCGATTGATTGAGAGAGCTAGGTTACCTAGCTTAATTGCTTTTCCTTAATCGATTGCCTAAGAGAGTGGGAATTTTGCCACTAGTTGCGCCATCCTCGTGGTATAAGAACACAATATTTCGCACTAGAGTTCCAATTATTGCGATTTGATACAAGGCTAGGGGTAGCAATACCCTGGTGATGTGTTCTCATATAGAATCCACAACAATTTGGTGTTAATACACGCATGGCCATGCTAGGTTTCCAAAGAGTTTGCACGTCCAGGAGAACAATTTGCACGACCGTGCAAACAGGGGGGGGGGTGCAAATTTCAGTTCGGGTATAAAGGTTGTTTCACGATTTTTGGAGAGAGAGAGAGCTGGGTTTTGGATCTTAAACACTCAAGGGACAAACCCTAGAGAGAGCGAGTTGGGAATATTTTTGGAGCTATTTTGGAGGATTTCTTTGCCATTAGAACTCGAAAATCAAAATTGGAGATGGAGATTGAAGATCTAGATTAGATTTCTGCATTCTCTCTCTTCTCTATGGAGTAACTTCTCTTTACTTAGGTTTAGAGGAACCCTAACTATGTTTGTTTGACTGGATGATTGTATGAGTACTCTTACTTGATATTCTTGAGTTCATATTCAATCTATGCATGTTTTTATGATTCAATTCCGCTTTAGTTAAGATTATTGATTCTGCTTTGATCCTATGAGAACAAATATATGAGTAGTCCAATAGAGCCATAGATTGATAGTACTGGATTGATTGTTTTAGTCGAGGGGTGATTCATGGTTTTGTGTCGATTGAGAACCTCATTCGCTATAGGGAATCTAGTTCAAAATGCCTTGATCGATTATTTTAGTGAAGGATACGTCCCTATAGGCAATTGACTCAAGAGGTCCTTGAATTCTTTAGTTGAGATTCAAGGTTAGTCAAGGATTCTCCGCATTGTGAATGAAAGTGAAACAAGTTAGAGATCATCAATCATTAATCTGGCTAGTGGCTAGGGGGAATCATACCTAAGTGAGTTCCTGACCAATAATTAGATTAACTTTAACTGTAGTTTGCTAAAGTAGTTATAGTTCCGCTATCTCAATATGGTTTGCTAGATAATGAAATGAAGTTGAGTAATAATAACTCTAGAGACCTGTGGATTTGGTATTTATTACTTGTGCCACTATATTGCAATCCCTTTCATTGGTTACACTTGGCCATTGTAAGGAGTTGTGTTTTAGTGAGTCAAGTTTTTGGCGCCGTTGTCGGGAAACTTTCAAGATTATTAGGAAATGCAGGAGTTTGTTAATTTAGATTTTCTATTTTATTTTCCACCCTTGCTTTTCACTTGGGTGTTTTTGTTTTTATTAGTGCAGATATAAATCATGGACCCTCATGGCTTCTCCAACCATTGGAGGTATCGACCACCATCCGAATGGTATTACCCCGAGACTTCCTAGAGAAATCAAGGAGGAGAAGACTCCGGATTCGGGTTCTAGTACCAACCCCCTACTTCGCAGAACAATCAGACCCTTGGGCATTTCAAGAACAATTTCCTTATCAAGAAGAACCCCGAGACTTCCTTCACGAGCCTTTCTGCAGAGCCATGCTACACTCCATGACCAGATCCAAATAGGCTATTGAAGCTTCTCGTGGAGCAGATTGCTCGGGACACTGAGAGATCCTTCTCCAAGATGGAATTCCTAATCCAAGCCATTGCTCCTCCCGACCCTTCATTTCTCTGTGAAATGGAGGAGGCTGTTCAGCGCTCAGAGAAGCAAACAAAGTGGGTTGAGCAAGTTTGTGCACAACTTGATCAAGATTGCCTTTCTGCTACCATACAAGAAGAGAAGGATAAGGATGAAGGAGGCTACAAGGACATTGTGGAACAGACGAAAGTTGTCACAAAGAGCTCTTGTGATGATCATGATTAGGAATGTCCTGTTATAGCCGACCATACCTTTTCCATTACACCTCGAGCTTTGAAGAGACAGGCATGTGTGAGGAGATGTAAGCTAATCTTATTGAGAACCTTGTTTGGAAACGTGCTCTCCAATCTATGTTGGAAGAAGAAGAGTGAGAAAGGGTGAGGGAAGAAGTTGTGGAGGATGAGGAAAGTGAAGCAGAAGGACTTCTTGATCTTTTCAAAGGGGAGAAACCACATTGAGAAGAATGAAGGGGGGTTGAGGAAGCAATTGGCATCCAGGCTGAGGATGAGTTTGAAGTGGAAGAGGCTCGCATCGCTCATGAGTTACATGTAATATCTCCACCAAACTTCGAGGAGCTGATTGCCGGGGACCCATTTGTAGTGTGTCTTTGCCAGACCTAGGCAACATTGACATAAGTCCCTCTTGGTGGATGCGATGGTGTTCAATCTATGTTGTCATATTTTTTTTGGGGCAATGAGATGAGAGAAGAAGAGAAAAAAAGGTCTCGAGGGTGGAGACTTCATCTGCATCAAGTGCACGAGCCCACATCACTTGCTACACCACATGCTCGTCACACATCACCTTCTACACCACATGCTCGTTACTTGAGATTCCACCTCATCAAAGAGAACCTCAACTTCAAGGAGGTTTTGGGGTGGACTAAAGCTTAGAAGCCACCGTCCGAGTCACAACGTGAAAGAAGTGCTTGTTGGGAGGCAAACCAAGCAGTCGGTTTGCATTTTTTCTCTCCCTATTTCTCCTTGGTTGAGTAAGTTTTGTGCTATGATTTTAGAGGCAATAACTAAACCTTTGTGGGATTTTTTTGGTGCTTGTATTCCGACTACTCTCTCTAGAATGCACCACTTGTCCCGTCCACTATCATTCACACCCAATCTGGTAACTTCGTTCTACCCTCTTTATCTTTCCTCCATTTAGGATAATGTCGTGCTTAAGTATGGGAGGGGGGATGTATCATTATGTATATGTGTGCTTGGAGCCTAGTCCACTGTCCAAATTTTAAGATTTGATGGCTCCAAGTACGTGTTCCCTACAACCGGCTGCTCAGTATGCTTTGAATTGAGAGTCCTTGTAGTACTATGCAACATAGGGAGGTAGTTGTAGCACTATGGAGGATGGTGAAGTATAAGAGATTTCATATCTTTCTCCTTACTCTGCCGGTTGATTGTGTGAACTAGTGGCTTTAGGTTCTTTGATTCATGTGGTATTAATGACCCTCCTTATATTTCGTGCTCATGTATCATAAATGGGTGCTCAAATTGTGCTTAACAAAAGCAGTTGGTCCTCCATGTCAGAAATTTGAAGCATGGGTAAGCCCAACGTGTGTGGCACCGCTCATTGCACAAAATCGGATTTTAGAAGAGATATTAGTGATCCTTAGTGGGATACTCCTATAAGGTGAAGTTAAACCTTCTTTAGTACAAGTAAAAGTTCCACCCGTTGAACTGACCACTTATTTGAGGATTTGATTTTAAGGGCACGGATAGAGCTTTCGACCCCCCTTAATTTCATGACCCTCCGCCCGAATGGAGGAAAATAAGTTAAAAGAAGTACTCTGGCGAGCTACAGATGTACATAAATTGCTCTTGCTCAACCAATAAGGGTCGAACGCATAAAAAACTGCAGTTTGGAACCCCAACAAAGTGATGAGTGCAAAAAACAAAAAAGTAAGGAAAAGGGTTCCCAACGAATGAAATTAAAGGGAAAGAGAACCCAATACGAAGAGTCCATGATTGTGTGTGTTGTGTGAGTCTCTTTATCCATGTATTGTCTGTCCAAGGTCCACTACTTGGCAAGTATAACCTTGACCAGCGATGTAGTAAAGGGTTGACTCACGACGTCGAATTCCACGGGTCCATGGATCTACTGCTACTTCAGAACTAATATACTATCTAGCCTAACAAAGTTTTGGGGTAGGAATAACCTAATCTACTCGTAAACAACCAACCAAGTGGTTGGGAGGTCACTAGAGGTGAAATGGTTGCTTAGGGTTGAATCCTCATAGCTATGGTTGTCATGCAGGGTTAAGGGAATGTGGTGAATGAGCTCTTTTCCATGGAATTTCATGGTTATCCATACACCTCGAGTACGCCTCCCCTAAACCCATGTCAGTCACCTCGATCTAGGCTATCATATCTGGGGCTTTAAGAACATAACTCATTTCAATGGGTAGTACTCACCGTCCACACCGAGGTTTCATCCCGGGTTGTACCTAGGAAGGCATTCTTATTGCAGGGGTACGATCACCTCGTTCACCATAAGATCCTATTCATTCATCTAACCTTAATTTGCTCGATGGCGCATACCCGTCTAACCCTAAAACTCCATACCCAGTGTAGAAGTTCAAGTAGGCTTGTAAAGAGGATTAGGGAGACTTACCCAAACACAATTAAAGGTAGAGAAGCAATGAAATCAACTAGATAAACTTTCATTCAAAAACCCGTACATAACCTATAAACTAAGGTTCATATTCCCTAAACAACCATTAGAGATAAAAGTCTTAGAGAGAGAAAGAAAACACAAACTAGAAGAGAGGAGTGATGGAATCAATATTCTTCTCCTTGCTTGAACCTTCTTCTTGCTCCTTGGGTGGATTGGATCTTCAATTAAGCTCTCACAAGGTGTTTCCCTCTCTAAAAACAACACAAAACCCTTAATTTCTCACTCTAGGTTGGCTCCAATTTGAAAAGTGCAGCAACAGGGGTACTTATAGAAAGCTAATGGCGGTCAAGGCCACTAGGGCGTGACGCGATGGTCACGGTCGTGACCTGGCCATGACCAGCTGGAAAGGCTCTGAATTTCCCAAAATGACGCGTTTTGACTCCATCTTTAGGCTCCGAGATTGCGGCCTCCTTTATAAGATCGCAACCGTGATCTTTGTGTCTCTGGAGCAATCTTTTTCTCGGTCAAATTTCACTATGTTTGCGATTCGACTTGGGAAACTCTTTGCCTTCTTCTTGGTCGCCTGGTGAAGTTCGCAGTTACTGTTCACGGTCGCGATCCTCAGCCTGGGAACATGGTCACAACCGTGACATATGGCCGTGACCAGTGCCTCTTCTCTCCTTCTTGATCCTATGCTTCCCAATCATGCTCGGATGAACTCCAATTGATTCCCGATCAATCCCGAATGCATATAAGACCTAAAATTTCATCACAAACACTTGGGAAAGCATAAAATATGAAAAATGGGGGTCGGTTACCCTATGAAAACTTTCATATCAAGAGTACATATGCCAAAATGCATGTTTTTCAAATAGGAACAAAAACGAGTATAAAGACTTTATATGTGGCCTAGACATGGTGATTTAACATGAAAATGCTTTAAGAATAAGGGTTAAATAACTTCTATTTTAGGAGTTATCAAACTCCCCCACACTTAGGAGTTTGCTTGTCCCCAAGTAAACCTTCTCAAACCAATGCAACTTAATAGACAAATCAACGAGAGGTGCACTCTAGTTCTTCATTGCATATAGAAAAGTAGACGGAGGTGAGTAAACATTACTGTCATCTTACTGTGCAAGCACAAACTCTTTGGTGAGGACAATACCTACTACCTTGGGACGAACATTCCAGGTGTGCACCAGGGGACTTCTCAAAAACAATTAATCACAAGAACTCTTGGGGTGCTTTTTATTCTTACTTTCGATTTAGGAGTTGTCATTTATTGGTCTCCTTTTTCTACGTTGACACGCATTGCACCAATCCTTTGCAAACTCTTTTCCATATAAGCATCTCTCCCTCACAACCAAGAGTGGATGGATCATTGCCTTTCCTTTCAAGGTCACATGTGAGGAAGTTGATGGGAGAATTCGTCTTAGCCCAAGCACTACTTCCCATCCTGTACTCCACATTAGGTTGCCATACATGTGGGTACAAACGAGAGCTTTGAGGTCTCTTGAATCGCTAAAAAGTACTTTGTATCTTGGCATACGATTCCTTGAGGAAGTAAGATGTTTGGGGGATGGTAAGTAGTGAAAGATGGTCGGGATGCGGTAAAGTTATCCGATCGCCAAACATATCCTCAAAGGGCACTCTGATCCGGTTTATCTCAAACACTATGCTCAGTTGCCTCTCACGTGAGAGGCTCTTTGTTTATTTATTTTTTCCTGACAAGTTAAGCACATATTTGCAAAGGTTTCGAGTTCAAAAGTGGTGGAGAGTCCTGCACACATGTTCTTCCCAAAATAGCAAACATTATCGACTCACCAAAGAGGAAGAAGAGAGTAAAATCCCTCATACATAGGTACTCTAATCATGCAATTACTCCATATCGAACACAACTCATCAATTATATAACAATTCAAATCATAATGAGTAGGAAGAATGCAAAAAGGGACCAACTTGGAGCCCTCAAATTTGAAATAAGTTGGGCATGCATACAAGGCTCCAAGTGGTTGAAAAATGGTAAGTCATCGTCCACAATCACTCTAAAAGCACATCTCTCTCGATCAAGCATTCAAACATTAATCGCATAAGAGAGTTCAATTTCTAATAACATTCCACACAAGCATTTATGCACAATCCCCCCCCCCCCCCGGCACACACACTAAAGGAACACATTTCCTCGATGTGACAAGGGTAAGAGGATAGAAGAACGTTACCAAAATGCTTAGTCGAAGTGATTGTCAGATCGAAGGGTAGGGTGGGTGGGTTGATATCCTCCCAAAGTTGAGAAATTGCCTTTTGGGCTTGATCTCTCGACCTCTAGGTGATAATTCTAGTTGTTGTTGGAGTTCTTGCTCATGGTGTATTGGTGCATGAGGCTCGAATCGTTGTGTGGAGTTTCAAGTGGTCTGGTCTCTCCATTGATTGGAAACTTAAAGTTTTTACCACCTCCGGTGGAATAGCATTGGAAACCTCTCCTCTTCAAAGGATCAACCCTTATAAAGGTTCCTTTACACACTAAAACGATTCATACCCATCCATGCCTAAATAATCAATAATCAAAGAATGCATTGAACACTTCTCATCATCCCTAGGATCAAATCTTTTGCACCCCCACACTTGATGGTTACTATGTAAAACAAGATTGCAAAGGGAAAAACAATGTCGAATTAGGTAGTTAACAATCTTGATTGATTGATTTAATTGACAACATGTCAATCTAGGGGTTTTAATGTCATTGCCCAAGGCAATAAACAACCTAAACGACTAAGGTAGGGGTATGAACCAATTGCTCAAAAAACATATCAAAGCAGTAAGCTTTCTTGAGAAAAAGGGCCATACACCTTATACCAATCGATCAAGATTCAAAACTATCCCTCAAACATGCTTCTAGGGGTCTAACATAAGCATTAAGGTTCATTTGGCATGCATCAAACATTACAAGCACAAATTATGTGGTTTGGGCATTTCCTCGAGCACTTGGTGGACGACAATCAAATCATCTAGATTCATTCAATTCTTGCCCACCAAGGCCTCCAAACCACATACATTCATTCATAAACATGCAACACACAACAACACATCAACGTTCCGTAATTTTTTCTTCACCTTAGTCTATTAGAACTCATTCTTAACTAAGGTATGCTCATTCACTATTATTTAAACTAGAAACTAACCTAAAAACAAAATTCAAACATGCAAGTTCTATATTGAAAGGTAAAGGAAAAGAAAATGCAAACCGATGTTGGGGTGCCTCCCAACTAGCATGTCCCTTAGGTCGTTTCACCGGACCGTTATCTTCAAGTACTCAGTCCAACTCAAGACCTCCTTAAATTTGAGGTTTTCATTGTTAAGTGGAGTCTCAAGTCTTGATCGGTTTCCCAATCATTAGGTGAAGGCTCATGTAGATAAGAATGCTTTAGACACCTCCAATGAAACTTTCTTCAAATTTTCTTTGCTTCTCTTTGCCTCGAACCAAAACAAGCATTCTTGAAGGATCATCACCTGATCCACCAAGAGGGATTGATGATGCCTCAGCCTCATCTTGGCAAAGAGAACCCTCAAAAGGATCCTTTTCGAAGAGTGCATCAAAGTTGGGTGGAAAGCTTTTGTAGAATATGTAACTTGTTGAAGTGGAGACTCGCGCTAGTCGATATTGCATCAAGAAGGGTCGGGACTTCCCTTGATGCAAGATGTCCCTACGATCCCCACCTCTTGGAGCCACCATTCCTCTTGTTTAACATCTTTTATCCGAAATCAACCCGTAGGAAGTTTGGAATCGCTAGCATCTAGGCACTCCATTGGGATGTTGTAGCGCTCAAATGCTAACTCTCCGAGACTTTTTGGTGTAGGTGGTGGTGAATGATGAAGTGAAATCCCACTCCCGGCCATGAGTCTTTGTAACTCGAGCTCCAAGAGGCTCTTTGGTTTTGGGGATGGAGTTGAATGAGTTGTCACAAGGCCTTCTAGATATGGCATACCTGCCGTAAGTCGCTCAATGGCCATCTCCAACTCGGTCTTCACCATAGTTTGTGGAGGTGGTTATTGGTATTATGGTGGAGATGCTTGGTAATCATGGGGTACCGTTTATAGGCATAGAGAGGTGGTTGTTCTTCGTAATCGGATCCTTGGCTAGCACCACTACTAGAAGCTTCAAGATAACACCAATTTGGCGGTTGGTGCTCTCCCTACTTCTCATGCCAAACATACCGATACATAGCTACACCTAAATACTATCTATATTCACAAAAAACAAGAACAACCTATGAAAGCACAAGTGTAAAAAGAAAAGAAAACAAAAAGTGAACAAACACTTAACACAAAATAACAAAAGAGAACATAACAAAAGAAAGAAGAATACGAGTAAAAACACGACATTACAAACACAAAACACAACAAAAACAGTGAGCTTTTTTCCATGGGATTTCGTGGTTATATACACCCCTTTGAGTATGTCTCCCCTAAACCCATGTCAGTCACCTCGAACTAGGCTATCGTATCTGGGACTTCAAGAACATAGCTCCTTTCAATGGGTACTACCCACCGTCCACACCGAGGTTTCATTTCGGGTTCTATCTAGGAAGGCATTCTTATAGCAGGGGTACGGTCGCCTCGTCCAACATAAGATCCTATTCATTAATCTAACCCTAATTTGCTTGATGGCGCATAACCGTCTAACCCTAAAACTCCATACCCAGCGTAGAAGCTCAAGTAGGCTAGTAGAGAAGATTATGGCGACTTACCCAAATACAATTAAAGCTAGAGAAGCAATGAAATCAACTAGATAAACACATTCAATTTCACTCATTAATACCCTTAAATATCCATTCATTACATAGTAAACCTAGAACTAGGGTGGGTTTAGAACCCCTATACCTTAGAGGACTACTCCATAGGGTAGGGAAGAAGATACAAAGAAGAAAGTGGGGAAGGGGGTCTTCTAGCTCCTCCTCCGCTTCTCCTTCCTTCAGCTCCTCTCTCTTCTTTCTCTCTCTAACCAAAAATTCTATCTCAAAAATCAACTCTCATGAATGGGGGAAAGGGGTCTTCTATTTATATCCTTTAGAGGATGGAGAAGATCATGGCCGGGTAATCCAGGTCGCGATCTTCTCCCTTGAGGCAGTGATTTGCCGACAGTGCCGTTTAGGCCTTCAGGCACGATGAGTTTACTGGCTGACTTCACGATCACGATAAGTCAAGCGCGACCGCGAACTTACTTGCGATTAATGTGAACTGTGGTGGTGATCAGGGTGGGGAAACTCTTTGTTTCTCCTAGTTGGCTTCTTCACGAAGTTCGCGCCCTCAACCTCCAAAATCGTGGTCGTGATCTTAAGCTATTAGGCTGCAATCTTTGCCTTGAGTTTGTCGTCTTTATTCTCGGCCATTATCTCCATCTCCAGGCAGCGATCATCAGCATTCTTCCCCTTTTGCTACACTCGTGTCCTTTTTCATACCTAATTCGCATGTATTATCTAAAGCACCTAGAATCACATCATTATCGAATAGGAACGAAATAGAATGCAATGGACTCTATTCAAACGATTACGCACATGAATTGGCACAAAATAAACTTAAACATGAAGGGAAAATAAACCAATTTAGGTGTTATCAAACTCCGCCACACTTAGGCGTTTGCTTGTCCCCAAGCAAACCTACTCAAACCAATGCAACTTGATAAACAAATCAAGGTGGGATGCACTCTAGCTCTTCATTTCATAAAGAAGAGTACACGGAGATGAGAAAATGTTACTATCATCTTACTGTAAATGCACAAACTCTCGGGTGAGGACCACACTTACTACCTTAGGCCGAACATTCAAGGTGTACACCGGGGACTTCTTAATCATCAAATAAGAACAAGAACTCTTGAGAGTGCTCTTTATTCTTTCTTTTTATTTAAGAGTTGTCATTTATTGGTCTTATTTTTCTACTTTGACGCACATTGCACCAATCTTTTGCAAGTTTTCTTTCAAGTAAGCATCTCTCCCTTATGACCAAGAGAGGATGGATCATTGCCTTCCCCTTCAAGGTCACATGTAGGGAAGTTGATGGGCGGATTTGTTTTAGCTCGAGCACCACTTCCCAACCTGAACTCCACATGCTGGGTACAAACAAGAGCTTTGAGGTCTCATGATGCTAAAAAGTACTTTGTACCTTAGCATACGATTCCTTGAGGAGGAAAGATGTTTGTATGATGGTAAGTAGTGATAGATGGTTGGGACTTGGTAAAGCTATCTGATTCCCAAATATATCCTCAAAGGGCACTCCGAGCCTTGAGGGTCGGTTTCCTCTCACATGAGAACCTCTTTTAAAATGATTTTGAGTTCAAAAGTGATAGAGAATCCCGCACACATGTTCTTCCGGAAATAGCAGACATTATCAACTCACCAAAGAGGAAGAAGAGAGTAAAATCCCCCATACACTAATCATGTAACTACTCCATAGAGAGCACAACACATTAATGATCTATCAATTCAAAGCATATCGAGTAGGGAATTGCACAGAACAAGGTGTTTTGGAACCCTCAAATTTGAATTTTTTTGGGCAATGCATTCAAGGTTCCAAAACACTATCATTTGGCCAACCATCATCACAAACACAAATAATCACTAGCATACATTTCCATAAGTATTCATAAACGTCTTACATTCATAAACAAGGGATGATACTTGCGATCCATGGCCCAATCAATCATGAAAAGCATTCATGCATTCACACACATCCCCCATACTTGAGCAACACATTGTCCTTAATGTGAGAGTTTTAAAAGAGAAGGTCATGAAGGTTACCATAGGTTGGTTTGTGGGTTGGTGAAGGTACACAAGTGTAGGTCTTTGTCTTCCTGGTGGTTTTCACAACGATAAAGTGCATAAGAAAGAGAGGAAGACGATTAAGATTTATAGGTATGATAAATAGATAATATACATAGGAACTAATACTAGAATATTTAAATTACGGAAAGTAAAGCAATAATTAAATATTGTTTAAAATTAAAAGAAAGAAAAGCAAAGAAAAAGAAAAGATAGAACTTAGGCCCTAGATGCCTAGTACTCAATCATCCTCAGAGGTGTCATCGAAGTGGCCTTCATCCTCTTATACAAGCTAGTTGCCAACTAATGAGGGTGAAAGAGGGAACATTTCCTCTATCTCGCCTGGGTCCATATGCATTTTTCTCATTATCATGTGGACTGCCCCCAAGAGGTGGCGTCTAGACTTCCTCTCCCGCCTCAAAAGAGACTGAATCTCCCCTTTATCCTCAATAAGCATGAAGTTCTGCTCAATTAGCTTGGCATTCTGCTCAATAAGAGTGGCTATCTGAGATGCTTGGATGCCTGATGATGATGTCCCTGTTTCTGTGAAGGGAACTAGCTGGGGTGCTTCAAGTGAACTTCTGAGTGATTGGAGAATTATTCCCTTGATGGTCTTTCTTCTTTTATTCGCCTCTAGAAGTTTCATCTTGGATAAGTGATCCTCGGTGAATACTTGAGTGGAGCCGATAATTGTACAGTTGCATTTCTCCAAGTTGATCCCAAAATATCTTGCAAGAGAGTGACAAATTCTCCCCCATTGATAGTCTTGACTGTCACATTCGTGATGTTCTTGTTGAGAGTCTTGAGGATGACCAATCCAAGTTTCAAAAAAAGCTTAACGAATCGATCTCAGAAGATTTAGATCCCTCTTCGTCAAGTTGCTAGCACACTTTTCTTTGAGGGAAACCGTGTAAGAGATGATGTTGTGAAGAATGCGCCATTCTGCTTTCAAAGAGATGCTCTTGGTGGACTTTAGGTTGAAGGGCTCTTGATGATCCGGGCTTCTAAGATTGTTTTTGAAGAATTCTTCCAGATGATGACAAGTAGCCAAGTCCTCACCTTGAAGTGCACGTCCTTCTTGAGAAAGGATGAATCCTGGAGGATAGATAGACATAGCCTCGGTGAACTCATTGAAGCTCATTTCCCTTGGGTTTCCTCCTAGTGAAAAGGTTAATGTCCAGGGGAAGTTTCGATTGATAGTTAGCACCGAGCAATTTAAGATAGTTAAGAACTAAAGAATTAGTTCAACGTAAATATTTTCATTGATTGTCAAGAGATTGAGCCATGTCGGGTCTCAAATGGTTGTGGCAGCCCCAAAAGCCTCCAAATTCTACCAAGAGATGCAACGATGTTCCCCATAGGTTCATGAAGCAAAATGTGCATATTCTGCCTTGTCTTTGTCCCCAAATTCAAGATAAGGATGTGGTGCCCTCCTACCACCTTTGATTGATGTTGATGACTCGAGAATCTTCTTTGACTTGTCCATCCTTAAACAAAAACTAGATAGAAATCTCATTAGTGCAAAGATAGACATGGGAAACAAAATAGACAAAGAAGACATGAAGTGACTTAGAAACCCTTTTGTTCTCTAAGGCATTTGATCGAACACCTTGTGGGGATAAAATGCAGGCAACTTGGGCAAATGAAATTCCACCAAAGATTAACAAGAAAGACGAGCAAAGCATTTTTCTACCCATTCAAGTCACCCCAAACCCAATCACATGAAAGAAAATAGCAAGAAAGAATATTACCACAAATCACATTAAGCACGCGTTAAGGAAGCAACCAATGAGGGAATTCTAAAATAAATCTTGGGAGCAAATCAAAACCACCAACCTTTGTAAGTAAATAGCTGTAGAAATGCTACCTTGGATTTGCTCTACTCAAGTTGAAAGTTAATCACTCCCCTAATTATCTAATGTGGATGATGAAAACCCATGCTAGAAGGGAACATATCAAAAAGTGATGAAAAGTAGGTAAAATGAGAGCAAAAATCGTACAGTCAACCCAAACGCGGACAAGTTCACGGGCTAGAACCACAAGATCGCGGTCGCGAACTTGCCTGTGAAGGCCACAATCTTAAGAGTTCTAGTTCTACAAGGTTGCCCACAGCTTAATGCAAATTCCATGGTTTAGAGTGTCGGATCATGGTGCCTAATCTAAGTGGTTCTATAAAATATTTATTTAAAAGGGTAAGGTAAAGGAAAAACAAATCGAAGTGTTGGGGTACCTCCCAACAAGTGTATCTTTGAAGTCTTTTCTCCAGACTCTTTGATCGTGAGAGACCTTCAGGTGGAAGCATCTCCCTCACCCTAGGTGGTGTCGTCAAAAACACCCTTGTGGTGAAGGCCTAAGTGCAGACCATGTAGACTTTCGGTGCTCCCTTCGAGTAACAACCCTAAAGATAGATTCATTGTGGTTTCATGGGTAGGAGTTGAAGGTTGGATGGCTTTCTTAAAAACTCTCTTGAGAATTCGATCGGTTGACATCTCCTTTTCTAGGAATACGCCTTGCTTGTTTGAGGATGTTGTGATAGATTGGGATCCAAAATCAGTTTACGTGAAGGAACTTGAGTAGTTGGAACATTCAATCTCGTGTAAGAAGCGAACGAAGGCAAAACTCCTCGTCAATCATTGGAGAGATGTACAATCAACCTATTTTCTACGTACTCCATGATTATTCGCCTTTTGGGACCTCTATCACAGCTCTAGTTGTTGCCAAGAATGTTTTGCCAAGTAACATATGAGTCGAAGCCTTTGGTACCGCATCCACCACTGCAAAGTCTACCGGATAAACAAATGTCTCAACTCATACCAAAAGATACTCTATGATCCCATTGGGGTAAACTATTGAATTATCGGCTAGTTTCATGGCCATGTCCGTCGATCTAAGGTCCTGCGACCCCAATTCTCAAAACAACTTGAAGCTCGTCACGTTAAGATCATAAAAGGGATCTACGATGACATCCTTAATAGTAACCCATTTTATAGAGCACGATATTGAGAACAAACACAGGTCATCTCTCCTGATTGGGCCCTCGTGATGAATGAACACTGGATACGCTTGCCCTATGTCAACGATCGGATGCTCGTCAAATTCCCATTTAGTCGCCAACAAATGCTCTATGAGATCAACATATTTGGCTAGCTATGAGGGTTCTTGGATGACCGACATAGCTAAAGAAACATCTTAGGCTACGTCCTCCTTTTTCTCCTGATCAAACTTCACATTTGGGTTAACATTTATGGGCTTTGGGTTGATTGTCAACTCGCTCTCCGGTGACTTGCCCTGCTTCCCATTAGGTCTTCGTTGGCCTTCCCTTATAATCTTCTCTAGGAGAACAAATAAAGCAGGCATAACCTTTATAGTATCCACGAATACTTTGTTCTCTACCCTCAAGGAGTCCACTTGCGCTATGGAGGCGTGAACAAATCGATCAAAATCATTCATCCGTTGATGAAAAATTGAAACCCAATCCGATACTCTTTCTTCCAAACGTTCCAACCAACGGTTCAATTCACGGCAAGACCCACAAGGTTCTTCAGCGGTGTGGTCTTGATGATGTTCCATGGAAGGACAGACTAGGTTGAGGAGGTACCCTAGTGTTGAGTGTGAAGACTTGCTCTACCCGAGTAGGATCTTTATCGCCCTCTTCCAAAAGTTCCTTATGCTCTCTACTCATTTCGTTGATTTGACTCTAAATAGCCATTTCTCTAGCTAGAGTAGCTTCCTCCTTTTCTATTTGATCGCATAGTTCTTCATCTGCTCAAGGTCATTATATCTTAATCCAATTGCTCCTTGCGATGATCACCTTGTAATTCTCTAGGAGTCCATTGAATAAGATCTCGTTCAGTAGGTCTTCTGAATATCCATGATTCAGATTTCGTCGTGTCAGAACACCAAAATGCTCGCAGGCTTGTTGAAAATTCTCTTGGACCCCTTGTTGGAAGGTGACAATATCTTTCTTCTACATCATAGCTAATGTACCAACAAGATACTGATACACAAAAGTCTCCATGACTTCACCCCATGGCGAGGTAGTAGCTCGGAATTCCTTATACCAGATGGCGGGCTCCCCTCGCAGAGTGTAAGTGAAGAAAATACCATTAATATGATCTTGAGTGAATCCTGGTATTCTCACAGCTTTGGCGGCCTTTAGAAAGTAACACATATGATCGAGAGCAGTGCGGTAGCAAAGGGATAACTAGGTGGGTTTAGGGACCCACCTTGGCTCAGGAGAAAATAGATACATATAATTACAATAGTTAAGTGTCAGTGATGTTTTTTAATTTATACCTAAGCATCATCAATATTTTTACCACCAAACAAAAATTAAACAATAAATTAGTTTTCATTATTATATATAATATATTCTAATTTCTAAATAATATTAGAACAATATATAACTTCATTCTTCAGCTCTCAAATTCTTAATTTAATCGTCATCTATCACCAAACCTTCTCTTATTGAAACTCGCTAGCTTCTTTTCGTATAATAAGGAAATTTTTAACATAATATTGAGGTTTTGATCCTCCACTAGATTATTGTATCAATATTTGTGTGATAAGAAATTAGATATTACAAGATTTCTTAGTGTTTTGGAATTATAGTCATTGAAACAAGTAATTCAGTGTGCTTCTCGGGCTCTACTACAAGTATTGAAATGAAATTTGCAATGAGAACACATTGTGAACAAATGGAATGATTTAAATTTTCTTATGGTATTAAAAAATTTCGGACCCACCTTACGTAAAATCCTAGCTATGCCAGTGATCTAGATCACTCTCGTCATTCCCTCCTTGAAATTGAGGTTGATGGCGAAGCGTAGCGATGGTCTCTCCAACTCAGTTTGGTCCATGAGGAAAAGTCTATTCAGTCGTAAAACTCTACAAACCGTGACACACAAATTTGGATAACAAAACACAAAACGAGAAAAACTACGGAAATAACACAAACACAAACAAAACAAAGAAAATAAAGGCTAAACTAACAACTCGATGGTTTTCTACTAGTTACCAAGGTTCCCCGACAACGACGCCAAAAAGCTTGATAGATTCAATCTGTGCAAGTCATTGTCAAGAGTTAGCACGCTTCAATAACTACCCCATCCTAGACCAAGTTTAACCTAGAGTGGCGTTGTCATATAGTGGCAATCAAGATCGTATTTACTCGGGTCTCGGTACCCTATCCTACTTCCGACATTGTTGTTATCTAACCAATTGGTTTAAGGGTTTGTGGTGGAGGATTTAAGCGTACTAACTAGTAGGGAGATCAAATAAGGATAAAATCAGGTACTTCGGGGAACTATCGCTCACCCTAGGCTAGGTATACTATGCAATGTCTAGATAAATAGGGTTTGTGGAATGTGGTGAGTAAGCTATTTTTCGTGGGTTTTCGTGGTTATCCACATGCCTCCGAGTATGCCTCCCATAAACCCATGTCAGTCACCTCGATCTAGGCTATCATATCCGGGGCATTAAGACCATAACTCATTATAATGGGTACTACCCACTATCCATACCGAGGTTTTATCATGGGTTCTATTTATGAAGGCATTCATATGGCAGGGGTACGATCGCCTCATCCACCATAGTCCATAGGATCCTATTCACACATCTAACCTCAACTTGCTTGATGGCGTATACCCGTCTAACCTAAACTCCATACCCTGCGTAGAAGCTCAAGTAGGATAGTAGAGAGAAGATTAGGGAGACTTACCCAAACACAATCAAAACTAGAGAAACAATGAAATCGACTAGATAGACACATTCATTCTTTAAAACCCTAAAATATCCATTTATTACATAGTAACCCTAGAAATAGGGTTTCGGCTTTAGACCCTTAGTACCTTAAAGGATTACTCCATAAAGCATGGAAGAAGATACATAGAAGAAATTGGGGAAGACTTGTTGTTGAGGAAGATGGCTCCTCTCTTCTAGCTCCTCTTCTCCCTCCTTCAGCTCCTCTCTCTTCTTTCTCACTATTATCCGATGATATGTTATCCGAAGATAAGTCTATAGCAGGAACACCTTCTAAAACGTCAGCGGTGTCCACATCAAACTCCCCTAAATAATCTCCAACCGATGATGATGTTCCCCCTAATGAATACGAAGGCGTCTCATCCTCCCAAACCAGCCTTGCCTAACCCTAAAAGATTAGGATCAGATTCGCCCACGCACCCTATACTCAAACCAAGGAGAGCGCTTCTGAAATATAGCTCCACACTAGAGAAATCCCATTTGTAATCTGAAACACTTAAGGGAGATAGAAGGTCAATCATACCTTTGGTAGCTGCTACTAAGCCGATAGAAGGTCCACAAGAGCCATTGCCAGTTAGAGGAGTCAACACAACGACAGTAACACCACCACTCCTGGTATGATTGAGGGAGTAAAATGCGACGAGCTTGACATCTTCGAGCCTTTCAGGATTTTTTCTTGCTCTTATAAGATGGCCCACGAGCAAAACAGAAATAGGAAAAACATAAAGGATTTTAAAAGGGGTAGAGAGACGTTTGAAATTCCCCCGAGATATTTATAGGCGACAATGGGAAGGCTAAAAGACTAGAGTGACTGCAATGTTTCCCTCCTATTCTCGAAACCCGAGAATAACACATGGTGATGTCGGGATGTTCAAAAAAGTATTCACCGCATGCAGAGTGGGGGGGGGGCGCCTAGTTCGAGATGGTATGCGAGCCAAATAGAAATAGGACAAAGGAACTCAAGCATCAATAGGCGTGTCTAATACCAAGATCCTTTATGCGGGACACTATGAGTGTTGTCGACCAGATGGTAGAGGTAGAAACATGTCCGAACTAAAGGCGCTCAACACATAGCCTAATCATAGCCGCCAAAACCCACAACTTTTCTGCCTGAAGGGCAACTGTGGAGCTCGACTTGGGCACCAAACACCCAATCCATGACCATCGAAGCCCACCAAGGGGAAGACAGCAAGAAAGAATCGCCGAGCCACAAGATGCATAAGAGGATTGGCTGGTGGCCGACTAAAAAGACGGCAACCATGACCCCTGGAAACCAGTACGATGAAGTGACTCCTACATTGAAGACAGAGCCTCCTCGGACAGAGAGAATTTCAAAATACGCATGACTAAGCATTTACTACTGCCAAAGGCGGTCCTATGACGGACAAGACAAATGGAGACCGCCTGACTACACAATTAATGTTGAGAGCCCCAGAACCACGAGTATAAATACCCATTGACTGCATTTATGCTAGGCCAACTACTCCAATAGAAAAAAAACCTATTTCATTAAATCACTCACTAATTTGAGCTTTGGAGAGTGTCTCATACACATGCTTGTGGACCTTTTATGTAGGATCAATCTAGATGCCCCTTGAAGACCGATCACCGGACCACACATCATCCCCTTTTCAACTATCTGGCGGTGACCTCACACAAGACACCCCGGTACCTCCAGGGCTCAAACACTAATGATTGATGAATATGAACATATATTAGCATAAACTAGATTATAATATGGCCTAGATATGGTTATTTAGCACACAGATTCCTCTAGGATAGTGGTTAGATAACACCGTATTTTGTGTTATTAATATGTCGAGAGAGTGGGATCAAAGCATGCTTTACCATGTTTTAGGTTCACGCATGTGGTGATGGCTATGTGATTAGGGATGGAGGCAAAATTGAGGCGGGTTTTTCTAAATTGTCCCTATTTTCAAATGACTATACCCATAGCCACTCCATACACATGCGAGTGGAGGTTTTGCAACCCAATCCCTATACCCATAGTTTTTGGGTAGCCATGACTAATATCCGCCCATTATATTCAATGTTATTACCTAAAATTCAACAGGTAGATCTTCAATTATAGCACTAAATGAACCTAATAAACCATGAAATCAACAAAGATACAACCATTTTCAATATAAAAGCATCCAATTCTAGAATATCCATTGATTCATAAGACAAAGTATAATAAATAATAATATGCAAATCATTAATCTCTCACTCCTTCACATCTATAGAACAATAAAAAACTAGCATAATCTTGCTAACAAAGGGAAAAGAAACGAAAGAGTGATGAGAGAATTGAGGGGGGAAATTAGTGTTTGGTTTGGATGTCCTCTGAATTACATTCAACTCTTTGTTTCTTTCTTGAATAACCCTCCCGTCATTTCCAATATGTATTTCTATATTCTTCAATTTAACCAATTTAAACAAGAAACATACAAGAGTAGGGGTGGCATTCAGTCGATTCGGTTGAACCTGAACCATACTCGAACATACCCGAATCGCACAAGGCACATTCTTGCTTTCGATTTCGAGTCGTAATGAGGTTTTGTACTCCTTCCAAAATTGAAAAACTCTCGATTCAAAACGATTTTCCCGAACATACCCGTTTTGTTCAGGCTAGTGGGCTTGTGCATTAGGCCAGCAGACTGGTGGGTTCGACGGCACGCTTAACGACAATGGCAGGTATAGGGAGGAGACGCCGACGGGAAATAGAGGGAGGAGACATGATAACACCATATTTGGTCATGTTTTTCACGTCATTTCTTGATCGTTTGAGCACGCTTTCTCGCTCTCGTGGCCTATTTTACGCTAGGTTGTGTTGGTTATTGATGTTTCTGGTCCTAGTACGTGAATGAGTGTAAATGAGCGAGTTTTGGGACGTTTTGGAGCGATCGAGCAGAGAGCAGGGAAAAGTTACGGCCAGACCTTGAAAAAAACTTGTTCGACGCTCGGCTCGCGAGCTGACTCGTTAATAAATGAGCCAAGTTTGAGCTAGACCATGCTAAGCTTCATAAGCTCGTGAGCTAGCTTGACTCGGTGGCTTGTCAAGCTAAACTCATGAGCTGGCTTGTTTAGAGCTTGTGGAAGGATCAATTACTCTTCTGAACATGAACATTATCCTATTAATAAGGATTTGTATAGAAGTTAGCTGTTATTTTTAGTTTCTAGTGTTTTTTATTATTATTTAAATTATTATGTATACACATTTTTCAGCAATAATGATTTCAAATCAAGCTCAAATTGAGTCTAGCTTGTACTGAGCTTGACAAGCTGTGTTAATGAGCATTTACCGAGCACTACCGAGTCGAGCTGAATTATTTTTAATCGAACCGAGCTCGAGCTTGAGCTAGATTATCAAAATTAGAGTTCGAGTCGAACTTGAGCTTTAAAATTTATAAATAAGCCGAGCTCGAGGTAAGCAAAAACTCGACTCCGTTCGGTTCGGCTCGTTTGGAGCTCTATGTCCCTACAATAAAAACTAGTAAAAGCTAGAAAAGGGTGAAATTGGAAAGCAGATTCAGATCGCTAAAATCGTCAGTTTGGTCTCTCGCTTTCACTCTCACATACAGTCTTCGCTTTCGTGTCTGGCTGGATACTCTCGATCTGCTGACTCGCTTTCTCGGAAAGCTGCTTTCACTTGGTCCGCTAAAGTTGCCACTCAGTTCTGTTTCCCTTTCCATCTATTGCATCGCCTCCAGTCTTCTTGCCTGAATCTTACTTTACTCGTTCATGTCAGGTGAGCTTTGGAGAAGCTCTTCTCTTATGCGTGCGAACACTAGTTTAATTCTTGCGTTTCTTTGATGCCATTGCGTGCAAGGCTTCTACTTTCAGTAGCTTTGAAGTGAAAACATTATCCTAATTGCGTTGCTTTTGGCTATACACTGTGACATTTTCTGCTTCTACTATTTTTCCATTTTTCTTCATTTCCTCTCCTTAGGTGATTTTTTGGGTGGATAGTGAACCCTTAGCTTGCAGTCTTCCTTGTTCTGAAGTGGAAGGACCAAGGATTTTGTCAATTTGTTAGTTTTCTGGACGTCAATCGATTAGCTCGATCGGGCTTGTTAAAAATTTAGGACCCTTATCTTGTATTTTTCCAAATACATTGTTATGGCTTCTGGTTCTAGCCTGTTATACCAAAGCTTGCATCTTTGATGACCAATGGCGAGTCGGTTTTTCATAGTTGGGATGTATAATTCATAGAGGGACTCTTAGAGGTAGCCCAATGGCATTCTAATTAGCTTTTCATTGTTCTGATTACATTTAAACTGTTGATTTGACCACAATCCTTACTCACAAGTAGTTGAGAACGAACAAGAGCTTGGCCTAGTGGTAATACTACTAGCGTAGAACCAGGTTCAAATCCCTTAAATAGTACCTTAATAAAATAAAATAAAAATGAAACCTATATCACCCTTATAAAAAAAAAAAGTAGTTGAGAACCTTGTTCAAACTTTTAGCTTTTTCTAGATACCTTATACTTTTTGGGTTTTGGACATGCCTTTTTTCATATTGTATTGTATGGATCCCAAATAGTGTTGAAATCCTTAATCATTTCATCTCATTAATTATGTTTTGCCTCTTGGATTAATTTATATAGAGATTGATAATTTTTCATGTTTTTTTCAGAAATGGGAAGTAGATGACTCTTCTACAGGGATGCAGGATTTGATATGTAGGAATTTATACTAGGAAATTAGTTGGGAATTGTTTTTGGAGCACTATGGGCGGCATTTGCTGTAAACCCTCTTCTATAGTGGATAACAAAGAAAGACTCTCAAGTAAAGAATCATCTGATTTGAGGGTATCAAGTGTCACATCTTCAAGGAGGGAAGATGAGTATAGGCCTAAAGATAGGTACAACAGCAATGACAAGAGGACAATGTTAATTGATAAGCAAACCGATGAGTCAAATAGATTGCAGGTCAGTGAGAGTGTTGATAAAAAGAGTGAGAGGATGGAATATGCTGTTGTGCAATATCCAAGGATTGGTAGCATACCAAAAGCGATTGAAGGAGAGCAGGTTGCTGCTGGGTGGCCTTCCTGGTTAGCTGCAGTATCTGGGGAAGCAATAAAGGGGTGGCTTCCTAGACGGGCTGATTCTTTCGAGAAGCTGGATAAGGTACACGATTTTCTTGAACTTCATATTTTTTCATCTAAATCTTTCTGATTACTTATTTGATTAGTATATTCTGTCCATATCAAATGTACTGCTCTTTTTATAAGTAACAGTAACTCCTGACTGGTTTGGAGCTAATAATAGTTGTGCTTTCTCATGCAGATTGGACAAGGAACCTATAGCAATGTTTACAGGGCACGTGACCTTGATCAGAAAAAGATTGTTGCTTTAAAGAAAGTGAGGTTTGATAATCTTGAACCGGATAGTGTTCGCTTTATGGCAAGGGAGATCCACATTTTGCGTAGGCTTGACCATCCTAATGTTATAAAGCTAGAAGGCTTAGTTACATCAAGGATGTCTTGTAGCTTGTATCTTGTCTTTGAATACATGGAGCATGACTTGGCTGGTCTAGCCTCACATCCCGGTCATAAGTTTACTGAAGCACAGGTAATTGTTAGAGTTTCAGCATTTTAATATCTTCACAGGAGTCTGGTTTGGTATAATGATATTTCAAATGTGATGTTCTTGTAGTCTGCCAACATCATTCATTGTAAAGTACATATTTATGCATTTATCTTATTCTTGTTTGTTGCAGATATCTGCTTCTCATCAAAGTCCTGTAATCTTGGCAGGTGAAATGTTACATGCAACAACTCCTACGAGGGCTTGAACACTGTCACAGTCATGGTGTCTTACACCGAGATATAAAAGGTTCCAATCTATTAATTGGCAATAATGGTATCCTGAAAATCGCCGACTTTGGTCTAGCAAGCATTTACGATCCCAGTCATATTCAGCCGTTGACAAGCCGGGTTGTGACCCTTTGGTATCGTCCGCCGGAGCTTCTACTTGGAGCGACATACTACGGAACTGCTGTGGACTTATGGAGTACTGGTTGCATACTTGCTGAATTATATGCTGGCAAGCCTATTATGCCTGGTAGAACCGAGGTATTTGTCCCTTTGGGTTTGGATGGTTGAATTTATCTTTTCATCACTGATATCTGCTGCTTATCTATTGCCTATATCGTTTCTACAGTTTTCTGTTCACAAACTTCTGAAACCAGTGCTATTCAAAATGCATTCTGAAACTTAATTCGCCCTGGAATTTCCATCTCAAGAGATTGATGTCAGTTATGTATGACTCGGCCCACATCAACCTTATGTGCATGTGTGAAAGTAGCATAAGAAACTTGTGGATTGAACTACCATGCTTAACGAGAACTTGTATCAGGATATGATATTCTGTATATCAAGCTCCAGTATGTCACTTACATTTGGCATACTGCCTCTCTTTGTCTAGTTAGTTTGAGGCTTAACCATAGGTGTGGCACTCTTGTTTTATAACTGTCTGATTTGAGGTTTAGTTGAATCACCATTATGTGCTGCTTCTCTCCCTAATGATCTCTCTCTTTTCTCAACTTCTGAAATCCTTGAATTGGTTACTCTCGTGGCTTCACTCTGTTTTGTGACTTACCTGGGTTTGTATGGGTCGTAAAGGGATGTAAAAGAGGATAGGAGCGCAACAGATGGACCTAATATAGCCTTCTAGGCTCTAGCCTCTCATGGTGTATCTGAGAAAGGCTGCTGGTCCATTTTCTGTTGTGTATTAGGCAGTAGAGTACCTTCTCACAGCTTACTGAGATATACTGGCTTCTTCTGAGTGTTTTTAAATATACTGAATTTAGGCCTGCCTTCCGTATTGATGGCATATATCCTTCAGTTAGGATATTATTTCATTATTATGTTTTCTGACTGCTTTGTTATTCAACTGACAATAGTTCGGCAAGAATAAGGCCAGATGAATAATTTACATGTTTTTGTCTTTGAAGGTGGAGCAGCTGCATAAAATTTTCAAACTTTGTGGTTCTCCTTCTGAGGATTACTGGAAAAAGTCAAAGTTGCCTCATGCTACTATATTTAAGCCTCAGCAACCTTATAGACGTTGTGTAGCTGATACATTTAAGGAGTTCCCTGCGCCCGCTTTAGCACTCATGGAGACCTTGCTTTCCATTGATCCTGCGGATCGAGGAACTGCAGCTTTTGCTTTGAGGAGTGAGGTATGAAGTTATAGTTGTTGTTCAACGTGCCACCTTAAATTTGTTATCTTCTCAGGAGACACATGCTAGTACTTGCTAAAAATGTTTCAGTAGCAGTTATATGGTTTGTGTGCGACTAGAATTCTTATAACCCGTGTGTTGTTTCTCCCCCTCAATCGTGGCACTGTTAGGAAGTAAAAATAACAGTTTGATAGCACTTCTGTACTTATATTCAAATGATACATAACATACCTGACCCTTTACAACAAGCAAAATATGTCATAATTTCCTAGAATCAGAAGCTTATAGAAAGTGGTGAATCGAAATTTGTCCAAAATTAGCTAAAAAACTTGAATCTTGTAGAAGATGAGAAGAATGATTATTTAGAATGTGGTGATTCATGAGTCACGACTCACAGCTTGTTGCTGCCGGGCGCTCGCAGTCAGCGACGACAAAGAGAAACTGGGTAGAGGGTCAGGGCAAATGGAATGGAGCAATGAGGAGAAGGTTCTGGGCTTGTGGCTATCGCAGTCAGTGATTGTGAAGAGCAGCAAGGCAAAGAGACGATTGAACCGATGGAGCGACGAGGAGGTTCTTGGCTTATCACTATTAGGCGCAGGCAGTCTGCAGCGACTTAGAGCAGCAGGGTAGAGGGTTGCCCGAACGGAATGAGTGACAATGAGAAGCAGCTTTCTGACCTAGAGTAGCGAGGAACAAATGTTGCATTGAGGGTAGTTTGAGATGGTGTTGTTTTGGTGAAGTCAGTTACCTTTTTTCTTCTATCGGTCCACTAGATATGCTTAAGCACGCCTCCAATTTCCTAATTGGGTCTGACATTGCTTAATCACGACTAGGTGCCGCCTAGCTCCGCCTCGGTGTTAAGAATGTCTAATTTGCTGCTTAAGGCCTAGGAGACGCATATTGTCATTGTCTAGCTCCTAGGTGCGTATCGGCAATTGGAATTCCGCCTTCTTGAACCATGATTTGACATATCATAAATATTGGTTGTGTAATTATCTGTCACCATTGTCTGTTGTTCCACATCTACTAGTGTTCTGGCTGTTATGCATTTTTTCTTTCAATTTGTTGGTGATGTTTTGGTTGTCTGCTCAATGTGTTGCAGTTCTTTACGACAAAGCCACTTCCTTGTGATCCTTCAAGCTTGCCAAAATATCCCCCGAGCAAGGAGTTTGATGCAAAAATGCGAGACGAAGAAGCTAGAAGGTTAGGATTATCAAATCTAAGCACACAAGTTTGCAGGTTTTAGGAGTCTTTGTTTGCTGGATTGTATAATGTTATCATGGCACTAAATTTTACTGCTTGATTTTTGGCAGACAAGGTGCAGTAGCAAGCAAGGGCCACCGACAGGACACTGAACGAAGAGGAACCAGAGAATCTCGAGCAGTGCCAGCACCTGATGCTAATGCGGAGTTGGCTGTATCTATCCAGGTGAATTCTAGTTTTAATTCTCCCACTCACGGCCCTCTTTTCGCGAGAATTCTCAGAATGTGACAATCCTTAAAATTTGATATTTTTGTGGAAAACTAGAGATGTTACTGCATTCTTCTTGCCAGCAACTTTGCCATCTATTACAGAAAAGCAAGGAACTTAAGTAAAAACAAAAACGATTACCTTTCTGTTCTTGTGATTTTTATCTTTTCAAAATATAAATTTTCTTGGAGTTACCTTGATGGGATATTCTTATCAGTGATGTCCATTTCTTGTGTCCATTCTTTTGATCCACTCGCTCGCTCGGCTTCTGGTATCTTACTTTTCGCATTTTAACTCTTTTCTTTGATTTGTGGCTTTTCAATTCAATTTTTTATTTGCCCTTTGTTGTAACAGAAAAGGCAATGCCAGCCAAACTCTAAAAGCTGCAGTGAGAAATTCAATCCTCATCCAGAAGAAGTCGCTTCTGGGTTTCCATTCGAACCACCTAGACCATCCCAAGTCATCGAATCAAGTGGAGAGCCCCCACATCAACAGCAGCATAGGCGAGGTTCTCATTCAGGCCCACTTGCTCAGCGTGTTGCTTGGTCCAAAGCGGGTACTAGGAATCCCTATGAAGCTCCTAAGGTTTCTAGTGGGGCTGCTGACTTGTCAACAATGCCTGCTGGGTTAGTAGCTGCAAGGAGAAGCTTGTTGACTGAGGACCGAAGGGAAAGATCGGTTCAACCACAATCTGAAGTCCCGAAACTAATAGCACGGTTTCCTGGATCTTTCAAGGAATCCTCGGAGTCCTTCGGCCAACAAGATCAGAAGCATCACCATTTGCTGGGTTTCACTGCTGGTGCCCATCAGAGGGAGGATGGAAGGGCTGGCTGCGGCAATCCTGCCCTTGTAAGTTGCTGCAGACGCATTGAAATCAAATTAATTGAACTTGTTTTTTCCCCTGAAATCTTATTCCTTTATTTAGGTGGGGCATGGGTCAAAGAGTCGCAAAATCCACTACTCTGGTCCACTGGTTCCAACTGGGAACATGGATGAAGTACTGAAGGACCATGACCGCCATATCCAGGAAGCCGTGAGACGAGCACGGATCGACAAGGTAAAAATTAGGAAAATTCAGGTGGATGGCAGTCAAATATCAACCAATTCATTATTCGTTTCTGGTCGTTAAAAAGTTGTATAAGGCGCTTAGAAAGCATAGCTAGCTGGACGACCATTTTAACCAAGTGGGTTAAGTTAATCAAGATTAGCTCATTGATAAATTCTCATCTCTCTTCCTCTCTGATGGCAAGTGTATCTATTGTATTTACTTACACTCTCTTCTCTGTCTCACTTAAATATGTAATGTAATGTATATGTTCATGAGCTATTCTTGTAGAGTCCATCGTCGTTGATAATTGTGGATTCTGAATGGAAAATTGATGATGCTTCCTGGGCTAGTTTGAATTTGCACGGTTAATGTCGCCAGGATCAGTTGACGTGGTTCAGATGATTGAGATTGCTGCTTTTGTTTGGTTTAGCTGTTTCTGGTTTGAAATGCCAATGCCTCTTGATAACCATAATTTAATAACTCGTTCCATTTCTTCTTTACTCGTTCTAACTACAACATCCCGATTGATGACCAAGTATAATCGCCGATCGAGTGTAGCATAGGGCAAATAAGCAATAAGAATTTATCGTACCATGGGGATCTAGGATTATCCTACTTCAAGTTTAGGGTTCGTTATCTAGCCAACCTATGATAGTGATTAATGCAACTAAACTAACTAACCTAGACTAACCACTAATCCTAGCTATTTAAAAGGTTTGGAAGCTCTCTTGGGTTAAATCCCCCTATTTCCGACCTTTTGATTGATGTTGAGTACCATCCTAACTCGATCGACCCACTATCCTACCGTTAGGAGATGAACTCCCTTGGGACAAACCCGGAACGGTGAAGTGATGGATGGGTAGGAGCTCTATTCAACCTAGGGCACCCCTATATCGTAGGTGATCCCAATCGACTCCCTCGGGGCCCGGACGATATGGGGTGAGGAGTTGTTTCCCTCCTAGGTCAAAAGTTCAATTGACTCAATTACTCTACCGTTAGGAGATGGACTCCCTCGGGAATGACCCGGAACGGCGAATCGATGAAAGTGGTAGGCTCTATTCAACTTAGGGAAACCCTATATCGTAGGAGATTGATGGTATCGACTCCCTCAGGGATTACCCGGACTATATAGGTTGAGGAGTGACTCGAAGATGCCAATAATGGACTCTAAGGGGATTTTCTCCCTCCTAGGTCAAAACCTCAATGCATGAAAATGGAAACCCAACTCATGTCATTCATGAAAACATCCATCAATTATGTAGAATCATCAATCAAACATGGAATGTGTCACATACATCAACATTAAACCCAAATCTAGCCCTAGGGTTCTTAAACCAAGAGAAGAGGGTGAGTTTCTAGAGAGAGGAGAAAAATTACAAATTGGAGCCCAAGATCTTCTTCTTCTTCTAGGCTTGAATCCTTGTCTTCAAGATCAACTCAAGCCCTCCAATTAAGCTCCAAGATCACTCAAGCACTCTCTCTCTCTCTCTCACTAGAACTCCACTTTGGTTTTTTGGGTTGAAACCCTAGAGAGAGAATTGAATCCCTCTCCAAAAACCAGCTCTCATTTCTCTCTCCCCGCTGTTGTCTTTATATTTGCCTGACATGGCTCAGTTCACGGTCTTAGACCTCAGTTCACGGTTGCGTTGATCAGTTCACGGTCTTAGAGACAGTGAACTGACGACTTCACAGTTTAGGCTTTTAGTTCACGGTCTTAGAGACCGTGAACTGACCTCTTGCCAGTAACCTCTAGAACCATTCTGGAAATTGGCCTGTTCACGGTCTGGGCTTTCATCCTACATGGCGCGTTGACCGTCCAAGATAACAGTAAAATCTCGGATTTGACCAATTTCGTAACTTTGATGCATAGTTGAGGCCACTAAGTTATAGATCGAAAAAGCAATGATGTTTAATATGTAAAAAGTTCGGGCCATACAAATATATAACGCAATATTATTTAGACTAACATTTTTGGCGACTGCATTGTAGTTCTATGCTCTGAAGAATATTCACCGTTGAAAATCATCAAAACAACAAAATAGCGTGTCAATTCGATCAGTAAAATTTCAATATAAGTACAAACAATTGTATATGTATAATTATATACATCGTACAATTTAATGTGTACGTGCTCATGCCACGTATGATTAAGGGAAAAAGATAGTTGTTTTTAGACCGCCAGAAAGTGTGTTTGATTCTGATCAGTCTATTTGTGAAGTGTAAAATAAGTTTTATGATGGTATGAGCATCGATATGACTCAAAGGTAGACTAACTACAACCACACAAATTCAAACTAAATTATTAAAGTTTCACACTTTTATCATCATACTTATTTTACTTCTTCGGTGTAATGATATTTGGGTGCAAATACCCAATTGACAAATCAAAGACTGTTAGCTCATATTTCATGACCAGAGAGTCTACACCATTAAGAACTTCAAGGTCAGTGTGGAAAATAAAAGTTCTTTCAAGTTTGAATTACTATTTTCAATTCAAATTTAATTCAAACTTATGCATATTAAACCAAACCATTCACTTTTCAATTTTTCATTCAACAGATGTTGTTGGCCAATTTATTTAAGCATTCGGGTTTAGCCACAACCACTAGACTCACGGGAAAAGTCACCCCGCAAATAGCTCAAACTCAAACGTACCGAGCGTGTAATTATTTTAGCTTTCTTTATGGTTAATTATTTTAGCTTTCCGTTTTAAATAGCATGCATTACTTTTAACTCTGATCATAAATCTAATATATAATTTGCGTAGAAGATTGGTTGTCAAGGTCACTCTCTTTTGTAGGATCATTATATGTTGCTCTTCACAGTGGCAAGGAAACATCTAAATTACTTTATTATTGATCCAAACATTTAGAATTATATTACGACAATTAATTAAATGATTGTCAAATTTGAAAGTGAGAATACCTTCTCCTCACCTCGAGCGACCTTGTTGCTGGGGAATTCGAGAATTCCATAAGTTATTAATTTTGTGCCAAGGTGAAGCTTAAAAAGAATTTAATTATCGTATTTGGTTATGCATTATGAATTTGAAGTTTAAAAAAGATAGAAGATATTAATTACCATTTTTATGAAAAAAGTGACAGTGATGTGCATGTTGCTCCAGAAAGCCCAGAAAAACATCAACAATTAATCCCAACCAAAACACTACATGAGCTGAATCAATTACAAATAAAAGATGGAGAAGAGGTAAATATCAGTTTTGATTTAACACCCCATTAACTATTATATGCTAACAATTTCTATAACATGTTTTTCGTCAATTGCAAAGTGTTCAAAGTTAAGAATGAATTGCTATGCTAGAAGCGACACCTTTCCACAAAAACTCTTTTTGATCAAAGAATATTTCTTTTATTTTATCCAAAACAAGTGAAATACAAGGTTCATTACAACAAAAGAGCTATTAAAGGAAGAATAAGGATCCCCTCCTATGGTAACGCCAATAACCTAGTCTGGCCTGCTATCCAATTAGCCTGCACATCAAATATCAAGGAACAAGCTCTACATGAATCCATGGGACCACGTGGAGAACAGAGACCATGCGGGAAATAGTAGCATGACATTGCCACGACTACAACGATTGTCCTTTGTTTAGAGCTAAAACAAGAACTTGGCAATCCGTGCGAAATATAAAAACTCGAAGAAGACTTAGTTGAGTATTTTTGTGGGAACGGTACAATGTCATTAAAGACAAAAATCACTATGTAATGCAACGATTATTAATGGGAAATTGGATTTTATATAGTTCATTGACGAATATACATGCCAAATGGTTGAATATTTACTTTTCGGCAACAAAGTTTATATAATTCTTTCGTTGAATTCATACACATATTACCAATACAACAATAAATAATATTTTTCTTAATAAGTAGCAATACATGGTATTGATACACAAGGAAAGATTACGTACATTTACATATTAAATATTGTTAATATAAAGAGATTCCAGAAAATTGGTGGGAGGCTATCGGTGGCGGAGTCAGGAATTTCATCAAGGGTATTTAGTGATAGACTAAAATTATCAAGTGTTGTCAAATAGTCTTAAACCAAAATTTTGCATGAACTTTTTGTCTCAAATTTGTACATAAGGTTTGTCATATGACAAACCGTTGATCAACGTGGGTCCATCATTGGAGGCTACTTTTGTCTTCTACTCATATTTGTTTGCATGGGGAAATAAAATGAGGTGATTGCTTTATTGACATGTGCTTCCCTATTTATTTTCATTTTGAAACATTATGCTTCTGTAATGTTTGCCTATTTATATTTTGGTGGGTTGATCATTTGGATCTTTTAGATATTGTTAAGAAAATATATGGTCTTTCCACCTATCTTACTTATGAGACTATTTCTCTATTACTAACTAAATGATTTTGAGTTTTTGCATTTACCAACTATAAAATAACATACTTTAATAATTTTTATTGTTTTTTACGACATTACATCATTATACTAATTTAGGATCCACAGTCAAATTGTGGAGAGAAAAAACCAGAGGTTGACTTTGTTGTTATGATGGTGGGAACTCAACTTTTGGCATGTCAGATGAAAGGCTACTCCAAGACTACGATAGAATCAAGATCACTGTCTGCTCATCTCCTACAAATTGATTGAATGACCTTGAATTTCGACATCATATTCACATATTAGAAAATTGCTAATCCAACAAGTGAGTTTACAATTTTAAGGATAGGAAAGGATGAAGAAGAGCACAAAACAGACGATCTTCCTGAGTCGATCGAGATAAATTCTACTCAGTGCTATTCTCTAATGGATTTGGATTTTTATACCATGCACATGTCATACTTAGTTATATTATTTATTCTAATTGATATCATGCCACTGTTGGATGAAGGGAAGCGAGTTTTTACTTAACAAAATTGGGTTGGATGAATAAAATTGAAAAGGTTGAGAACACCCTATATTTCTCTCCCCGACTGCTTGGAAATATAGCCGCTTTGGTATTTTTAATCTTGGTATTAAATGTGTAATTAACTTTGATTCCTATTTCAATGGAGGTAATGGATCCAATGTTACAGATTATGTTGATGTTTAGAAGATGAAAGACATTTTTCTTGAGGAAGATATAAAGATTGGTGATGCGGAGAAGGAACAAATCATGAATGTTGTTTATACTTTGCACGAGGTAAATTCTACTTTAATGAGAAAGATGATTTGTATTTGTAAATATTTTACCATTAAATTTTATTGTTCAATGAAATATAGGAGAAAATGAAGAGATTATTGAAATGCAAGAGAAAAAAGAAGAGACAATTGATAATGCGGATAAATGTGTCACTAATGGAAATGAAGACATTATTATTGGCGGAGATGATGATGTTGCTCATGTCGAAGGAAATACAAACAAGTAAAAAAGAAAATGTGCACTAATCTTAGACGATGAGGAGCAATTAGAAATGTAATTTTAAAGTGTCTTTAGGAGTTGCTTCCCTTGCTTGGGGCTTTTCTTTCATTTTCATAAAAAGATTTTGGTCAATCAGTCATTAAAATGTAGGAAAATAGTATGATGTTGATCCGTTTGAATTGTTGAAGTATTTTAACAATTTGGATTGTCTTATTCTACCAATCGATTCGAATGTTTAGAGTATTTGATCAATTTAGATTTTGTTATACTAATACGTAACTTAGATACAAATTGCTACTGGTATTTACGTAATTACCAACTGAAGTCGGCCAACTGACCGGGCCGGTGACTAGTATATATTGAATAGTTACCATTAAAATAAGTAGTAATACATATTAGTGAAGTGTTGGGAATTAATAATTATAAACTTAGCAGTTAATGGGATTATATGTTTATTTCGTTTCCACCATTGTGTTTGAATTGCATTGATGGAGAATGTATGAAAGTGATACGTGAGATATTTGGAAAAGTGGTTGAAGTAGCAGTGGGGGACACACTTGAAATTGCACAACAACGTTATTGGTGGAGATGCTCTTTACCATAGAAATGTTCATGGACCCCATTGTCCTTTTCAATGGAAAGTTGGTGAGCACCACCAGGCACTACCGTATGCGCCCGTAGATAGGTTGAGGCTTGGTTGCCTTGTTATTGATTGTCGGGACTACTTTTTCAATGGGCGCATTTTGTGGCCTACAATTGTTCAATTAACATAATAGTCTGGACGCTCTTTATTAGTCTTCTTTGCGCAGGACACAATGGCGGTGCTAGACTTGGCTGATCCGACCAGTTGATCCGTCCCAAACCCGCCTGAAAAATAAAAAATGGATTGAAGTTTGTATAACCGGAAACCTAAATTTATTGAACCCGATTAACTCGTATTTTTTGGTTTGGGTTGTATGGGTAAGCGGGTCAACCCGCTAGACCTGTTTCATTTCATATGTCACTCTCAAAATTTTAAAATCACTAATAAATTGGTGAGATGTTTAAAAAAATTCATAAGGATTTAAAGACAAGTTTGGAGTGTAAGGATAATAAAACATCATTTGTTTTTTGTAGTAGTATTACTTTCACGATTGTTTTTTGACTATTTGTGTAATTTGTATTTCTTTTCATTTGAATGGAAAGATTTGGGCATTTGTTAATTAACATGTGCTGGGTAAACTAATGTTATACACATGTGAAACTTTATTTTCTTTAAAATTTTATGAAGCATGTTTGATATTGTTTCTAAGAGCGCTCATAACCAAAATAACCCAAGACCCGATCCGAAACCCGATGGATTGGGTCAACATTTGACACGAAATGAGCCAACCCAACATGACCCGACCCATGACAACCTATAACTAGAGATTCCCAACCCCGAAAATACGCAACTCGGCCTGACTGTCAGTCTAGGCGGTTGACTCACTCCAACTACCACAATAAAATCCCGACTAGAGCCCAAATATAAACTCTAGTAGGGTGTCGTATAGGAAAAAAGTTTTAGAATGTCTACTCAGGGCGGTCCATGTTCTCCTAATTCAATCGTTTAAACCATTATCTAACAATCACTTTTGAGTGAAAACTAAGGACTATAATTTAAAGCAAGAAAAAAGGTAAATTATTTTAGAATCTATACGTGAAAGCTTCATCCAGTATTGCTCCCCTTAGCTTTATATCAAGATCGACCAAATAGAATGCAAATGTGTAGGAATGTGTTCATACATCGTAAGGAGGACGCAACTAGTGAAGAAACTTCACCCTCTTTGGTGATAGGCCAAGGAACAACAAATGAAGCTAGCGAACTAGCTCTCTTGGCTGCTCAACCAAGGGTTGCTAAGACTACTCCCTCGGAACTTAATCCGGATGACAATATAACAACCAAATCAAAGTGATAATTTGAAGGTTGAGGCTTGCCTTAAATTGCCTTAGGTAGGTGACTCAAATGGCCAAGAAATCCAGTTTCTCAAAGCCTCTACCAAAAGGAGGCTTCTCTTTACCTAGGTCAATTTGGCATAGCTATGAGAAGTGAAGAGGACAACTCAAGAATTTTAACTCTGCATTAAACACAAACCCACACACATAGCATTCAATCCATACAATCTATCACATATCTAAAGTTAGGGTTTACAATACCCAAGTGAGAAAGAGTATTACTCCATAGCTAATCTAGGGATTACAACAAAGAGAAGAGGAAGAACCATGGTGTGGTGTTTGACTTCCTTCCTTGATGTAGAAATCACCCTTGGAAGATGAAAATCCCCAATCCTCAATCTTTGAGTAAACCCTGTATCTCTTCTTCTCTCTTGGTTCGTTAGTTTCTCTCTCTAAAATCAGAAGTAGAAGACAATCTCTCACTACGCTCCCCCCTTCAAGTTTCAGCTCCATCCTCCTTTTATACCTAGGTCGCGCGCACATCACGGTTGGACATCACGGTCGTGATATGAAAGCTCGGACCGTGATCATGGACAAAAGCGCACCATTTCATTAAAGGTCTTAACGGTCTGGATTGGATTATCACAGTTTAGTGATCGTGATATCTTTTAGGCCCGCGAGGTATAAAAACTCTTATGGTTTCCTCGAACATCACGGTCTGGTTTTCATCTTCACGGTCGGTTGGTCGTGATAATATTGCTCGTATAGCAGGAACCAAAAATGGAAAATGGAAACGACGATGTCAAAGGCCAACTCAGTATCCATGGCTCCTCTGAGTTTTGACTGGGCCTAAGCGGGTTTGACTAATCCGAGCTATTCATTGAACGGGTGTTCATCACTGGTTTTTACTCCAAGTCTTGGTCAATCCGGGCTAGGTTGTGCATGTTTCAGATTCTAGCATGTGATATTTTCCTTGTGAGCGTAAGTCGAACGATAGGGTGCGAAAGTCGATCGAAAGGAGCAAAAAGGGGAAGATCAAGGTTCGAGCACTACAGAAAAATACAACTTCGACCACGGGATCATTTTGTTACGGGTATACTCCCATGATTAAACGTGAACGGTGTGATAGTCCCATAACTGTAGCGGTTAAATAATAATTCGGGTAAGCTTCCCGCGCGAAATCTAATTCGCGGTATCTACCTGAAAATTTTAGTGCCCCGCGCTGAAAAATTTCTAGGTGCGCAAGCAGAGTAGAGGCCAGAAAGCCTTTCCTGCCGAGCCCGGGCTCTCTCTACCCCCATCCGATCTGTTTCACTCTCTTCTCCCCTCTGAACTGATTCTCCCGAGGTTTCTGCATCAGCTTCACGCCGCAACTAAGCACCCCTCCAAACCCTTTCTCCATGCCTCCATCTTCGCTTTCCCAACTTTTCGATACCCAAACCCCTCTACATCTCTCGGTCTCACCCCAGATCCCTGTTTCTAGCTTCAATCTCAACGCGATTCACCAACTCCGCCGCTTCACATCTTTTCGTGGGCTTAGTGAAGGAAGAAGACGTGAAAGCATGCCTTCTCTAGTTCTCTCAATCTCCTCTCCACGAAAAGTGACTGGATTTGCAACATTGACCTCCACCACCCCCAATCCCAATTCCTCTCGTTGCAGTTGTTAGCTCTGCCTCGGGGACTGGGAACAGGAAACTGCTCGTGCTTCCTACTCGCCACTTCAATCTGCCTCAAGGGCTCCAACAACCATCGATCATCACCACTATCCCCGCCGCCTAGAATTTCATCCGAGTCCAACGACATATAGGCAGTGAGCACGCTCAGCTCGGAGAGGCAGGTAGGGATTTTCATTTCATTTCATTTCATTTTTAGTCATTGATCTTCTCTCTCTCGCACATCTCACCAAACAATAAGTAGCTAGCTATATATGACTGCCACTGCTCTAGATTTTATGATGCGTCTACTGAATGATTCGCTCTGGTTTTGCATTCAATTAGGTTTTAATGGTATCATTGTCCTCCTCCGATTCACCCATCCATTCCCTATCGCTAAAGCCCTTCTCCAATTTGACCATTCACCATCATTAAGAGACTAGTGAATCCCAGTTCGGTTTCGAGGGCAGGGAAAGATTTTGAAACCATCCCATTGGCAATAGGATCAAGGATAGTATTGGGAAGGCATTGGTTTGGTACGGTGCAAGCAGATCGAGCTCGGGAAGCTAAGAGAAGATGCCCACCACACCACTAAGTTGCTCATCTCCAGGTATGCTGGCCGTCATATCCCCCATTCGCCCTCTCCATTTATTCATTTATCGAGAGCGCAAAACCATAGCTAGATTATGCTTCCTACTGACTCTATCTCTTTTCAATCAGGTCAATCCCCTGTTTTGAGATTCATTTTACACCTGCTGAAAATCTTCTTGCCTCTATCACATTCATCTTCGATTTGGTTTTTGGTTCCCTAGTCATAGTCCAGCTACCAATGCAGTCAAAAGCGCGATTCTACTTAGAAGCGGAAAAGGGGTAAAATCATAAAGCGTAGAATCAAAGCGTAAAGCGTAAGTTTTTGAAGCATACTGAAAAATAACTAAAAAGGCTAGGACATATACTATGTAAAATATGAATGCACGGAATTTAGATAAGTTAATAAATACATGCAATTCATGCCTCAAGTAGAGCAACTTGTAGCATCTTAATAATAAGTTCGTAAACATAAATTTTAACAATAAGCCATTTCTTCCTCTATGCTAATGCATTCGGGAAGAGCCTAGTTGGTGAATTAGATTACTCTATTAAAGTTGAGAATGTATCCAAGTACATGATATGTATCTTTTAATCTAAAAAATGTATCATATTGTTGGTGATTTACTTTTAAAATATACTTTTATAATTAATTTCATGAAAAGAATACTCATTTAGTGGACTAAAAGCGTAAAAACGTAAAGCGTTTTGGTGAACTAGAAGCGTAAAAGCGTAAGCTTTTAAGCTTTAAAGCGCAATTTAGTCCGATTTTATACACTTAAGTTTTTATATGGAAACGAAAGTGTTTTGGTGACCTAAAAATGTAAAATCGTAAGTTTTTAAGTTTTAAAACGCGATTTTGACTGCATTGCCAGCTACTAGCCATCACTAACGACCTAATCTTAACAATTAAAGGTATGCTCATTGACCTTATCCTTATGACCGACTTTGATCAAAATAGAACATGGTTGGTGTAGTGTTCGTGCTAATTATATTGTTGACGGTTGTTGTAAATGGGTGATACTGCCTTTGACAAAATAGCAGGTGAGTTTGCAGTTGTCTTTGTTTCTCTTCCGAGTCAACAGAATCCAAGAGTTAGAGCCATGGGTAATAACGCTTTTGTTTGTTATAGGTGGAATCTACCCTCGCAATGCAAAACCTTGTACCCAAGATAGAAGCAATTCAATTATCATATGCTGGCAATCAGGTGAGAGGCATTTTCTGTTGAATCATGTTTCATCCACCGAGCATGCCTTGCCAAATATAAATTGGCCTTTTGTATGGTGTTCCATGCTGTAGGAAAGAATACAACTTGAGACATCACTTTAATACAGGCAAGTTGGGGTTTATCCATCAGCGGGTATTGACCTTCAGTTAACTTTTTTTTCCCCCCCTGTTACAGGACTAGTTTGCTTGTGTTTCTGGACTACTCAATGGGAATCATGAACTAGAATATGCAGGTTATTGAAATAAACTCTAGCGAGTTTGTAACCGAGGGGAGCCTATTAGTTCAACTTTTGACAGTTTTAGCTTCTTCACCTGTTTGCCCCTTTCATTGGCTTTGACATTAAATTGATTGCTTTTCTGTTTGTAGATGTGTGGAGAGGAAGTATCTTGATTCGGATGAGATGACACCAGATGTCATAGTATCTTTAGTTTGGAGCATGATAGAGTTCAATCTAAGTGAGGTAACCGTCCAAAGATTTTACTCTCCGTTCTCTCTTTTATTTGATCATGATATGTTGATCTATGGATATGTGGAGACTTTTGAGGACATCACCTACTCTAGATTATTTTGTTTCCACGGATGCTTTTGTAAATGGTTTCGATCAAGTGATATGATCAATTAGTTTGATTAATTCACATGGTTAGAATGTTGCAAGAACTAATTAGCTCTCTCATAGGTGTGTAATAATGACCAAACTGAATGATCTTGTGAATTCTGTGTTGTGTTTATTATTCAACAGATGGAATTTATACACTTGAGCTAGAATACATAATCAGAACGTGTAAAGAGGTTGGAGAGATTTAAGGTAACAGATAGAGAGTGGGGAATCAGCTGCTATTGTAACGGGAAGAAGCAACAACTTTAGCTAACAAGCAGCTGCAGACTCGGTCAGCCTTATCATGCCCCCGCAAGTTGATGGTCAATGGCCTTCAACTTATTACGAAAGTGATGAAAGCGATGGCGAGGCAATGGTTTGGTGAGCAAGTCCGCAATTTGATCATCGGTGGATATGTAGCGCACGAGCAGTTGACGGGCAGCTACACGTTCGCGGACAAAGTGGAAGTCGATCTCCATGTGTTTGCTGCGGGCATGGAAAACTGGATTTGCCGTAATATAAGTTGCCCCAAGGTTGTCACACCAGAGTTTTGGAGGCGATGTCTGTGGGCAGCCAATTTCCGTGAGCAAGGACTGTATCCAAATGATTTCTGCAGCAAGAGTGGCGAGAGCCTTGTACTCAGCTTCAGTCGAGGATCGGGCAACCGTGCGTTGCTTGCGGGACGACCAAGAAATTAAGTGGGAGCCAAGGTAGACGGCGTAGCCAGTAGTCGAGCGACGATCAGAGACACGTTGGCCCACGCAGCGTCAGAGTAGCCGGAGAGCTGCAAAGAGGAGTGACTGCTGAAAAATAGACCATGGTGAGTAGTGCCACGAAGATAACGTAAGATGCGTTTGACATCTGTCCAGTGATGTTGAAGAGGCTGATGCATATGTTGGGCACAGTAATTCACAGCTTAAGCAATGTCGGGACGGGTGAACTGAAGATATTGCAATGCGCCCACAATTTGCCGATAGAGTGTGATGTCCGGAAAAAGCATGGAGTCCGGGTTGGAGGTGGTTGTGGCCGCCGGAGTGGAGAGGACATTGGCTGAAGACATTTTTGCACGAGCAAGGATATGATTAATGTACTTGCGTTGGGACAGCACCAGCTCGCGAGGAGTCCAGAGGGTTTCAATCCCAAGGAAATAAGAGAGACGACCAAGATCCCGGACTGCGAATTTCTTGTTGAGATAGAGTATGAGTGCTTGCAATGCATATGGCTGATTACCGGTGATGAGAATGTCGTCGACATATATGAGGACATGTAGCCGCAATGAGCCACGACAGAGAATAAACAGAGAGGTGTCAGTCTTCGACCCATGAAACCCATAAGCCTTGAGTGCTCGGCGGAGGCAGTGAAACCATGCTCGCGGCGCCTGTTTGAGGCCATAGAGAGACTTTTGGAGATGGCAGACATGATCGGGACGGTCGGGATCGACAAAACCTGGTGGTTGCTGCATAAATACATCGTCAGTCAAAGTGCCATGTAAAAATGCATTGGCAATGTCCAGTTGGCGTACTGGCCATTTGTGAGAGACAACAAGAGACATGATCAGTCGTAAGGTAGTTGGTTTTAAGACAGGACTGAATATGTCGCCAAAATAAAGTCCGGGACGTTGCTGAAATCCGCGGGCAACAAGGCGGGCCTTGTACCTGTCAATCGAATCATCTGATTTTGTCTTGATCCGGTAGAGCCACTTACATGAGATCACATTCATGGTGGGGGAACGGGGTACCATCTTCCAGGTCTGGTTCTTGAGGAGAGCACGATGCTCCTCCGTCATAGCGGCGCGCCAGAGAGGGTGAAGAAGCGCATGTTTGGTGGTAGTGGGAATGGGGGGTTGGTCAATGTAGTCAAAATCCCGATTTTAATCTTAAAATCTTACGATTTTACGATCTTACCTATGGGTTTCGATCCTGATTTTACTGTAAAATCTTTGAACCTTAAAATCCCATAAAATCCCGATTTAAAACTCTAAAATCCATAAAATCTACGATTTCTACGATTTTGTACGATTTCAAGGTTCATATCAATTGGATCAAAATTAGGCCGGTCAAGTTGGGTTATGCCCATGAACCGAGTCAAATTTACTTTCCCCAACCCAACATAATGAACAACACAACCCCAACCTGAGAGTTAACTCTCAATTTATTTTCATTCTCTTCCTCGTATCTTCCTCTTTCGCATGTCGGCGCCCTACTCCTTTCATCAACGATATCTTCCAGCCTCCCAATTAGCTTGTAATTTGTTCCCACCACCCTCACAATAATCCAAATCTCCATTACATTGCAAGCTTTTGTTCATCTCCCAATCCTTCAGCACCACTAACCCGACCTTTTATCAATTAAGAAGGGAATGCATCAATCAATGAGTTATCTTTTCCAGATGATGATAATCAAGGAAATATGGTTAATGGTGAAAGTACTTCAAGTGATCATAAGAGTAATGATATTAGTCCTTAAACAAACAAAAACGATTAGAGTGAGGGTGAGGTTGAGGATGATGATGATGATGTGTCAGTGATGTTAATGTTGATCCTAACGATCTTATGTGATTTTCTACTCTTAACAATTAATTAACAGGGATATCTATAATGTTTCAGGTTTCTTATTTGTGTGTTTCTATTATGTACAAGAAAAATATATGGATTAGTTGTGTTTGTTTAGCAAACAAACTTATCTTGGAAAGTAATTATGCTTTATGTGGTTGATTGTTATTCAAGATATGCATTTTTATTACTATCTAGTGTTTTAAGTATTTATTTTAATATGAACCTTAAAATCTTACGATTTTACGATTTTAATCTACGATTTCGATTCTACCTCAGTTTTCGATTTTACTTAAAATCTAGATTTTGACTGCATTGGGGTTGGTTACTAGAAGTTGAGGAATGATGAGCTTTAGGCTTGAGGTAGCCAATTTGTGATCATGTGATGGGGCGCCGGGGAAGAGGTGGTATGGAAGAAGCAGGGAGGGGTCGAGGGGAGGTGTTGAAACGAGGGAGTGAATTTGGGGGAACTGGGCGTCGAGGTATGATGGAGCGAGGAAGGGTTGGTGGTCGAGGAAGATTGAGAAATTGGGAAATAGGTTGGGGTATGGTGGGGGGAGTAATAATGGTGGGCTGGGGTGGGACGGTCAAGGGAGGTGGATTGGGGGTTTGGGAGAGTGAGCCGTGAGTGGAGTGGGGAAGTGGGCCTAGGGATTGGGGTTGTGGCCCAAGGTAAAAGCATGGGGGTGGAGGGGGTAGCGGGTGAGAATTTGGGTGGCTGGGTGGCGTTGGCAATGGGGTAGTAGTGGGTATAGTGGGAGATGTGAAACGAGAGTCTTTAAAGGGAAAACAAGATTCATCAATGAGTACATGGCGGGAAATGTGTAATTTGTGGGTGGACAAATTGTAGCAACAGTAACCCTTGTGCATAGGACTGTAGCCGAGAAAGACACATGGAGAGGAGTGGGGTTGAAGTTTGTGACGAGTAAGAGGGCGTAACCAGGATAATAGAGAGTGCCAAAAATGCGGAGACTGGAATACGTGGGTTTTTGGTGGTGAAGAACCTCAAGCGGAGTATGGGATTCAAGAAGAGGAGTGGGTAATCGATTGATGAGATACACGGTAGTGTCAAAAGCATAGGGCCAGAATTTGATGGGTACAGAAGCATGGTGAAGGAGAGCAAGACCAGTTTCAACAATATGGCGGTGTTTACGTTCTGCAGAGTCGTTTTGTTCGGGGGTATATGGACAAGAGGAACGATGTTGAATACCGTGTTGTTGAAGATAGGAGTGCAGTTTTTTATACTCACCACCCCAATCGGCTTGAAAGAAATTTATGGGACGATCAAAAAACTTTTCAACATGGGTACGAAAGCGAATGAAAATGTCAAGGAGATTGGAGCGATAGCGAGTGGGAAATATCCATGTGAATTTGCTGAAATGATCATAGAATAAAATATAGTAAAGATTTCCATCAAATGAGAGTTCAGGTGCAGGGCCCCAGACATCACTACAAATTAAATCGAGAGGACCTTGAGCTTGAAATTGAGAGACAGGAAATGGAAGCTTGTGAATCTTAGCAACACTACAACCATGACAAAGTGTAGAATCACGTTTATTGAAAACAGAAAGAGAGTGAGTACGAAGGATTTGGTGAAGCACACGAGAATGAGGATGGCCGAGGCGTTGATGCCAATGATTGAGAGTGACGTGAAATGCACGGGAAGCAGGATTGGAGAGGACGAACAAGGGAACAATGTATAGCCCTTCATGACTCTGGTCGTGATGCAGAACTTTCTGGGAGCGTGTGTCCTTAATGACAAAAGAGTTTCCAACAAAATGAAGGGATAAGGGATTAGTGCATGTAAGAGCATTGATAGAAAGAAGATTGCGAGAGGCAGAAGGAACGTGGAGAATATTTGATAAGTGCACTGGATGATGACGAAGAGAAACGATGGAAGAGCCAGAGTGAACAATAGGGAGAGAGTTACCAATGCCAAACGAGACCTCGTATGGACCATGATATTCATAATGGAGGGCGAGATTATTGAGGTCAGAGGTGAGATGATAGTTAGCACCGGAGTCGAGTAACCATTCTTGGGGGATTGGGGGAGTTGGCATTGTGAGCTGCTGGGTAGGGACGAGAGTGGTGGTGGGCTGGGGACGGACATTGCTTGGTTGTGTGACCAAAACCGCGGCAGTTGAAGCATTGGAGAGGCGTAGAGGGAGGAGAATGTGCGGTGGGCCTGGGTCCAAGTATTCCTGAGTTGGTACATGTTCCATAAAAAGAAGATGAGGCTGTTAAATAAGGGGAGGAGGACGAGTACCCCCAGCCGTCCCTGCCACGACCACCAAATCGACCGGAGAAGCGCCCCCGACCACCGCGACTGCCACGGCTGAAGTGAGCTGCCGGCGGACCATCATGAAGGAGATTAGACTGTTGAAGACGCTGTTCTTCACGAAGGAGGAGACCGTGAAAGTCGTCGAAGGAGATAGGATCCGACTTGGCCTCAATTGCACGGACGAACGGAAGGAAGTTGTCGTTGAGGCCCTTGAGACAGCGAGTGACGAGGTCATCATCGGAGACAGGGAGATTAATGGAGGCGAGGCCATCTCACCATCAATCTCAAACCTTTCTAACTTTAGTGTTGATTCTCTTGATTTTAAACCAGGACAGGAAGAGCAAGGGCGAGGAAGAAGGAGGCAGGTGTACCAGAGGAGGAGCCTAGCCGCAATAACTGCAGCAGGAAAGAAAGCCGAGGAGGGCCATGGACCAACCTCGAGGGCAGCGGTGGCAAGCCTGGAGCCGCCTCCAACAGAATGAGGCTGATAAGCTGGAATTGTAGAGGGTTTGGCCAGACCTCTACAAGGAGCTTCTGCAGGAACCTCAGTCACAAGTTTCGGCCATCAATCTTGATCCTCATGGAGACTAAACAAGAAGCAAGCTTCATGGAGGAAAAAAGGAGAAGATTGAAGTTTTTAAAATAGGAGTATTTTAGCCATAGTCAAGGCGGTAGTGGGTTAGCATTGTGGTGGAATGAGGATGTACCAGTCAGGGTGATTGATAGGTCCAGATTCTACTTTGATGTTTGTATTAGTTGGGGAAGCAGGAAATGTTACTGCACTTTTGTTCATGCTCCCACCACGACGGTGGAGAGAAGGTTGCTTTGGGATCACCTCACATCATTGAGGGATAAGGGGACGAGGATTGGCTCCTCGTAGGAGATTTCAATGCCGTCCTGTCCGACTTTGAAAAATAGGAAAGATGTCCCATCAGAAATGAAACTCGAGCCCCGTTTAAGTACTTTGTGGATCATAATGGCTTAATTGACTTGGGGTTTAATGGTCCAGTTTTTACATGGAAAAACATGCAACAGGGTTTTGAAGGGATTAGGGAGAGGCTTGATCGCGCCCTCTGATCTTCAACGTGGAGATTGAGGTTCGATAGGGCTAAAGTCTTTCATGAGACTTTTGTAGAATCTGACCACTGCCCCATTAGAGTTGATTTCGATTATGTGGAAGAGAAGAAAGAAATCCCTTTTCGCTTTCATAAAAGGTGGAGGTTTGAAGAGGAGTATATTAAGATTATGTTGGATGCTTGGGCGGAAGAAGGATATGTGATGAATGCTTTACAAAAATGTAAAATGCAACTGGCGAGATGGGCACAGAATGATAGAAAGAAAAAAATTAAAAGGGAGGAAGACATTAAAAGAAGACTGAACCAAATTCTAGAGGAACCAGACTATAAGTCCCTTTTGGAAGAGGAGCGTCAGCTCACGAATGAGTTGTGTTTAATTTGGGAAAAGGAAGAGGAATTCTGGCAACAACTCTCGAGAGTAAACTGCTACAAGGGGGTGATCAGAACTCGTCCTTTTTCCATGCAGCTTGCATCCAAAGAAAGAGATCCAATCGGATAAATAGACTAAAGAATGATCAGGGGGAATGGATTGATGATCAGCAAGCTCTAAAAGAGATGGCTACAGTTTTTTTTATCAAAAAATCTTTAAAGCTAGAAGTTGATTCGCTCTGTTTCGATATGGGTGGGTTCCCTAAAGTGGTTACTGACGAGATGAACTCTGAACTGGGTAAAGAGCTGGAAAATGAAAAGATAAAAAAGAGGTTTTTTCTTTGGGAGCTTCCAAAGCGCCCGCCCCTTATGGCTTCCCTGGTCACTTCTTTAGAAGGTTTTGGAATGTTTGTGAGACGAAATTCTGTGAGGAGATTCGGGATTTCTTCAGAAATGCCAGTATCACACCAGGGTGGAATGACACCTTTATTACTATTATCCCAAAGGTGGAGGAACCTGAAAATCTTGGTCAGTTCAGACCCATCAGCTGCTGTAACTTCAGGTATAAGGTGATTACGAAGATTATGGCAACAAGACTCCAGGTTTGGCTGCCTAGTCTGATTTCTGAGATGCAGTCAGCTTTCACAGGGGGAAGGCAGATACAGGATAATATTGTGATCGTTCATGAGGTGCTGAATAATTTTAAAAAGCACAAAATTGGGAAGAAAAGGGATATGATGATTAAGCTGGATATGAAGAAAGCATATGACCTGGTGGAGTGGAAATGCCTCCTAAGCCTATTAAAGGCTTATGGGTTTGGTGAGATATGGTGCTCATGGAGCAAAGAATGTATCTCAACTGTAAGATTCAATATTCTTTTTAACAGATCACCAACTGAAGGGTTTACTCCATCCAGGGGCATCAGACAAGGAGACTCACTGTCACCTCTGCTGTTCATTCTTATGACAAATGCGCTCTCCTTTCTGGTGGAGAAATCTATTGAGCTAAAACACTTAAAAGGATTGAAGCTGAATCAAAATTGTCCGAGGCTCACGCATTGCCTCTTTGCGGTTGATACTGTTTTCTTTGGAGAGGCATCACTGAGGGAAGCTGCCAATCTGATGAAAGTGATCAGGGATTATGGAGCTTTTACAGGACAGGAGATTAACACGAACAAATCCTCAGCCTTCTTCAGCTTCAACGTGAATGATGAGGAGCGTCAGTCCATTAGTGGCTAACTGGGGTTTGAAGAGGATTTCATTCATGATAAGTACCTTGGGATCCCGACGGCCTAGGGACGTTCAAGAAAGGAAATGTTCCAATTTTTTATCGAGAAAATGGAAAAGAAGGGGGAAGGATGGCAGAGTCTCTTACTCTCACCCGAGGGAAAATAGGTCTTACTCAAAGCGGTGTTTCAGGCAATCCCCTCTTACCTGATGACAGTTTTCCTCTTCCCAAAGACTACTACAAACAGGATGGATGGAATGCTTAGAAGATTTTTTTGGTCGGGGTCGATGAGTAAAAAACCATTCATTGGAGGGCGAGCAATGTGCTTTACGCCCCTAAGGAGGAAAGGGGCCTGGGTTTTCGTCCTTTTGCGGTTGTTAATCTTGCACTCCTCACGAAACAAGCTTGGAGGATGATTGAGTCCCAAAATGCTCTTTGGGTTAAACTACTGAAAGGTCTGTATTTCCCAAGGGGGAATTTTCTGAAGGCAAAGAAGGGAAGCAGAGCATCATGGATCTGGGGAAACCTCTGGGAAGCAGGTCAATGGTTAAGGTTGGGATTGGTTAAGGTGATTGGAAATGGAAAAGATACTGACATTTTTACCGATCCTTGGATACCTTTGATCCTGGGTTTCTGTATTCAAAGTATGAACCAAGAGGGACGAAAAGTGGAAGAGCTCATTAACCAGGATGAGAGATCATGGTGTATTTCAGGGATGGAGAGAGTGGTTTCTGATGAGATAAAAAATGCAATGGGAAAGATTCATATAGTATCCTGGGATATGAATGATTTCTGGGCTTGGAGATTCACGAATAATGGGGCATTCTCTGTTAGCTCGGCGTTCCATGCCTTTCATAATCATATCCGGCATGGAAGCTCAGGGTCTTCAGGGATCTCACAAGCTGAGAAAGATAAGTGGAAATGGCTCTGGAGTTTATCTCTCCCACCAAAGATCACCTTCTTTATTTGGAAGGCTTCGAGAGATGCCCTTGCGACCAAGAATAACCTGTTCGCCAGACATTGTGCAGGATCAAAGGCATGTTCGCTTTGTGATCATGAGGAGGAGTCCATCTTTCATGTCATGTTTGAATGCCCTCATGCAAAGGAAACATGGAGACGTTTGCCCCTTTTCTTCCCCTCCCTCCACAATCTGTCAAAGTTAACTACTGGTTGTGGGATGTTGGAGAGGCGTACCCACAGGAAGGACCTCAAACGACTATCTTTCTCCTATGGCATATCTTGAAAGCGCGCAATGAGATGATATTCAGAAGCCACTCCCCTTGGCCCCCACGGACCATCTCCCAGGCTATGAACAATTATCTGTTTTGGAAGAACTGCCCAAGGAAACGAAATGATAGCCCTGCTTTGTCTAGTCGACCTACTCCACTTCCTCCTCACCCCCGACCACCGCCAAGAATTCCTTACGGGGAAATTCACTATGATGGATCGTTCTTCAACGATTCCCGGGAGGCGGCATATGGGATTGTTGTCACTAATTCCCATGGTGAGGTGTGTGAAGGAAAGGCCGACTCCCTCCTCTGCGATTCTGCTTTGGAAGCGGAAGCAGTAGCAATTCATGAAGGATGATTGTTTGCGCTGTCTAACCCCTCCCCTTTCGTGATCAAATCTGAATGCAAGGTAATGGTGGATGCGATTGCTGGACCAAAGCATAAATGGCCATGGATTGTGGCAGCGCGGATTGACAGAATTCGGACTGCACTATGTAGCCTTCATGATGTTAGGGTTGAGTTCGTGAGGCGTGAGCAGAATGCTTTGGCAGACTGGGTTGCTCGATCACGGGCAAAGAACCAACTTCCACTGGATTGGGGTCCTGTCCTGAAAGTATTACTACCTCTTCTGTAACCTTGGTTGGATTTTTGGGTAATGCAGAGACTAATTGTAAAAAAAAAACATAGTACACATGAAAAGAGAGGGAGGAGGTGCGGTAAGGCGGTAACCGAGAGGGAGGAGGAATCACTATTATTGCTCCATTTGATTAGTTAAAGCTTAATTAATAACTAGCGTGGGCCCCAACCATTTGGCTGGAGGAAGGTGAGGTATGAAATTTGATAATGTAATGGGGGTGACACGCTAAAACACAACACCTAACAATGGCCAAGTGTAACCAATGAAAGGGACTGCAGTATAGTGGCACAAGTAATAAATATCGAATCCACGGGTCTCTAGAGTTACTATTACTCAGCTTCAGTTCATTATCTAGCAAACTAGATTAAGGATGGATTTATAAACTACTCCACTGACTACTCTACTAATTACAAGTTGGGAACTCACTTAGGTATGATTCCCCCTAGCTCCTCAATTAGGTCCAAGTTGTAATTCCTTTTGGTTGTTTTACTGTTGATTAAACTGCGGAAGATCCGATAGTAGCTTGGAATCTCTTAAGCTGACCAAGCCCTCTCAGTCTAACTATCCGGCAGACGACTAGTCTTTACCGGGATAGAAAGCTGAAGCAATAAGCACAGAACTCCACTACTGGAATTGGATTCCAGTACAAAGCAGTAAACTGACTAACTCTCGTATAGCCAATCTCCTACTACCGAATGATGAGGCTCTAACAACCTAATCAGATTCTATCTATCTTAGGTTGCAGCAGAAATCAGGAAAAGTTGATCAGACTTCAATTGACTCAATAAACATGCATCATTCGATTATAATCAAACAATATAGCATCCAAAACTTCATACAAGAAAGATCCTAACTCATGGAACTAGGGCTCCTCAAAACCTAAGTGAAGGGAAGTTACTCCATAGAGAAGAGAGAGACTGCAGAAATCTGATCTAGATCTTCAATCTCCATCTCCAAGCTTGATTCCCGAGCTCCAATGGCAAAGAAATCCTCCAAAATAGCTCCAAGAATGTTCCCAAGTCGCTCTCTCTCTCTCTCTAGGGTTCGTCCCTTGGGTGTTTGGGATCCAAAACCCAGCTCTCCCTTTCCTTTGGCTCGAATCTGCGTCAAAAACCCGATTCTGGGCGAATTACGGGCTGAATTACGGTCGTAATTCTTCCATGCCCGTATTTTGCCCAAAACACGCATTTTGGTTAAGTTTCAGTGCACCCAAAGCTCCTCTCGACAGTGAAAATACGGGCATGGGAGGCCAAATTACGGTCGTAATTCTCCTGCCCGTAATTCTTCCTCCGCTCCTGTTCAAAGCTTCGTTTCTCCCTCGTCCGGACTCCAAATCAGTCGCCGTTTGAACCCAGACGCTCGTAGTCTCATCCTCTTTCTTTTCATAACAAACTTCCATGATAATTTGTCCATAATATGAGGTAGAAATCCATTATTCCTCAGGTCATGCTCGTGTTTCTTCTCCCGAATTGCAAATGATCTCCGATTGACTTGAAACTTGCGCCTTTGCTTCAATTTACATAATAGGACCTGAAATGTGACAAAGGAACACAAACTAGCATAAAATAGTCCAAGAAAGCAAAAACTCAAGCCAAAATGATCAAGAAACGAGGGTGCAAACATGTGCAAATACGACGTTATTAAATTCCCCCACACTTAACCGTTTGCTTGTCCCCAAGCAAACGAAGTCAGATACAAGGAAAGCTCAACACATTTCAATCATGAAACTCTTGGGGACATATCATATCGGCACAAAACACGGGAATCATACTGCTTTTAGACATCAACACATGAACAGCTTCAACCGCAACCTGGACAACCACCACAGACAACATTCGAGTGCAGCAAAATCGAGTAAAGGAGGAGTCTCCCTTCTGTTTATCAACCAACATAGACTTGACTCAACCACTTACTCAAGACAGTCACCTCATGCACAAAACTCAAGATATCAGAATTGAGACCGAGCAATCTAGGTCCTCACCGGGGTAAAGATCATAGATAATATGAGAAAATGAATCGCTCACTCTCGACCAGTGGGGTCAGGACAATTTGATGCGAAAAATGCGCATGCTTATTCTCCTCAATCCCTAACGTCTCTTCACCATGAAGGCAGCCTCTAAATGTTAGAGTTCACATATGGGGTGTCACCACTAACTAATCCAGAGTTCTTAGACACAGGTTCAGATGACTGGCTAGGGTCTTGGACATGGGGAAAAGGCCTTTTAGGTGGTGGAAGTATTCATAGCACAAGGTTCCACATTTCCAAACCCACACAATCACAATCAAACAAACCAGTATTTCCTTTCTGCTATTCTACATTACTCAATATCTCAAGAGCACAAGAGCGAAGGAGGTATAAATGTCAGCATTTCCAAGCCAGACTGCTAAGAAACACTACTTAATGGGCATTATTCAGATTTTTGGTAGTGGCTCTCTTTTGCTTTCAATTTTTCTTTGTTTTTTCTTTCATTTTCTTTTCATTTCTTAAGAGAGCCACCACTTCTGCACATATTTCAAACACATGCCCAACTTTTAAGCACTACCTCCAACACTCACATTAAATTTAGCAGAAACAGTAGAGAACATGTAAAAACCACTCCGTGGAACCTTCTAAAAGATGCAAAAGGGTGATTTTTCATTGTAGACCAAAAGAAAGGATAACACACGGCTCAAAGGGGCTGACTAGGGGATATGACACATCAGGACAGTCAATTTGGTCGTGGGCTAATCCTATGCCCCCATCATCTTAGCTAGTGACAACGTGAATGCTACACATCATGGAAGAGGGATCTATCGCACAAGAAAGAAACGAGCAGGCTCAAATCTCACATGGCTACCTATATGCTCTATCTCACATTCTGATTCCCTGAACTAGATGCAAAAACGACTGTCAAGAAAAAGTGATCAATCCAAGTCACAGTTGGTAAGCAAACAGTTGAAAAACTGAACCCCTACACAACTCTACTGCATGTCTTAGTCATCATTATAGGTTGTCCTAGTTATAATCAGGTTGTCATGCATTAATTCCAAAGCACATTCGATTCACCAATCAAATACACAGTGCCAATACGAACAAGCAAACAACAGTACTTGGAGCCCTCAAATCTCGAGATTTGGACAGCGGACTAGGCTCCAAGCACACACATACAGCCAAACATTCACACGCATACATAATTGAACACCCCCCCACACTTAAGCACGACATTGTCCTCAATGGAGGAAAGATAAGGAGGGTAGAACGAAGTTACCAGATCAAGGGTGAATGATGATGGACGGGTCAGGCGGTGCATTCCAGGAAGAGAGAGTAATCAGAACGCAAACACCACACAAAATCTCACAAAGGTTGAGTTATTGACTCTAAAATCAAATAAAAAAACTGACTCAACCGAGGAGAAATAGAGAAAGAAATGCAAACCGACTGGTTGGGTTGCCTCCCAACAAGCGCTTCTTTCACGTCGTGAGCCAGACGATGGCTCCTAAGTTTCGGTCTATGCTAGAACCTCCTTGAAGTTGAGGTTCTCGTCGATGAGGTGGAGTCTCAAGTCACGAGCATGTGATATGACAGGTGAGGGGAGCTCGTGCACTGGATGCGGATGAAGTCTCCATCCATGAGACCTCTTCTTTTCTTCCTCACTCGTCTCATTGCCCCAAACCAGATATGACAGCATTGACTGACCACCATCGCGTCCACCAAGAGGGACCGATGTTGATGTGGCCTTGGTCTGGCAAAGAGACACTGCAAATGGGTCCTTGCTAAGCAGTTCCTCAAAGTTTGGTGGGGATATTACTTGTAACTCATGGCCGGTGCATGCCTCTTCCGCCTCAACTTCATCCTCAGCCTGGACGCCAATTGCTTCCTCAACCCCCCTTCCTTCTTCAAAATGTGGTCTCTCCCCTGGGAAAAGATCAAGAACCACCTCTTCTTTTCTTTCTTCCTCATCCTCCACAACTTCCTTCCTCATCCTTGCTCGCTCTTCTTCTTCTAGAACAGATTGGAGAGCAAGTCGCCAAGCAATTTCTTCAATGGGATCATCTTGCATCTCCTCGCACGGGCCCAGCATGTTAGAGCATAAATGTGGAAAGATGTGATCTGCAACCAAAGGACTTTCCTGATCATGATCATCATGGGAGTTCTCTGTGATAACTTCTGTATGCTCCTCAACACTCCCGTAGCCTTTGTCCTCCTCCACCTCTTCTAGCGTAGTAGCAGAAAGGTGATCTTGAGCAAGATGTGAGCAAACTTGCTCCACCCACTCTATTTGCTTCGGTGAGTGCTGAACAGTCTCCTCCATATCATGGAGAAATGAGGGATCGGAAGAGGCAAGGGCTTTGATTTGAAGATCCATCTTGGAGCATGATCTCTCAGTGTCTCGAGCAAACTGCTCCACGAGAAGGCTTAATTGTTTGTTCGGATCTTCCAGTGAAGTGTAGCATGGCTCTGCAGGTGGCCCGTGAAGGCCGCCATGGGTAACTCCAGCTCCGATGGCCCTTCTGGTTGTGGGAGAAAGTCTTCTTGGTAATGAGGTTGTTCTTGATATGCCCAGGGGTCTGATTGTTCTCCGTAGTAAGGGGGTTGGTACTGGAAACCGAATCCATAGTCTTCTCCTCCTTGATTGCTCCAGGGAGTCTCGGGGTAATACCACTCGGATGGTGGTGGATACCCCCAATGGTTGGAGAAGCCATTAGGATCCATGATTCAGATCTGCACCAACAAAACAAAAAAAAAACACCCAAGTGAAAAGCAAGGGCGGAAAACAAAAGAAAAACGCTAAAGTAACAAACTTCTGTCTTTCCTAATAATCTAGAAATTCCCCGGCAACGGCGCCAAAAACTTAACACGCTAAAACACAACACCTAACAATGGCCAAGTGTAACCAATGAAAGGGACTGCAGTATAGTGGCACAAGTAATAAATATCGAATCCACTAGTCTCTAGAGTTACTATTACTCAGCTTCAGTTCATTATCTAGCAAACTAGATTAAGGATGGATTTATAAACTACTCTACTGACTACTCTACTAATTACAAGTTGGGAACTCACTTAGGTATGATTCCCCCTAGCTCCTCAATTAGGTCCAAGTTGTAATTCCTTTTGGTTGTTTTACTGTTGATTAAACTGCGGAAGATCCGACAGTAGTTTGGAATCTCTTAAGCTGACCAAGCTCTCTCAGTCTAACTATCCGGCAGACGACTAGTCTTCACCGGGATAGAAAGCTGAAGCAATAAGCACAGAACTCCACTACTGGAATTGGATTCCAGTACAAAGCAGTAAACTGACTAACTCTCGTATAGCCAATCTCCTACTATCGAATGATGAGGCTCTAACAACCTAATCAGATTCTATCTATCTCAGGTTGCAGCAGAAATCAGGAAAAGTTGATCAGACTTCAATTGACTCAATAAACATGCATCATTCGATTATAATCAAACAATATAGCATCCAAAACTTCATACAAGAAAGATCCTAACTCATGGAACTAGGGCTCCTCAAAACCTAAGTGAAGGGAAGTTACTCCATAGAGAAGAGAGAGACTGCAGAAATCTGATCTAGATCTTCAATCTCCATCTCCAAGCTTGATTCCCGAGCTCTAATGGCGAAGAAATCCTCCAAAATAGCTCCAAGAATGTTCCCAAGTCGCTCTCTCTCTCTAGGGTTCGTCCCTTGGGTGTTTGGGATCCAAAACCCAGCTCTCCCTTTCCTTTGGCTCGAATCTGCCTCAAAAACCCGATTCTGGGCGAATTACGGGCTGAATTACGGTCGTAATTCTTCCATGCCCGTATTTTGCCCAAAACACGCGTTTTGGTTAAGTTTCAGTGCACCCAAAGCTCCTCTCGGCAATGAAAATACGGGCATGGGAGGCCAAATTACGGTCGTAGTTCTCCTGCCCGTAATTCTTCCTCCGCTCATGTTCAAAGCTTCGTTTCTCCCTCGTCCGGACTCCAAATCAGTCGCCGTTTGAACCCAAACGCTCGTAGTCTAGTCCTCTTTCTTTTCATAACAAACTTCCATGATAATTTGTCCATAATATGAGGTAGAAATCCATTATTCCTCTGGTCATGCTCGTGTTTCTTCTCCCGAATTGCAAAATGATCTCCGATTGACTTGAAACTTGCGCCTTTGCTTCAATTTACATGATAGGACCTGAAATGTGACAAAGGAACACAAACTAGCATAAAATAGTCCAAGAAAGCAAAAACTCAAGCCAAAATGATCAAGAATCGAGGGTGCAAACATGTGCAAATACGACGTTATCAGGGGGTGTATAGCTTATTGTTGTATAGTTTTTTTTTTTTGGGAAACACGTGATAAAAATAGTGAATTTTAGTTGGAAAGAGACATGAATGATGCAACGAATCAAAAACCATCCTTATGAACCAAAATCAAGTACCTGTTACCTCGTGAAACAATATTGTTTCTGGTAATATGATGAGGTGGGGTAAGTTTTATAGAAACCGAATTCCAGAAATCGAATAAAAAATCGCCTATCCCGCCGGTTTTCGGGAAATGAGCATCTCACAATCGTTACTAGCTTTTACTCGGCCCGTTGGCCGATTAATTTGCTTTATAAAAATTTCATCTTGTCATCATTGTGCTTTTTGGTTTTTTGCCAAGCCATGATAAAATCTAAAGAAATCAAGAATGAACCACCGTTCCTGTATCCCTAGAAAATGGTGGTAAACACGGACTCACCTGCCAAACTGGTTTGGATTGAGATTTTTATCGAGTATCAGGTAATCATGTGATTATAAATTAGACTTGATCAAAACGGGCCAAAACTTGAAATTTAGCCTATTTGACCGACCCATGCCAAACTCTAATTATTCTTTACTTTTAAACTTTCTATTTGAAAATAAAAAAATAATGAAAGAAAAGAGATGACTGCAATTCGCCATTTGCACATCACTAATTCGGGAATGAAACTATAGAATTTCGAAAGGAAACTGAAAATGATTAGGATCATTTTAATGTTAAAAATAACCAAATAGATCTTTCTATTTAGTTTTTTACTAACAAATACCAAACGATTTCCTATAATATACACTATAATTTAATCATTATGATATCAAATAATTACATAATATATATTTGAAATGATAAAAATTGCTAATTGGGTTGGTCGAGGTTGAACCATTGAATAACTTTAAAATACATTATATTTTAGCCACTAAGATATAAAATAATAGCATAATATATATATTATGCTAGAGAAAATAGCTTGTTTTATAATGCCAAACTCATGATGTTCATTTGTTTTACTTGATGGGCAAATCTCGTGTAGGTCAGGCTCATTCAACTCTTTTATTTTATGATTAGCGGTTAGCCCATTAGAATTCATGCATTAGTTTATTGTTAAAATTTTCTTTTTAGCAATAAAAAGGAGTATTGTTTTTTTCCTTTTCATATATATTTTACTACCAAGGAGAAATAAAAGGACTTAAAGAAAAAAATTGACACTCCTGGACCTGTTTAAATCCGCATGTGTACCGTAAGTTGGCCCGTTCCAGAGAAGAATAAGAAAAAAATCGACACTCTATTCTACCCTTCCTACAAACGCTCTTGGAGCAGGGAATTTGAAATGGGGGAAGGGTTTTTTTTCTCTCTGCGATTATATGTTTTTAATTTAAAAAGATACAACAAATGTACTTAGTGTGATTGGTTATGATCTTTGCTTTTCTTTGAAGTGGTAATGGTTTGAATCCTGATAAGTGTCTTTTTAATGAATAAAAAAATGTAATTGTGAAGACCAAAATGTAGGGGTGAACAAACACACCCGCAAACCGACCCACCCATCCAACCCAACCCAACCCACCGTATTTATCGCTAAATCGAAGGTTTTGGGTTGGGTGAGGGTTTTCTTTTGTAAAACCCGCCTCTTTTGGGTTGGGTTTGGATTTTGGATTACACAACCCGTAGAACCCGATCCAACCCGTGTTCCAATTATGGGTATGAGTTCGTATCCAAAAAAATATTTATGTCGTATATAGTCATACTTATGAGAAAATTAAGATATTTCGCCATGTTTTTCTCTTAAAGTCTCACTAATCTAATGCATTCTTCGACTTAAAGTTTAGACATATATTTAATATAGCTATGATTCACGTATTTATTTTCTTGTGTACAATTTTAAAAGTTAGACGTAAGTTGAAGTAAATCAAGTTTTATTAAAATTCAAACAATATTTGTGAATTTTGATACCTTTCGCCTCGGTTTATTTGTTTGAATTTTTAATTTGTTATAAAATATTTTTATGATGTAGAATAATTACATATTTTGTGTTGGGTTGGGTTTTTACTTAAAAATATCGCCAACCCGACCCAACCCAATTAAAAACAAACCGTAGGGTTTAGATTTTTTTGGGTGGGTTTGGGTTTAATATTTCCCAAACCGTAGTGCATGGGTCGGGTGATTAAAATGCCAAACCGGGACCACCCGACCCATGTACACCCCTACCAAAATGTCCTTCCTACTTGATGCAGGGAATTTAAAATGGGGCTTTAAGTTTTCTCATTTGCCTTTTATTTATTGTGTAGATGGTAACAAATTGAGGATAAAATTGGAAATATTAGGTACCGGGGTGTAGGGATGGCAAATTACCCACCCATGGGTAATTATTTCCAAACCCAAGTAGACCCATTGATAATTAATGGGTTGAGTATGGGTGAAGTGCATATGGATTTGGGGGTTTATAGATGGGTTTGGGTAAGGTATGAATATTGCTTCCATAATCTAAATGAGTATGGGTTGGATATGGATATCCATTTACTTGAGGGTGTTTTAACTACACATGCAAAAATTGGACCTATTTGTAAAACTTGAAAAGTTTAGGTACCAAAATGTAAGACAAAAAAAGTTTAGGTACCAAAACGTAATTTTCCATCAATATTTTGAGAACTTATATGCAAAAAAATTAAATTTAGGTACTAAATATGCATATCTATTAAGTTTGGGTACCAAACTGTAATTTGTATTTGGGCATAGGTACAAACCCAAATCCATTTGATATAAACCCAACTCAACCCAAAGTAAATGGGTATGGGTACAAACCCATCAAACTCTACCCATATCCATCTATTTGGATTTCATACCCAACCCAATTGGGTTGGATAGTAAGAAACCCATGGGTATGGGCAAAGTTGCTATCCCTAACCAGGTGTGACAATTTCCACTGAACTTCAAAACAAACAAAATAATAAAAATATATATCCAGGAAAATATACTTAGTCTAATACGATTCGGCTAAATTACACGTTTGGTTACTCAAATTATACAAATCTTTCACGTTTGCCACCCGAATTATTTTTCTTTCTTATTCGCCACTAACTTTACGAATGATTTCACGGTTGGTCACCGGCCGTTACACTCCGTTAAGTTTGTCCTACGTGGCAGTCAACTATAAAGTTTGACTGTTAACTAGATGACGTGGAAATTAAAAAAAAATAAAAAAAAAAAAATTTTATTTCCACCTCATAATTGCACTTATTTTATCTATATAATTTATCATTTTAATAATTTAATAAAATTTAATAAATTACAAAAATGGACAAATCCAAATGCTCATCATTCTCACCCTCACCATCCACTCCATCGTTCAATCTCCGGCTCCCCCACCGCCTGCGGCATCGTCTCTTACCAGGCCACTCAGAGCATCGTTTGTTTCAGACCACCAGGAGCCGGCGGCGGCGAGGGAGGAGGAGGGTATCTGCAACCACCACCACCACCACCAATCGTAACGCTTCAACCAAACATCTCCTTCTCTTCGATCTCCGACGGGCAGGATTTTTTCTGCGAGGTCCGTTCCGGCGGCTAAGCTCTGCTCTGCCAGGATACATTCTCACCGGATAACAATTCTGCCATTCCCAACCAAGTCAAGCGAATCTATTTCAACACCTCGGTTCTGTTACAGAGCGTGTCTGTTGGTGGTGATCGGGTTTGCTCGACCACGGCGGCGGCCGATGGGGATTCGGATTTGGATTCGAATTCAGGAACGGTGAGAGCCAATTACAGCTGCGCTCTTCGTCGGAGCAATGGGTCGGTGGTTTGTTGGGGTGGAGACGGAGGGCTGGGGGTCAACGGGATCGAAGGAATCTTCTTCGAATCCATCGTCTCTGGCTCGAATTTTCTTTGCGGCATTTTGTCGAACAACTTGTCGACAATTTGTTGGGGACCGGATGGCCCAGTGCAGGGTCGAATTCGAATTCACAACTCTTCCAGGTACTTCCTTTGCCTGCGATTCTGCCAGGTCCTTGCGTCGAATCATCTTCCTGCGGTGAATGCGGCGTGTATGGAGATTCTCAGAACTGGTGCGGCGGTTCAGGGGTAATCTGCAGGCCGTGTGGGTTGAACCCGATGGAGTGGATGGTGAGGGTGAGGATGATGAACATTTGGATTTGCCCATTTTTGTAATTTATTAAATTTTATTAAATTATTAATATGATAAATTATATAGACAAAATAAGTGCAATTATGAGGTGGAAAGAAAATTTAATTATTTTATTATTTTTTAATTTCCACGTCATCTAGTTAACGGTCAAACTTTATAGTTGACTGCCACGTAGGACAAACTTAACGGAGTGTAACAGCCGGTGACCAACCGTGAAATCATTCGTAAAGTTAGTGGCGAATAAGAAAGAAAAGTAATTCGAGTGGCAAACGTGAAAGATTTGTATAATTTGAGTGACCAAACGTGTAATTTAGCCAATACGATTCTCTGAGCGCCATACGTATTTTTGTTGCTAATCATGAGTGAGGAGTATATCAGAAGCCTTTTTAGGTTGATGATATGTTTGACATGTTTATGATATGTACACAAAACAAGGACAATACATACTAATAAGCATAATGTTGCCACATGGACAATAATAATAAACAAGAAAATTCCGTTTTAACTTTTAACGTAACATAATCAATTACCAATTCTTTGTCCTCTTTTTCAAAAGTAACATATAACAACATATATTAGAATCGGGAGAACAAAGAACTACACGTTCCATGAAAATGTCAAAGAAAACTAGAACACAAGAAATTATATAAAAAATCTAACTCATGTTTGCACATTAATTGAACGTTTATATTATTCATTTATTGTTAATTATAATGTATAATAGTTAAATTTGAGGCCAACCTTGGAATATTTAAAGTGCATGAGGGTATATGGGTAAAATGTCATCAATGATTTATGCCATATTCCAAATCTCACATCAACATGTGAGATTTATAAGTCCGTGGGGTCCACGGATTTGGACCCTTAAAATTCGTGGTCCCACGGATTTGATCTTCAAAAAAGGTGCAAGCAAACAACGGATTGTACCTAAATCCTTGATAGTTGGTTTTTTGGTACCAAATCCATGTACCAAATCCTTGAAGCAAAGGACACTTAGTTTTTAGTGGCTCTCACGGTCTCACCCCTTCTCTCTCAGTTTTGATCCAATTGGAAGAACCTGAAATGGAGAGAAAAAATCATGGAGGAAGACAGAAATGAAAGAGCTGTGCTTTTGGTAATGGCCATAATAAGGCTCTTCGTTTCTCTCAAAGAATCTGTCTTCAGCTAGCACTCTTTGCTCCCTACTAGTTTCAAGTTTTTGGCCGGAAACCCAGGTGGGTTTCTGACTACACCCCCTACACTCCATCCCACTCCTTCCCTTGATTTTGCTTTCTGGGTTCCGTTCATTTCTAGCATGTATTCCTTCTTCGATATATGTAATGTTTGTCTCTTTGGGTTTAGATTGGACTGTAGCTTTGCTTTTGCATCGTTTTTGTCGGTTTACTTCAGTGTTCTTTCAGCTGGCTGTTCGATTCTCCCTGTGAATCTGTTAGTTGAAAACATTGATCCGTTGCTGATTTGATGGATACTTCTGGGCTCTGGCAGATTGTCATCAGGCGTTCTTGTTAGAGTTCCTCCCTCCGTTGTAGAGCTTTGATGCCCACTTGGTTTGTGTGTGAGTTTGCTCTAGTCGCCCAATCTTTGTGGTGGTTGGTCTTTGATTCTGCTTCTTCGTCTTCTTTTCATTTGCTCGAACTTCTATGCCTGTATACATGGTGTTTGACTTTGCTATATATGATCAATGTTTACTATTACCTTCCTAGCTCTAGTATATAGTACCTTGATTCTCAGAAGCAGGGATTCATACTTCAGCAATTGCAGATTATAATGTTGTGGTCATGTGGATTGAAAGATATTAGAGTGTTTGGGGAATATAGATTTTCTTTGTCTGGGGAGAGTGTGTATTCAGGAGGAGGGATTAGAGAATCTTCGCTTTTAGCTTACTGGTCTTGTGGAATCACTTGGGCTATCCTGAATAGTGAAGTGATTGTGTATTTGCTCAATGAAATAATCTGTCAACTCTTTTCTGAGAGGATATCCATATACTTCATTGAAGGCTAAGACAGCTTTATAATGATATTTTGCTCTTCCTCTCCTCCTTCAATGTTTCATTGCTAGATGATTCATGTTTACATTTTAGGGGCTTGATATTTCTTTTGATGATTGGAACTTCATATTTATGTATGATTCACATTTAACTACTGCAGTGGAGGTGGCTGGTATTGTGTTGGGATGGCATAGAGGAGCTCTTACCCATATTCATTAGGAGAACAGATCTCCATATAAACGGGTATGCATATACAATACTAATGGCTGATTCTGATTCAGGGTCTCACTTCCAATCGTATGTTCCGGGCCTCAAAACAAGCAGTTCATTCTTCAACCTTCCCAGTTTCTGTATAGGGTTTAGTTTGAAAGGTTTATCAGAATCTGACTCTGCTAGAAGCCCGACATCTCCTCTTGATTTCAGTTTCTTATCAAATCTTAGCAACTCGTTTAGCCTTAAGTCCCCAAAGACTTCAAAGGTTGAACACAAAACACAATGGGATGGCCGTAAAGTAGGCCTTGGCCTTGTCAGGTTGCTCTTAGACGAAACCCAACAAAATGACGAAGTTCTTAAATCCCCCAAGAGGAAGAATGTGATCTTTGGATCACAGATCAAAATTGGTGATGATTCCTTGAGATCCATTTCTTTGCCTAAAAACTACGTTATCTCACTACCATCTCAAACTGGGGAAGAGGAAGTGGTCCCATTAGAGCCTATGGAATTTGATGAGCCTTCTTCTCTAAGTAGCTTGACAAGAATACCGAGTTTTGGTTTGAGAAAAGCATGTCTGTCAGCAACTAGGTCCAGTTCTATACCAAGTTTGCCTGTGGTTATGAGCAAAAGTTTGAAGAAGCACCATTCATTGGACATCAAGCCAAGTTCTATACCAATACCGATCAGTTCGCATGAGATTGAGCTTTCTGAAGACTATACTTGTATAATTTCCCATGGTCCATGCCCTAAAACAACTCATATCTTTGGTGACTGCATTTTACCATGTCATGCTAGTAGTGAGTTGACCAATTTTGACCAGAGTAAGACTACTATTGGGTTTGAAATGCCTCCTGAAGAGGCTAAGTGCCCTGAGGAAGGTTCACCCTCTGAAGAGTTTTTGAGTTGCTGTTACTCGTGCAAGAAAAAGCTGGACAATGGAGATCACATCTATATGTTCAGGTAAATTTGTTCAGCTAACTAACTTGTTGCTTCATAGAATTGCTGTCTCAAAGGCTAACTTTTTGCTGTATAAATTTGGTATATTGCAGAGGTGATAAAGCATTTTGCAGTTTTGATTGCCGTTCGGAGGAAATTCTTGGCGAGGATGATAGCGACAGACTTGATGATAACTCCTCACGTAACTGCTCTCCTAAGTCAAGCTTCCATGGGAATCTTTTCTAGAAAGTATACATAAACATAATCTATATTTGTGTTTCAGAACAAGATTCTGTTTTTTCCAGCAATGGGTGATCAGTAAGCATCTCAATCTTACCGTCGCGAGTTTTTTAGCAGACAATGCGAGTTTTGCGGCAGCATGCTGATGTTTTTGAGAACTTTCAGCAGATGGGTTGGAGAAGTGGCTTTGAAAAGCCCTCTCTCGTCACTCTGCATTGTTTTTGGCTCTATAATTTGATGTGCCATGTAGTTGCTGTTTTGTGGGAAGTCTTGAAGTGCATCCTCAATGAATCCAAGTGGGATTTTGTTTGGGGAACACTTGTTTTTGCAGTATCTTTGAGAACATTGAATAATGAGAATCATGTAATGAGATATGAATATACCAATGATTTTAGGTCTGTGTTGGACGTGGAAACGAGGGTTGGAGAAAGGCATTTTGATCCAAGGGGACGAATTCTGATGTAGCTGACTACCAACTCTGTTTTACTACTACTTTTTATTCTCTCCTGCCCACTTTGCTTTATTAGTTTATCTACGGCTACCCAATTTTGTGTGAGAGGAGGAGCAGCTTAAACAATTTTCTCAACGACTCCCCAATGAGTGATGGACTAATGGGCTAACAATAATTTCTTTCTCTATTCTAAGTATTTAATTTTCTTTGAGCCTTTTCATTCTCCATTGAAAGCATTAAAGGGTCTGTTATGGTAGTAATGTTAGGACAATATATTTATTAATCAGCTATTGTAAAATTGTAGTGAAGGTTATTCCGGGAAAAAATTGTTGGTGGGATATTTTGTACTAAGAATCAAGATTCAACCATTTCATAACATTAAAATCAACCTACAGTTTAGTAGCGATACCTGATAAACTTGTTCAATAACTCCCAACTTTCAAACCGCCTGCCTGCAATTATGTTTACTGGCGATCCAGGTTTGGTTGGACAAAGATGCTGCTTGCTGCTGGGGACAGCCATTATATTCTGTGTTGAGGAGACCAAAAGTATGTGAGTGGAAAAATTCGTTCAAAAACGAAAAGAAATCGCCAAGGAAGAAAGTGATGATGATTCATCAAAGTGGTCTCCACTTCTATATAATAAATAGTACCGTATTATTATCATTATTATTGCGAATCAGTGGCCAAGTATAGTAAATAACATGGTCCATGAAACCGTACCGGAGATTGTACTGGGAGAGTCAACGTTAGGATATTTTATGGTAAAATCGTGGTTTAATCGTAGTTCAACCGTTAGGCCGTTAAATACCGACTACCTATTTAGCCTTCAAGACTGATATTTTGTAGTTGAACCGCCGGTACGGTACGGTTTCATGGACAATGGTACTAAATAACACATGGAGATCAAATCATGAACCACACTTTAACTTGTAATCTTACGATCGCTCTTTTGACTTTTGCCCTCTCAACAAAATTTCTTCCTTTGAAGAATACTACGCAGAGAGGAAAGAATAAGAAGATGGGTGACGATTAGGAAATCCAGGTCTTGAAAGCATAAAGCTAATGGAGAAGCCATCGTTTAAGTAAAAAGAGTTCACAAATTTGCCCTATAAAATTTACAGGTTAACACGGAAAAGTTATTAACAAATGTTTATAATCACTAGTTTTTTGGCCCGCGCTCTGCCGCGGTAAGAAACTAATGATTTATTTGAAATCAAATCATTCACAAAATTATTCGATTAAGATACCTACCTGAATTTCACGTATTGTATTAATCATTGCGAATAACATATGCCATTTGTTTGTGTACATGATACATAATATATAACTATCCTTACATACGGTTTACGTAGTGTTTCATTATTATGGAAGACTTGCATAATATTTTGTTAATTGATACATACAAAATGATAATATGTTCAAAAACTTTACATAATGTGTTAATTGGTAAGAAAGACTCATGTAATATCTTTGCTTACATAATAGCTATCACTTTATAAATTTCACTTCATCTAGTGTCTATAAATTTTAAAAATGAATTTTTATTTTATTTAATCGTTATAGAATGTTGTTGATATAGAATTTTTATATAAAAATCTTTTATAATATGTGGTCTAATAATAAAATCAAGTTATAGAAAGTAACGTTTTATTGAATTTGTAATCTATATAACTGTTGTAGATGTTGTTACATAAATCTTTCAACATGTCACTATAGCAGAAAATTATAAAACTATCCAAATCATTAATATACGACTTTGACACAAGTACTTATAAGTAATAACTGACTACCATAGTCTTGTTAAAAGAAAGAAAAAAGTAAAGCGAGAATTGCAAGGAAAGAAATTAAAGTTTGGTTTGGGTGACCACTTGATTACATTTCAACTCATTTTCTAAATTACCCTTCTTTTCAGTGACATGTTAAAATGTGATCTCTCTAGTGTTTATATATGAAAAACTTCTCTTTGTGTGGCAGGTATGGTATAGGTATGACTTATAAATATGGGTCCGGGAGGCTATAACCATACTTGCCCTCATAAACCAGCCCCATACTCAGTCAATGCGGGAATTCCCTGCGTTGGCTGGATTGGGAGCGGTCGGTACCCACGATTGTGGTTTTGATTTGCATCCCCAGTGTAATTGATAAATAATAAATAATTATTTTTTGTAACCTTTATGTAGTATCATAAAAATTTCAAAAGAATTCTTTTGGTGAATAGAATGCTAAAGAGCATCCTTGCCACTGCGGAAGACTAACATAAAATATTTTTTAACTAATATATAAGAAATAACTATATCTCTATAGGTTTTACGTAATTTATTTATAAAATTTCAACTAAATATTTATTTATTTGTAATTTATGTAATTTTTATATAATAATGTTATTTAATGTGTGGTTTAATAATAAAATCAAATTGAAAAAAGTATCTCATTTGTAAATTAACTTACCTTCCATTTGATTAAATTATCATGTAGAAATAGTTTACCTTTCAAAAAATTTATGCAATGCAAATTGATGTAATGATCAATAATAGTAAAAGAATTTTTCGTTCAAACTTATATTAATTCACAAATTTTTTATAGAATGGTGTTACGTAAATGTTATGTAATGTGTGGTTTAATAATAAAACCAAGTTATGATCGCATCTTATTGTTATATAAAAGCTAACAAATTTTATGTAGTGTTTTAATTATTAGGAATATTCGAAAAATGGACTTTGGCTCTGTGCTGGTATGGACTGATGCTTATGATATTAGTAGATATAATAAAAAAATGCAGCAAGAAGAATAAAAAAATGAGGAATGTTGGCGTTCTAGGAGGTTTGGAAGTTTGGGTGGGTGTTGCCGCATGGAATAATGTCCTTAGTGAACAATAATAATGGGGAGATTTTTTCGTAATGAACAGTGCACTAAACATGCACTTTTAATTAATTGATTACTAATAATTATTGTTTTAGAAAATCTACCGGTCAGACCAACAATATTGGATATCAGACCCGATCTCAAACTATAAACGATTTTAGGGGTACGAAATGGTTGAACCACAGTTCAACCACAATTTTACTACAAACTCCCAATATGGTTTCGCAATCATTACTTTTACTCTCATTATCATTACTAATCGATCTCTTAAATAGCCGCTAACCAAACCCCAAAATATTTATTAAGCGACCTCAAATACGTGATAACCATGCATCACTCATTACTGATAATAAGTCATCCCATCCTTCACCATTGATGGCACTTTCTCCAGCAACTTCAAAGACTACATTTTTCCAACAAGAGTGTTTGCGATTGCTTTCGTCTTTCGAGATGAACGACAAATAAATTACCGTTATTTATTGAAAAGATATGATATTTAACATTCTAAAATAAAGCTTATGGTGACTAGAGGTGTCAGAACATGCCCTACTTAAGTAAACCGTCAGTTCAATACAATACGTAACCCACCTGCAATCTGAATTGACTAAAAGTGAATGTTACACATCATGTAAGGGGGATCTATCACACAAGAGCTCAATCATTCGTTCTAACTCCCTAAACTCGATGCATATGCAACTGTGAAAAGCAAGTAATCGATTCAAAACATCTATTGGCTCACAAACATAATACAAGTCTCAATCGTCATCTTAGGTTGCATATAATCACAAGCAAACCATCCATAGGTCTTGCTAATACCCACGAGATTCAAAACAAAACAACACAAGTGCTGCTATGATCATGCAAATGTAGAAGTTACTATGCTTGGAGCCCTCAAATTATAAAAATTTGGGCATACAACTAGGCTCCAAGCATTCAAAATCACACCAAACATTCACACACATGCATAATGGACTACCCCCCCCCCCCCCCCCCCCCCACCACACTTAATCTCGACATTGCCCTCGATGGCGTATATAAGGAAGTAGAACGATTTACCGGATAGTGGCGAATGTTAGTGTTCGGGAGCGGAGGCCAGGTGAGATCCGGGAGAGCAAGGAGACGACAAAACACCACCAAAAGCTCTCCATTGGTCGTATTATTGAAAGGAAAAAAGATGCAATCGGTTGATGGTTGGGTTGCCTCCCACCAAGTGCTTCTTTAACGTCGTGAGCCGGACGGTTGCTCCTCAAGTTTCGGTCCACCCAAGAACCTCCTTGAAGTTGAGGTTCTCGTTGGTGAGATGAAGTCTCAAGTCACGAGCTTTGGACGAATCCATGATTGAGGGATCGTGAACTTGAGTTGTCATGAGGCTCCACCCATGAGACCTCTTCTTCTTCTTTCTCTTTGCCCCACACCATGTAGTTCATCATTGATTGACTTCCATCGCATCCACCAAGAGGGATCTCCGATGGTTTGGCCTTGGCTTGGCAAAGAGCCGCAAATTGGTCATTCTCCAAAAGCGCGTCAAGGTAGGGTAGAAAACATTGGTAGCATGTGTAACTCGTGGATGCTTCATCCACCCCGACCTCGTCCTCATCTTGGACACCACTTGTTCCTTCTTCTTCACTTTCCTCCCTTTGGGAACAATCAAGATCTTCCCCTTTTTCAATGTTTTCTTCCTCCTCTTAAACATCTTCCTTCTCCTTCCCATTCATGCTCTCAAGCACGGTTTGGAGGGCAAGATGCCATGCAAGATCATAAAAAGGATTCTCTTGCTCCTCCATACTCGTGACTTGATCTTCAAAGTTGCTCTCGGGAAGGGTGTGAAAGTCATCAACGCAACCCTCATGTGCATCCTCACCATGGGAGCTCTCCCGGGTGAGTTCGTCTTGCTCCACACAGTTGTCATTGATCGCTCCTTCAACCTCCTCTTTCTCCTCCAATGATGAGAGGCAATAGCTTGCACAAGCTCGTGCCACCTTCTCTTCAAGTGTCAAATCGGGTGTAGGAAGGGGATGGAAATCCATGTAGGAGCTCATCTTCCAAAGTCACCATGGCTTGCCTCTTCGACCTCCCTTCCTTCTTATAATGGTAGGAGGCAATTGTGAGCAAGTTGTGCACATGCTTACTCAACAAGCATTCCTAGCCTCTCCATGTTTCGAAGGAGCTCCTCTGATTCCCGAAGAAAGGTTGAGCCGAAAAGGTTGGTAATTGGGAGGTCCTTGCTAGAGCACTCTTCATCGGTGCCCCGGGCAAATCGCTCCACCATGAGCTCTAATTTGCTCTTTGGCTCTGGTTGTGGAGTGGAACATGGTCTTGAGGTTTTTCCCATGAATGCCTCCATGCCAACTCCAACTTGGATTTCACCTCGAGTTGTGGAGGGAAACCTTCTTGATATGGGGAAGCTTCTTGGTATCCCCATGAGCATGGTTGCTCTTCTTGGAAGGGAGGTTGGTAGTAGAATCCGAATCCTTAACTTCCCCCTTCTTGATCGTCCCATGAAGTTCCTGGATAACCACTCTCGGGTGTTGGTGGATACCCCCACACTTGGGCAAAATCATAAGGATCTATGATCCAATACCTACAAACACAAAAACAGTAAAAAGCAAAATCAAACGCACACAAACCACCCTTCAAGACGAAGAGTGGCAAACAAAACACACACGAAACACAAACAAAAAGGCAAGATAGAAAATTCTAGAGTAACACTAAGCGACCTTTTCCAAATAATGGACCGCGGTTCCCCAACAACGGCGCCAAAAACTTGACTCGCTCTGAACTACACCGCGAATTAATCCCGACTAGAGCCCAAGTTTTTAAACTTTAGCCGGGTGCAGTATAGGGCAAATATTTAATTGTCAAACCCGAGCCGGTCCATGTACCCCTACTTCTATCGCTTAGGTTGTTATATAGCAAAACGGTTTTGGGTTTAAAACTAAGAAAACTACAAGTAAAAACAAGCAAGTAAAGTAAATTGAGGTCGTCCCAACGAGAGAAGAGTTCACTTGGGTGTTGCTCCCCCTAGCTAACAATTACGACTTGAAGAATCGAACGACCGTGTGTGGTTAGGAGGTATAAACCGCAGGGAAGTCTAACAAGTAGCCAAGACTATCATCTTAGTCTCTAGGTTGAGGAAATGGGATATGATCCAAGCTGCTAATGCGACCCTCTCAACCTATCGACTAAGGAATGGTTAGACTTCACCCTCGAATTGGAGTTCGGATGGCCACCCACAACCAAACCCTAAGTGCTAATACGAAATAGGAGGTTTGCCCTTAATTAACCTAGAATAGGAGGCATGAAATACCCAAGGAAACCGATCTCTAATAGAGTTATAGAGCCTCTTAGGTTAAGGAGGGTTCGCTCTAAACTAGTCTAGGAGGCATTGAATGCCCAAGGAAACCCAGCTCAAATTGAGCCTCTTCGGATAAAGGAGGTTTCCTCTCTAAACTAGCATAGGAGGCATGCAATGCCCAAGAACACCCATCTCTAATTGAGCCTCTTAACCTAAGGAGGTCTCCTCTCTAAGCTAGGTCAACATAGCACACACAATCACCATGAAAAATATCTCCACATTCACATTAAACACAACCACACACAAATCATTCAATTCATACAAGCATTCACATAATTGTAGCTAGGGTTCACAACAACCAAGTGAATAGGTAGGCTATTCCATAGCTAATAAAAGGAAAACAAGGAAAATGAGAGAAAGAACCATGAAGAGATGAAATTTTTCCTCCTTGTTGCTTGAATCTCCCTTGAGAATAAGAAACCTTCACTCCTCTAGCTTGAAATGAGCTCAAATCTCCTTCCTCCTCCTTTGAATTGCATTTTCTCTCTAGATTAGGAAGAGGAAACCCTAATATCTCACTAGAAACCCTCCTTTATTCCGAAACTAAAACCCCTATAAAAACTCCCCTTTCTCCTTCAGCTCCCTTTTCCTTTTATACCCAGATCGGGCTCTGTTCAAGGTCTTAGGCTTCAGTTCACGACCGCGTTGATAAGTTCAAGGTCTTAGACCTCAGTTCACGGTCGCGTTAATCAGTTCAAGGTCTTAGACCTCAGTTCATGACCATGAACATCAAAACGGGTCATTGAACACAGTGAGTTGAACTAAAACGCATCACTTCACTTCTGGGGTTCACGGTTTGTGGTTCCAGTTCACGGTCTTAGTGACCGCGAACTGCCTTGGCGTCAGTTACCTCAAAAACCCCTCTAGAAGCTTCGTGATTCACGGTCCTAGCGACCGTAAACTCCAATGATGGACCGTGAACATCGGCTGAATCCTCCTCTTTGCCCGGTCATGGCTCCCTTTCTTCCAACTTTCGACTCCGGGGTTGGTTTCACAGGTAAGACTCTGAAACACATTGAAACACAAGAAACCTAACGTAAAACCACCCCTTTTTGGAGCTCAATTGCCACAAACGTCAAAAAGAAACGGAGATAAAATGTGTACAATTAGGCCCAAATCACTGGATATAGAAGAGAGGCGGATGAGTCAGAAGCTTTAGGAGAGAAAATGATGGAGAAAGATTCTAAGAGGGGAAGATTCTTGTGGTCCTTGTCACCCCTTCAGCCTTCTCTCAATATTCTTTTTTTTTTAATTTTTTAAAAATAAGAATGACGTGTTTCGATTAAAAAAGTAAATGATGTGTACGAGCCTAATTAGCACAGACGCGGCACAGTATGCTGCGTCATTGAAGGAGAAAATAGTTGATGTCAATTTTGACGGTCAATTCAAATTATAGGTCAAATTTGTCCATTATTTTGAAAAGTTAGCCAAAACAGTATTACTTAAAAATTTGGACCAAAACTGTCACTTACACCAAACGTCGGATCAAATTAGAATATTAATATTTTTTTTAGTATTCATATATATTTACATTTTAGAGATAAATTACTACGGGAATGGATCAGTTGAGTAACCTTATGGTGAGTAACCATGAGTAACTTGTCCACATCAGCATGACATCAACATTCTCTTTCTCATGGAAAGCCTTTAATTTTCCCCTCTTTATACTTTGACAAATGATTTCTCACTCGTTTTAAGTCGAAATTTAATTTTTTTTCACAGTTAGATCAGATTAATTGTGTTTTTCAAAATGATATCCACTTTGATATATTTTTCGGAAAAAAATCGGGCCATTTTTTACCAGTCTATACCATATGGTATTGAGTGGTATTGAAATAAGAGCATACCTATGGTTTGAAAAGCGTACCATGGTGGTATGAACAAACCAAGATTGTAGGATGGTTGAATACATGATAGTAGAAGTATATTAATTGTCATTTACGACTTTTAACATTGTATACGACAAGATACCACCCCGTACCAGGGTGGTATTGTGTGGTATTTTTTGGACCTGTAATTTGTTCACCCAGAAATTTGTAGATCCAATAGATCATGATGAACTCGTCCCTTCTATGCTAACGTTTTCAAAAACGAATTAAAAACGAAGAATATACCATATGGTATGCAGTTGGTATTGAGAGGCCATAATTTTTTTTCTCTAAAAATATAAAAAATTGATCTCATTTTGTAGAGCACGATGAACTCGTTCCATCTGTGCAAAAAAAATTAAAATCCGAGTTAAAACAAAAAAGATATGAGTCAATTAAGAAAGTTAGGGAAAATAAAAATAATCTTTAATTCTCCATCATTAGATCTGAATTTTCTAAATGAAGGGTACCAAGGTTGTCAAACCGGTTTATACCGGTGTGCCGGTTTTGAAAGTGGAATGGTCCGACCGTGGTACAACCAGTATTCACGCCGGTTGTGCCGGTTTTAGTAAATTATATGAGACAAATGGAAATCCTCAATTCCAAATAAATTAGTCATCATAAAGCAATTAGAAAAATTATTTCACACAAAATAATTTATAGCTAAGAATTGGTAACTAATACTAAACAATTAGATGCTTAAAAATAAAAGTATATAAAATGAATTTTATTAATGTTTATAATGATTTGTGTAAAATTAAGTATTAGATATATAATATATAAGGTTAATGTACATCAAAGTTGCTTGTAGCCTACTGGTGTATAATTGAGACTAAAATAAACATGAGGTACTTGGTTCAAATCCTAAGGAAGGTGTTTATTTTTTGATAAAATATGTGTACATTGAATTCCGGTTTCTGGTCTAACCGGCCGGAATTTCCGGAATTGACCGGATCTGACCACAGTTAAATACGGGCCTCTTTCCAGCCGGTTTGGTGACCGGTACCAGTTGTACCCGATTGAACCGGCCGGCATGAAACCAATTTGACAACCATGAAGGGTACAGATTTGGTTATTGATGAGTGTCAATTACTACAAGATAATTACTACAAGGTATGCACCTTATCTTGAGCCAATTACTACAAGGTATCAGCTGTCAAACTTTGCACTCATTCTCTCTAATATAGGTATTTTATATTGTATACAAATCGGGCTAAATCGAGTTAAACCGATCCGACCGTTAATTCTTCACACCCACTTGATTGACCGGGCCGCTATACCGGGTTGACAGAGCCGGAAGGAGCCGCCGGCCGCCCTCTCTATTTGTAACTTCTGCTTGCTTACGTGAAGGAATAAGCGCATCACCTCTTTTCTTCTCCTCCGTATTCTTCTCCAGCTGTGGAGAATTGTGAAAATGTGGTGGTTTCCCGTTTGCATCTTACTTTCTCCTCGATCCGATCCACAATTCGCGCGCTGATTCTAATTCGTCGTCGCTGCGCAACTCGTTCTGCGCCGCCTTCTGTGAGCAACTGAACTCTCTCTCCCGCCCACTGATTTCCTTGTTCGTTCATTTCCTTGTCTTTGGAATTTCTCTCGATCTGCTTCGTTAATTTCCCCGCTTCCGGGGGATTAGTCTCAGTCATGTTTTATGGTTCAATTGTATGGGATCCATGGCTAATTGTCGCCCAGATCGTGTGCCTTCAATGCCTCTACTATCTCACCGTCGGACTCTTCCTCTCCATTCTCGTTGGGACCCGCGTTTCTCGACTCAGTCTCGTCTATTTCTTTGATTTCGTCACCGTCACCGCGTCTTCCGTCACTGGATGGTGCGTTATCGCCTCCTTCTTGCTCAGCTCCCTCGCCGGGTAAGCATTTTTCACACGGCAGCCTACTGATAGTATAATGCTTTTTATTGGGTGCTATTGAACCACATAGTTGTCTTCGTAGAGGATGGATGCTCTACTTGTGTATCTGTTCTGGAATTTTGTCCCGAGTGTATTTGCTAATTAGGAGTTTTAATGGTCTGATCATTCTACTGCCCAACAAGGCGTGCAAATCATTTGGGCTAGCTGTTACTATGTAATTGGTTTAGTATTCCCGGATCCTTTGAACTTTGGATGGCTTGGTGATTGGTTTTGACTTCAGTGGGTAGTGTGTGAATGTGGTCTTTACGCTGGTTGTCAAGTTCATGACTTTTTACTTATTTCTTATTTGTCGAGACTGGAGAGTAGATATCAGCAGGGAGAAAGGAAGTCATGGAAGATTATGAAGCATTGATGCCTTATCCTTTGTGGTAGTGAACATCTTTTTTGATAAGATGGTAGTGAACATTTTCACTTTAATGTAATGGCGAAATCTGGATTCTTGGCACAGTATCCTTCATTTGGTAATCGATGGGGATGTGTGGTTCCTACTCTTGGCTTGTTTTCTTTACTAGGTATTTAGGTCATACGAATCCTAGGATTCGTTTGAATACTTGGTTATGGTATGCATTCATGTGGGTAAGAGTTATGAATTACATTTCATCGACTTTGATTTATCATTTTCAACTGTTTTCACATGCCTCTGTCCGTCTAAAGTGGCATCCAGGCCTTAGGCTGATCTTGGCTGGACTTTGTATGACTTTGATGGGAAGCTGCAATGAGCACCAAATTGCTTATGTTTGAAAATTGCCGAGTTGGCATACTTTAAGATTAAATACACAATACTAACGGTGACAATTTTTATTGGGTTGTTGCATAGAACAGGTCGTCTGCATTTTTATGTTGCATAGAGGATTTATAGATGGATTGAACCTAATATTTCTGCCTTTTACATACTAGACTAATGGAATGTGACGTTCCCTTTTCTTATTCACTTGCCGTTTGGGTCTGCTACACTGTATTCTTGGATTCACAGTAACTTTGTGACAGTGTTCTTCTTTGAAATTGTCACATGTTGTTGTTACATGCCATGGTTTGTAGCTTATGTATCATGAATTGCTTATATGATATACGAGTAAGAGACAGAAGGAAATAAAAGCTCTACACATTTCATTTGTGGTTTTGCTTATATTTGTTTTTCTATGCAGAGCTGGATTTATGCTTTATTTGATTGAGAGGGCAAAGAAGTGCTTAGACTTTTCCGCAACCATCTACATCATCCATCTCTTTATATGCTTGACATATGGGGGATGGCCTTCTTCTCTTACGTGGTGGGTTGTGAACCTTACTGGACTTGCAGTGATGGCATTGCTAGGTGAATACCTTTGCATTAGGCGTGAACTACGAGAGATACCTATTACCCGATATCATCGACCAAGTAAGTGCTTGCTTCTTTCAACATAAGCTTGATCAATCGAATACTAGAAAATTTATTGTTGTCCAATTCTTGAGTCCCCAAGTTAATAGGAGGTTAGTATTTCTTGATCTGGGTTGTGTGGACTCTGCCTTTTGGGAAAATCAGAAAATTTGTTCCTCTAATTTCTATAATTCTTAGCCCTTGACTGCTAGGAATTAACTGTTTTGATGGATGAGCGACTCATGTCCACTTGTATGTACTTTGCCCATGTTTCATCTGGATTCATGATATATGAATGTGTCTTACATTTAGCTCGAGAAACATGCTAGTGTTGCTGTTTGGCCTCTTACCGCTTCTTTCTTTTCTGAGTTTTGATGCTACGTGCTTATCTCTTTTTATTCATATATCTTGCTCAAAATTTTCCAGAATTGTGATGAACTAAACTGAATGAAGTAGATGAAAAATTGGTGAAAATGAAGTCTTTGCTCCCTTTCTATTTGTTGTTTAGTTCTGTTTGACTTCATTTCTTCTTGTCTCTTGTTTATTTGTTTGTTTTTATTGAATGCCTCGAAGCTGATGTATATTGCCATGTTCAGATGTTCCTATGCTCTTAGGTCAAGATGCATGTTGCATTTCAAATGTCCCTGACCTTTTGCAACAATGAACTCCAATCTACTACAAGAAAGAGCATTGATCGAACGTTGTTGCTTGGATTATTCATATTGCGTTTATCTGTTTGCCTGAGCTGATATATTTAATATTTGTGGTAATAATCTCAAATTCTCTCCTGCAGATGTTTGACGTATGTAGACAGCCTTCCCGACTATAGATCCCATTCCTTCTTCAGAACTCAACATTGGGGATAGACAGACATTCACGAGCTTGTGAGGAGCTCCTGCTTCCTGCTATTGAGAGGTCCGAAGTGGCAATAGGAAGAAGTAACTTTTAGCCAATATAGGATCCTTCTTTATCTTATTGTGCCCGAAAGAAGTAACAGAGGAATGGCCACTCCACATTTGGGGTTGGTTCTTAACGAGTGGGAAAGGGAGCTCTGAGAATAGGTATGCATTTTGTTTCGGTGAATATGAATGTAAAGCTTTAGTTGATCTCTACATAATATCATTCGGTCATTTGTGTGTGGTATACTGGTATTGCTATTTGTTGCTATATCTGTTTGGCAATAGGCTGTTTTGGCCCTTTACCCGCTGGGAATGGAAATAAGAAAACGGATGGCCTCTGTTTCAGCCACCTGGGTAATGGATCAAAGAACAATGGTCTCTACTTAGATTCTCATCTGAATAATCTAACTTGTTAAAGAGACTAGTAGGATGACAACACAAATGGGTGTTGTTAGTGTGACAATACTACTGTCCAACCAATGAGAAGTTAGGATTATGATTGACAATATTACGTTTAAACAACCAAAAAAAAAAATTAATAGTGAAAAAATATTTATTTTGTCATAATGTTTCGGATGTTAGAATCCGGTCGCCTGTCAAAGGAATCCAGTCGTCAGGATATACGTAACGTTGTCGGAAGCCGTTCACCGTGATTGGAATATGCTAATCGTCGTCGCAATTCGATCAACGTGGTTGAAATATGCTTACCACATCAGAATCTAGTCATGGTCGGAATATGCTTATCAGTGTCAGAATTCGGTCACCGACAGCCGTCGGAGTTTGGTCAATTGTCTTCGACGACCGATCAACGATTACCATATATTGTGGTATGCATTGTGAGATTAATGGTTTGTTTTACATGTTTTTGGTATGCTTTTTGTGGTATGCTTTATCATGTTTGTAGTTTGCATTAAAAAGTCTTTGGTGTGTGATAACACCTAAATTAGTGTTATTTAACCTTCATATCAAGGTTTGTTTTGTGCCAATTCATGTGCATAATTGCTTGAACATCGTCGATTACATCCATATTTCGTTCCTATTTGAATTCGATGTGATTTTAGGGTGTAATAGACGATATGCGAATTAGGTACAAAACAAGGTCACAAGTGTCGCAAGGGGGCAAGAAGTTGAAGATCGTGGCCTGGAAGCTGAAGATCATGGCCGGGAACATAGACCGTGAACTCAAGCTGAAGATCGCGTCCCGAAAGCCCCAGATCGCGGCCGCGAATTAGAGAGCTCAAGGCGCGAACTTCGCGAGGAGGGAGCCAGGGAGAAACATTGACTTTCCCAATCGAATCACAACCACAATATTATTTGACCGCGAGGAAGATAGCGGTCGCGACTCATGGATCGCGACCGCGAAGTCAGCCCGCGATCTCCTCATTTCTGAAGGTCAGGACGACGACGTTTCAAGATCACGACCGCGATCTCTGTGTTTCTGGCCGCGAACTTCTCCATCCCCAGATTGCCTATAAATAGAAGATTACTTTCCCACTTTTAGAAGAGCTGATTTTGAGAGAAATTTTTGTTTTTATAGAGAGAGGAGATGAATGAAGGAGAATGAGCTAGAAGAGAGGGAGCATCTTCCTCAACCCAAGTCTTCTTCAATTTCTTCTATGTTTCTTCTTCCTTTCTTTATGGAGTAGTCCTCTAAGGTACTAGAGGTTCTAAACCCGAAACATTATTTTTTTATGGTTTATTATGTATGTATGTATGTATGTATGAATATTTTAGGGTTTGAATGAATGAATATGTTTATCTAGTTGATTCTAGGCAAAATACAGCTGTATATCCACAACTATCAGGTTTGTGACAAATATATCCATAATTATCGAAATACACGAAATATCCATCCATTCCGTTAACTCCGTCAGTTAACTTGATGACTAGACAGACGGTGGATTCTTAGTTGGCATGCTTCTGGCCCCACTAAATGACGTGGATTAAAAGAGAAAAAAAATTAGGCAAAATACAGTTGTATATCCACAACTATCAGGTTTGTGACAAATAAATCCACGACTATCGAAATACACAAAATATACAAAAATCGGAAGGTTGTGTAACAAATCTATCCACTTTCGTCTGAAACTATAACGGCATGTCAGACGACGTTAAATTGACTAACAAAATGCTGAATCAATGCCATCTCACATGCAATAAGCCAAAAAGCAACCAAACTTTACACCGTTATTTGTTAGACCTCGATGCTGCAGTCTTCTCTGTTGGCGATTTGGTTAGATTCAAACTTGGTATCACCATGGCACCGACTGCATGGAAGCCGTCGGAGTAAAAGGGAGGCAATGGTTGGGGATTGTGGTTGGAATCAAAATTTGGGCTTGGGATAGGGTTATTTGGGGGTGGAGGCGTCGATCGGAGGAAATCAGTGGTTATCGGGCGTGTTTCAAGGTTGAATTTTTAGTCTCGCTGTCTGTGGATTTTAGGGTTTTTAATTTTTTTTCTTCTTTTAATCCACGTCATTCAGTGGGGTCAGAAACACGTCAACTAAGTATCCACCGTTTGTCCAGTCATCAAGTTAACTGACGGAGTTAACGGAGTGGACGAAAATGGATATTTCGTGTATTTCGATAGTTGTAGATATATTTGTCACAAATCTGATAGTGGTGGATATGTTTGTCACAAACCTGATAGTTGTGGATATACAGCTGTATTTTGCCTTTATTCTACTAGCCTATTTGGCATCTACGTGTAAAGTTTGGTTGCTTTTTGGCTTATGTGTCAGGTGAGCTGGCATCGATTCAGCATTCCGTTAGTCAATTTAACGCCGTCTGACATGCCGTTATAGTTTCAGACGGAAGTGGATAGATTTGTCACACAACCTTTCGATTTTTGGATATTTCGTGTATTTCGATAGTTGTGGATATATTTGTCACAAACCTGATAATTGTGGATATACAGCTGTATTTTGCCTTGATTCTATTGTTATTCTATCCTTGATTGTGTTTGGGTAAGTCGCCCTAATCTTCTTTATTAGCCTACTTTATGGTTCTACGCTAGGTATGGAGTTCTAGGGTTAGACGGGTATGCGCCATCAAGCAAATCGAGATAGATGTATGAATATGGACCTATGGTGGTTGAGGATGAAGGCTGAGCACTCCTAGCCTAGGGTGATATTGGCGAGGTCTTCGAACTTTGGCTTCTTGGAGAGAAGCCCCTTGAGGTATTTCGAATACTGTGGCATGTGGGCCATTGCTTCAAGGAAGGGAATGTTGAGGTGGAGTTTCCTCAGCTTCTCCATGAAACCTCCACATTCCGCTTCCAATCTTTCCTTGTGCACCCTCGTAGAAAAAGGTAGGGTTCCCCCCCCCCCCCCCCGCGCTTATCTTTAAGCTCAATCCCCTTTATATACCCAGATCGATGGCGTTTCACGGTCCCAGTTCACGGCTATGAACATTTGGCCTTAGCCGTGATGTTGAGCAAAAACGTGCTGTTTCATTAAGGTGCTTCACGGTATGGAGCTGGTCTGCACGATCATGTGATCGTGAACTGCTTTATGCCCTCAAGATGGACAAACCCTTTTTGGACTCTTCGCTCTTCACAACCCACGCCTCTTCTTCACGGTCCGGATGGCCGTGAAACTCTGTCTCTTCACAGCCCATCATGTACTACTGTTGTTGCTCCCCTTTGACCAGTTTCTGCCCTTTTTTGTCCAACTTTCGTTCCATGGGTTGATTTCATCTGCTAGGATTTGAAACATACCATAAACACCCAAAACCAAGCGTAAAACCGAACCTCACATAGTAAAAGTACCTCAAACATAAAAGGAAAATGGGGTAAAAAGTGTACAAATAGACCCGAGCAAACCAATTCCATTCAAGGTAAAAGCTCAACCTAACAAGATAACTTGGGAACATATCAAATGGCTCAAAGAGGGTGAATCTCTATGGCTATTGGGTATCAACACATGAACCATTACAAGCAATACCAACATCACAAACGACATTCGAATGCATTAAGAATGTGCAAACGCAAATTTCTCACCTTGTTCACCAATCAATACAAGTCTCGACAAGACTACTCAACAACCGCAACTAACCATGCATAGAGTTCAAGTCCGAGGAACAAATGAATGGTCGAAATAGGTCCTCACCGGGATAAGATATGAACATGTAAAACATGAATGAATCACTCTCTCTTGACCAGTGGGGTCAGGACCATTTGGTGCAAAAGAAGTGCACAATCACCAACACTCAACCCTATCCTCTCTTCACCATGCTGGCAACCTCTAAATGTTAGAGTTCACAAGATGGTTGTCATCACAAGCTTGTCCGGAGGTCTTAGACATGGGTTCAAATGACTGGCAATGGGTAAAAGGCCTTTAGGGTGGTGGCAAGCAAAGCATGAGGTTCTACATCTTCAACCTAAAACCAAAGGTTCCATGGTTTTGAATAGAAGCTACCCTACAATCAATGGCCACTAGCAATGGCCAAAACCCACACTTCCCTTCTTCCAAACCATCACCAACCACGAACTACATTCATATACACTTCCTCGACTAATCTTCCTATCCAAACTTCAATCATAGTAGTGAAGGAGGTCACCAAGCAATTAGGTGTTTCAATGGCTTGAGTTCCTAGAAACCCTTTTTAGAGCATAAACATCATCTTTTGTGGCAACTATATATCCTTTATTTACCCCATTTATTACCTCTTTTTCGATTCCTTTTTCTACTTTACTTTTCTATTTCTTTTCTTTTTTCTTTTTTTCTTCGAGGGGGGGGGGGGGGATATTAGAGAGCTAAACACATGCCACTTTAACACTTAACGAACAATGCTCTCTATTAAGAAATTCCTCCAATTCTACCTTTCCATTCCTAGCAAGAACCGTGCAAAATCCACCTATGTAGAACCTCAATGGAGTTCAAAGCGAGAACTCCGAGACATAGAGATGAGTCAGAACGGTTTAGACACAAAGAAAGGGAAAAGGGCCGTTCTATCAATCACCATTAAGCTAGAAAAGAAACAAGTTCCTAACAAGAGAATGACTCTAAAGTCACAAGACTCAAAGGGGTGGACTAGGGGATAAAATTTTTCGGGACAATAAACTTTTGGGCGTGAACTAATACTATGCCTCCATCATACTCACTAGTGAGAACAGTGAATGTTACTCGCCATGGTAAGATGGATCTATCACACATGAAAAGACGAACGACACAAAAGTCACATGGTTGCCTAGTCACCCAATCATCTATTCCAATTTCACAAATTTCGATGCATGTTAATTGCAATCGAGGAGTAATCAAGCCAAGACAACCATTCATTTGCACACATATGAGAAATAAACACTTGCACCAACCTAATGCACTTCACAATCATCATAATCGGATGCACTCGATCACAAGCAATCAATTCAAGGCCAATACCAACAGACACAAAATTCTCCCCCCAACCGGCTACTTTAATCAAGCATTCACTCACAAAATCACATGCCAATCACAATTGATACACCTCCACACTTAAGCATGACATTGCCCTCATTGGAAAAAAGGGTATGGTGAAGAAGTTACCGAACCATTGGCAAGTGAAAGTTGGACAAGTTCCGGGGTAGGAGATTTGAGCTTCAAAGAGAAGAAGTAAAAACACAAAACACACGCACATTCTCGCTTGAGGCGAGGTTATTACACATAACAAAATTCAACATCACGATTAAAGAAAAGAAAAGTTCACAATAGTACTTGTTCACGCACTAAAGAAAAGTAAAAAATATAACAAAGTTCAGAGTTTCAAGTGGAGAAGTGGGGTGAAAGAAATCGGCTCTGCCACATATCTCACTCAGTTGACTACCTCGCTCGAGTCGAAGAACACTCATCATCGTCGAACAAGACTCCCTGTCGTCAAGCCATCCACTCGAGGTGTACTGTGGAGGTGGAGGGACCGACTTCAGTTGATGAAGGTGATGGTGGTGGTGCAGGGTGCCGACGGCAGTGCTGGCGTGGCTGAGCAGGTGGAACCTCTGTTGGTACCCATGGTGGCGAAAAGAGACCCTCAATGTAACGGTATGGTTCAAAGACTTTGAAAGTGCATATCATTCAAGGTCCCCTCCCGGAATCGAGTACTTCGTTTTTGTTTCGTGCAACTACTCAAGTCTACAACCAAATATCGCGTGATCCTGGTGATGTAGGGCCCCAAGTGAATAACATCATTCGTCTTGTTGCCAATGGACTTACAAATGAAGTGGCCAAGATGGAACCTATATGGACACGCGCTCCTCTATTAGCCATGGCAGGGAAGGCGAGGAGGGCTCTTTTAGTGATCTTGTTGTTTGATTTGCAACTTGGGAAGATGGAATGCATGAGGAGTGTATTGATGACACGTCATTGGGGAATGAAGGTGGTAGCTGTGGTACGGGCTGGATCAAAGGGGTGACGTCGATGCAAGGGGAGGCAAAATTCCATAAAGGCTGCTTTGGCATCGATGTTTGGCATGACATCCGCTTCAGGCTTTGTCTCTGGATCATCCTCCACCCCCATTGCTTGGGAAAGTTTATCAAAGGTCATTATCCGGGATATACCACCCAAGTAGAATCTGACCTTGGGGTCACGATCCCAAGAGGAATTCTTCTGATGAAATAGGACGAAGGTGTTGAAGAATTCGATGTAGATGTCCTCGAAGATGTCATCCCCGATTTCAAGGAATCGGCGCCATTTAGGATGTGCCACAACTTCTCTCATGGTATCTCCACAGTTCAACGCATTGAACTATCGGAAGTTGAGCCGCCAATGAAGCCCAAATGGGGCCCTCATCCAAAATCTCAGCTTTCTTTGGAATGCATGTGCCCCAGGGACCGACGCGAGGTACGGGTGATTTGGGTTAAACTTTCATGCAAAAACATCAAAACCATACACCATACATGGAAACATTTCATCAATCTCAAATCAATGGGGAGAAAAAGAATTCCCCACCACACTTAGGATCCTACTACGATAATATGCTCAATTGCACACAAAGCACACCGAAGCATGGTTCTAGGTGATTCATACTTCAATCAATCATAGAAAATTGCGACCTAAACCATGCCTCAATGGACACCAACCATCATTCACAAAATAGAATCAATATTCATTCATAAATCGCACTTGGTAGGCATTTTTCTCAATTCAACACAAATCATACCCAATTCATGCCCACCAAAGCTCAACTAAGCTCATAACCACTTTAGTTATCATTCAAATAACATTAATCGACTAACCCCTTGTACAAATTTCAACATTCATTCATTTAATCACAAAACCCCCCTCGCCTACAACCCTAATCTGATTCTCCAAAATTAACATGGCACAAACCTGGAGACTCAAGTAGGGTTGAAGGGAAAGGTGAGGAGAGGGCGAGGGAGTCAAAGAAATGCACGAAAAACTACCCGGAGAGGCTCGTCGGAGCTTCTTCAGAAACTAGACAGAAGCTCATCGGAAGGTCTACTCCACCCAAGTGAAAGAAAGTTATACTCCATGCTAAATAAAGGGAATACACAAGGCAGAAGAGAGAAAACCATATTGGAGATGTTTGTCTTCTTATTTGTGGTGTGGATATCAACCTTGGAGGAAGAAATTCCCAAAACCTTGCTCTGGGAAGAAACCCTAACTTCTCCTCTTCTCTTGTTCATCATTTTCTCACTCTAGAAATATGAAGAAGAAGTATCTCTCACTAGGTTCCTCCCCCTCTTCTCTTTCAACTCAACCCCCTTTATATACCCAGATGGACGACATTTCACGCCCGTGAACATTTGGCCTGGACCATGATGTCGAGCATAGACACGCCATTTCATTAAGGTGCATCACGATTTGGAGCTGCTCTTCACGGTCGAGCGACCGTGAACTGCTTTATGCCCGCGAGATGGACAAAACCTTTCTGGACTCCTCGCTCTTCACGGCCCATGCCTCTTCTTCATTATCGGGATGACCGTGAACCTCTGGCCTCCACCGTGAACTGTTGTTGTTGCTCCCTTTTGAACAGTTTTCACCCTTTTTCGTCCAACTTTCGTTCCATGGGTTAATTCTACCTTCTAAGATCTGAAACATACTAAAAACACCCACAACCTAGAGTAAAAATGAACCTCACGGAGTAAAAGTACCTCTAACATCTCAGCAGCTGTGGTCTGTGGATTCTCTCATTTCACCGGCCGGTCGATTTGGAGAGAAGCAGCGGCTGCGAAATTCCTCCTTCCTCCAATGAATCAATGGGAGAGATAGAAGCATCGTCATTCATGCCACCACCATAGGCTTCATCGACTGACTCTTGCTGCTCGATGGTGGCCATCGTCGCTTTGCACGCTCACTCTCGCCTTCCATCGGTCGCTTCCCTAAATTGAAGAAGGATTTGAGCAGATATGGTCTTCTGGGTTTACAAAGGGCCGTTAATATCAGCCCAAGAAGATGACAGTTCTTCAAAATTGTTGAAACTTGGCTTCGTGTACAAGTCCCTGCTAATCAATCTAAGAATAGAAGATTGACCACCTCTAGTTATTCTTAAGTTCGAAAGCACCAGTGGCGGTGGTAAGAAAGCCTGTTGCTTCTGGATCTGCATATACTTGTTGGCCATAGTTGGCGGTGTCTCCGATGAAAAATCCGAAGCCGACGAAGAAGAATGATTGGGAGGGGGAGATAACAGAAGAAGAGTTTTCTTCTGTTAGGAGAGAGGTATGAGTGGGGTATCTTCAATTTGATTCACCCCTATGGATTTTGTTTCCGGCGAGAGAACTTCTGAAGGGTAATAGAAAGAAGAAAAAGAACAGGTGCAGTAGCAGTAGCAGTAGCAGTAGCAGGAAGAAGGCAATGGGTAGGGGGCAATTAGGGAAAATATTTATGGTTTTTATTTAAAATTCAATTATTTTAAAATTCAAAATGATGTGGCAATGATATTATGACTTGTCGCTAACGTGTGCGATGATTTGGCATACTAGTCACCCTAATGTTAATCTACCTGACAGTCTCCAACACAGTTAAAGTTTGTAACGAAAATGACTAGATTAGTCATATGACCATAAAAATTCTGGTTATTTTTTGTATTTAGAAAGTTGTGATCATAATTGTCGCAAACGTGAAAGTTGTGGCTATCAAAGTATATTTTGCCTTTTATATTATATGAATCTACTTGTATATTTGATAGAGGGCAAATATAGATGTAATTATTTTTGGTCTTTCTCATTTTAAATCTGCATAAAAGGTAATACTTATTCTTATCATTCTTGTAAATCAGGATGCAAGTACATATTTTTTTAAAAGAGATAAGTATAACTTAAAATCATTATTACTTAATAGTAACAAAAGTTACATTCGGACCCTACTTTGAAAATTTTCTAGCTATGCCAATGATTATGAGGCACTTTATATATCCAATTTGTTCACGAACTAGAGATTAACGAGCTACAATATCGAATTAGCTCAGGGTCTAATGAGAGGTAAACAAAACTTTATACTAACTCGATTTGTAAAATCTAATTAACCCACTTAGCTAGGGGTGGCAGTACGGTCCGGTCCGGTTAAATTGGCCCGAATGGATCCGGTCCGGTCCGGTCTTTTTGGAAATATGGGGACCAAAACTTGGATTGGGTACAGTCCGGTTTTGACCCGGTCCGGTTTTGACCCAGTCCGGTCCCAATCCGGTTTTGACCTGTTTTGACCCGTTTTGACCATGTTGCAAAAAATTCAGCAGCATATACCTATTTCCTGGAATGTAAACAACCTGTTTGTAGCAAAAATCAAGCCAAATATGGTCCAATACACAATCACAACCATCATTGATGTCTATTACAAACTCAAAGTCCAATTCAAACTTCAAAATAAAAATAAAGTGCATCACAAGTTCACAAACAAAGTTTAGACATCAAACACCAAATTCACTCCAATCTAACAAATTCGCCAAACCATTTCTACTCATCAGGTTCAAGAGAAATAAATGAAGCATTAGATCCACCTCCTTGATTTGTTCCACTCCTCGAGCCAAACACATCACTCCCTCCGACATTGCTCGTACTTGTACCTTCGTGTTCATTCACATGCTTGTACCTTCGGTATTCGCTTCTTAGTACCCTGCACAAAACAATTCAATCCATTGAAGAACAAACAAAAATCAATCGATAATAAATTCTTCCAACCCTGGTATATCACATTCCATCATTCAAATGCAGCAATTCTTTTAGACTATAAGCAAAACTGTAATAGCTAGCATGTGTTTCTGCCACTGCCAAATCTTTGGCATATCTCTTTACTTTGTCTTGGCTGGATTGTTTTTGTCATTTTGGCAAAGGCTGGAAATTTTCATTGATAAGCAAAAGATGCACCCAAAATTTAAGAATTTGTGCCAATGGTCAGTACTGTCGAATAATACAAGAACTAAAAGAAAGAAATAAAATCAATTCATGAGAACAATGGCGGGTTAGGCAGAATAATTAAGGAACGAAGTGACGACAAACAACAAGGACACATGATGAGCTTCATTCATTTGCACAGTTTGCTTACCCAGCTGCTGCTGGCTTCCATTTTTATGAGTTCGCAGATGTTCCCAAAAGTCGACGAACGGTGATGAGGCTGCGGGAGGGCGACGAGGCTATGACAGAGCCGGCGACGAGGCTATGACAGAGCTGAGTCGGAGTCGCGTCGGGGCTGGGCTGGGTCGGGGTCGTCGCTGCTCGCTGTCGGCGCGGAGGCGGGTCGGGGTCGTCGCTAGGTCGGCGCGGGCCGCGGAGGCGGACTGTGGACTGGAGCGGCGAAATGGTGAAATGGAGGCAGAGAGACACACGGACACGACGAGTACGAGAGGCAGAGGAGCGGCTGCGTCAGTGCGTCTCCACTCCAGCCAACCCTAAAATTAACAATGGGCTTCTATTCTATGGGCCGCCGAGTACTGAGTTTATTTGGGCTCTTATGGGCTTTGGCTTTGGGTCAGAATTGCCTCTGGTCTGATTTGTTTTTATTTATCCGGTCTTCCGGTTTTTACACGGTTTTGACCCGGACTGGACTGGTCCGGTTTTTTTGCTAATTCTGGGACCAAAGACGGGATTGGATTGTTTTACATCCGGTCTCGGTCTTAAAACGGTCCGAGTTTTACGGTCCGATTTCCGGTTTTCAATCCGGTCCCGGTCCAAACTGCCAGCCCTACACTTAGCTCGCAAGGTGTCTCGTTTAGTACCAAAAACTGAATGCTAAAAAAATTTTCTCTACTTTAATTTGGTAGTCAGAACTTAGCACCCCTATTAATAGGAAAGAGTTCACACAAGATATAGTTTTGGATAACAGTTTATTATCATGCATGTAACTAAATGTCTTAAGAGGAAAAACAAATTCTTAAACTCATCTTTAAGGAGAAACAGATAATCATTCCTAATATACAATAAGGGGCAAATATGGAACAATCTTAATAAAAAAAATGATTTAAGAATTCAGATTATATACCATTCACAGGCATTTGACATATATATCCGAGACAAAAAAGAAATGGAAGGAAAATTATTAATTTGATAATGTAGATATTGTATCCTTAGAAAAAGGATAACATGATAATCATCATAATTATTAATTTTCCTTAGAAAATGGCCGCGGCTTGACTATATATAACTTGGAAATTAAATACAGCAGGCATCAAGAGGAACCCATAGAACTGGATTTAAACAAAAAGAGATAAACCAAACAAATTAAGAACGCTCATTCAAGTTGTTTTTGTTCGTCTTTTGGCAGCATGTTTTCTCCTCTCCGATCAACTCTTAGCATCCCGGCGACAACAATTTCACGCCGGCGACAAGAAGTTGGCGGTTTGGTGATGTTCTTAATCGGAATTGTGCTCCTATCCTACACAGCATTGACAGGTCAATTTATATATATATATATATAGTTTTCCATTTCTCTATCTCTATGTTTCATAATATTAAGGCTTGATGGAAAAGAATTGGAACATAATATTAATTAACTATCCACGTACGTCAAGTAATTAACACTCACGTACGTTTTCCTCTATGAACAATAGTTGTCGCCCAAGCCCCATTAATCGGAGTGTGCAACGGGCGGGTGGCCGACAACCTGCCGCCGGAAGGTGACGTGGTGGCTTTCTACACGGCCAACGGGATAACGAAAATGAGAATCTACGAGGCCGACCAGTTCACCCTCCAAGCGCTGAAGAACACATCCATCGAGCTCGCCCTAGACGTCCCCAACGAGGTCATCCCGACCCTGGCGGCGGACCCAGCAGCCGCCACGGCCTGGGTCCAGACCAACGTCATATCCTACGCTCCCTCCGTCCAGTTCCGTTACATCGTGGTCGGTAACGAGGTCATGCCCACCTACCCCATCTCCCACAGCGTCCTCCCGGCCATGCACAACATCCAGAACGCGCTCGCTCAGTCCCCCGCCGTCGCCGCCGCCAACGTAAAGGTGTCCACGGCCATTAGGGTGGACCTGCTGGGGACAACTTACCCGCCGTCTGCCGGAGCGTTCGCGGACTCCGCGACGGCGTACGTGGTCCCCATCGTGCAGTTCCTTGCCGCCAACGGAGCCCCGCTGCTGGCCAACGTGTACCCCTACTTCGCCTACATCGGGAGCTCGGGCCAGGTGGCGCTCGATTATGCCATCTTCGGGACCGGCGGGCGAGTGGTGGTGCAAGATGGCGCGTTGGGATATCAGAATCTCTTCCATGCCATGGTTGATTCGGTTTACGCTGCTCTTGAGAAGGCTGGTGCTCCCAATCTTCAGGTACGTGCATTACAAAAGAAAAAAAAAAAGTAGGCCTTTAGCGACGAGACAAAATATCGTCGCTAAAGTTCATTTTTTGCGACGAAAATGATAAGTATATGCATGCATTGCATGGTGCCTTCGTTTATTACTCTCTTTTTTTTTCTTTCTCCTTTCCAAGCAACTATTTTAATATTATGCATGGTGCATGGATATGCGTGCATGTAGGTGGTTGTGTCGGAGACAGGGTGGCCGTCGGCCGGCAATGACGGGGCGACGCCGGAGAATGCTGCGGCTTACTATTTGGGTTTGACGAATGGTACGGTCACCAGCGGGACGCCAAAGAGGCCCGGGCAGCCCGTGGAGACTTATTTGTTTGCAATGTTTGACGAAAACCAGAAACCGGGGGCGGCATCGGAGCAGCATTTTGGGTTGTTTACGCCGGATAAACAACCCAAGTACCCACTTGTTAAGTTCACTAATTAGATACTTGCAACAAACAGGACAAGCGCTTGGGATACATACATCATCACTGTATACTTTGGTTAAGAAATTAATGGGACGTTCCAACAACAAATAAAAATCTCATTATTCATCCATTCTTCTATCTAATGCTTCAGATTATTTCCCAGCATAAAGAATTTGATGATGAGCGGACTGGTAACTCTCCACCCCTTGCCTTCCTTTTTTAGAGTCTGAAACAGATACAGATGAGAGAAAGTATTTTTCCAAATCTGCTTATTTTCTTAATCAAATCCTCTAACATTCGTTTTAATTTGAAATTTAAAATTTGTTGCATAGAAAGGATGGATTAATTATTGTTGCCAACAACTCTGCTTTAGAGCATGGATCTCGGAGGTGCGGCGGCGGCGGCGCCGTTTCCTTTGCCTTTGCAGAGGACGACAACTTCTCTCTCTTCTCCTCAACCCCTATTACTACTTGTTGTCGTCGCATAAGACGCCAGCTTTCGGACAGTAACTCGGTAGCTGTCGGAGATGGGAATTTGACCATTCTGATATTGGCTGAAGAGAGGAAGCGAAGGAAAGACCCTTCGGATGGGAACGGCTACGGTGCTAATTGTACAATAGTTAGCACCGTCCTAATCAAGGGAAAAACTACTACTAGTTTGAATTAGTAGTGATTTAGCTTAGATGTTGTATTGATTTTATAATAATCCGTAGTGATTTTTGCTAGTTATGACGGTGCTAACCCCTAATAAAGGTTAGCACCTAATCCCATCCCCTTCGGATAACTTGAAAATTTACACCGGTGGATTCAACATTAGTAATCAACACTACTGGACTGTGAGATTCTTCCCAAAAGAAAAATCTACTCTTTCGATTTCCCTCACTTGTTTTAGTGGTTTCCTGGAGGTGGGTTTTCAATTATTTCCTCAATCCGTCTCTTGATTTAATGAAACGATGTTGTTGGTTCAATGTTATGGATTGACATTTCTATTAGTTTCTTATTTTTCTCCTTCGCCATAGAAGTGTGAAGGCAAAATTGGGGCGGAGCTGATAATGGCCTTAATTGTGATAGGAGAAACTTTGTTCCTTGTCTATTAATTACCACCGAACTGGAGGGGTCATCCTTAGTTGTTCCTATATATCATCACTAGGGGTCAGGGGCGGTAATTTACCTATAGACAAAAAAAAATATATAATTGATAGTGAGGGACATCGCTGAAATTTGAAAACATGATTATCCTATTGTCATTTGTGTATATGAATATAAGTGGTAGATTGGGTAATTCAAATCTAGAACACTATTCTTATTAATAATTAATTTTCGTTGACCTACAACTCATTTATTGATCGATTTTGAAAAATGTAATAGTAAAATGTCATTTCCTATATCTAATTATTTTAAAAACCTAACAATTAAACTAATTTCAAGCTACCCTTAATACGGCAAGTGTTGAAAGAGTCTTTCAGCTTTGGGTTACATCGAGAACAAGTTTACAAATCGAATATGCGATAAGGTCGTGAATGATTGTCTAGTAGGGTATATAGAGACAATTTTTTGAACACTATAGACACCAAGTGTATTCTACAATTATTTCCGAATATGAAACTTGTTTAACCTGTACAAGTAAGGTATTTTCAAATTTACGATTTTATTTTTATTAATTATTAATTCTTTTATTTAATTTATTTTTAAAAGAGGACACCCCTATGGAAAATTTATGGGTCCGCCACTGCTAGTGGTCATGTTTATGTGTAAACATTTTCAACCTTGTATATAATTCTCACTTATGGATAGGATTTTCTCTTAATTTTTTCCTCGAACGCCTAGTCACACCTAGGCAACGTTTAATCGGGCTAGGCGCTAGTCATGACTTCAACTCTCGCCTAGCGCCTAGGACTTCAACTCATCTACTTCATAATTGTAACTCATACTTAAAAAAATGTATGGAAAGAACGCATTACTGATTATCTATACAAGGATATTTGTTTTCTTATGTTTTGTCAAACATAAGACCTCATATCAATGTCATACCAACATAAGTACAAACAACTTCCACCAATTTAAGTAAGTGTTTTAAGCAAAGTGCTAGGTATTAGAAATTTTAAACGTAGTGGGGTATACTGACCTCAACTCACCCACCAGTTTGAAGAGGAAGAGGAGGAGTAGTTAGAGAGCAGTGAGTTCAAGAGAAATAGTCGAGGGCAGCCAGCTAGAGTAGGGCAGTACAAGCGTCACGGGGGATTTCTAGACAAGGCTTTCAGTAAGCAACAACATTAGAGACTATTTAGTTATTACATTTTATGATTATGATTATATAGTCGAGATCAAGTTGAGACTCTAAGGATTGAGTTTGCCCAAGTGTTAGGGCGTTGCTTTGAACTACAAGAATGTGATTTCATCATTTTATGTATGAAAATTTTCCCCGGTGCTTTTAGCATTATGGTTCTTGAGTATTTTCCGTTTAACAAGGGTATTTTGATAAAAGTAGTCCCTAGCTGGGTTTGGGTGTTTAAGAGCAAACTTGGACTACTAAATTAATTTAAGTGACAACAAATTAAATAAAATAATATTAGTGACAAACCTGAATATTTTTAGTAATGGTAGTGACCAAACTTGCAATTTATCCTTTTATATTATCCATAGATACTTTTTGAGGAAGCCTCTAATAATCACAAATGCTCATGAACATGAAGATAGCGGATTGAATTCATTAGCACCTGTAAATGACTCTAATTCTACTCCGTCTATACCATCAGTGTCACAACCTCTCTCGGTAAATGATTTTATGCCTAGAATTGCATCTAGAGAAAACAAACTTGATGTGAACTCTATGAAAGTTGATCCGAGGTTAAGAGAACAACTATCATTATTTTGTCCTTGATATTGTGAGGATAGTAAGTAGGGGTGGTGGTGCTTCTTTTATTTATAAGGGCTTTAAGCTTGGAATAGGGGAGATGAAGATCTTAAGAATCATGTTGGGCATGTCAATGGTGAACCCACTAAGGCTTTGAAAAGAACACACTTCGAAATAGGATAAGTGATGGAATCATTAACGGTTTTTTGGTTGGTTATATTGAGAGTGACATGCTTAATAGTTTGGATGATGACAACGTCGCAGATCATTGTAAAAGATTAATATGAGTAGGGGTGGTAAATGGAAAGTCGGTTATTGATTTTAACCAATAACATAACGAATAACGGCGGTTAATGGTTAACCGATAACCGCTAATGATAAACGATTAATTTC